GGTTGTCAGATGCTTGGAATCAAATTGTCATATCTCATCTATGTACATTATTAAAATAGTACTCTATGCTTTCCCAATCCCCAATGTTTGTCATTCTCTAAAACGCCCACTGTCTGCACCAGTTTCGCATCAACTCAGGCGTCACAGCCTGCATCTCCTTCATCGTCTTGCTACTCTTTGTCGTCCGCTCCATGGAGAACTCGACACCCTGTCCCTCGCCCATGGCCAATCCCTGGTAGAAGTCAAGCAGCTTGATACCGGGGTTCTTGTCAACGTCATCCGTGGTCGCCGCGCTGTTCTCCAACAACTCAACCCACTCCTTGAAGGAAACAAGCTTCTTGATGACGCCATCGCCGTAAAACTCCCTCACGGCTTCGGCCAGGGTCTCCCAGGGCACGGTGCGCGGGTTCACGCCGTGGAAGTAGCCGTTGATCTTCTCCAACGGCACGGGGGCAGCAATGCCAGACACCTCGAGGATGAGGTTCGCGATACCCTCGATGGGGGTCCAGTTGACTGTCGCCATGGCGCCGAGGTCACGTGGCAGCACGCCGAGGTACTTTGAGCTGGCGATGATGGTGGGAAGCCACTCCTGGCGGTTCCACACGCCGTCCTTGGACTGCGGGCCCGCGACCTGTCCGACGCGGACGACGGCGGTTGGCACACCCGAGACCTGCGTCGCCTCGTCGAGGATGAGGGAGCTGACCATCTTGGAGCGGCCGTAGCCCGTGCTCGGCAGAGACAGGTCCATCAGCCTCTTCTCCGGGACGGGCCCGGGACCTTGCCAGGTGTCGACGGTGCCGATGGAGCTCACGAAGACGACGGGCACTTTCTTGGCGGCGCGAAGGGAGAAGTCAACCCAGTGGCGGACACCGCGGATGTGCGGCTCGAACGTCTCGACAGAGATGTTGAAGTTGACGGGCCAAGCGTTGTGGATGATGCGGTCTGCTTCCTTGAGAAGGCGGTCGTAGACCTCAGGCTCGAGGCCGAGGTTGCTCTTGGACATGTCGACGCAGAGGAACTCTGCCTTTTTCCAGGTGGTGGCGAGGCCGCGATCGGCGGACATCTTGATCTGTCGCTTGCCGCTGTCTTCGCTGCGGTTGAGGCAGACGACCTTTGACACGGCCGGGTTGTGTTCCATGAAGTCGAGGAGGTAGGAGCCCAGGGCGCCGGTGGTGCCGGTGACGAGGACGGTCTGGCCCTTGTCGTTGGGCGCGGGCTTGGAGCCGTTGCTCTTGGGGAGGTCGCGGGTGTACTTTTGCAGTTGGGCCTCCATGGCGTGCATGTCGTGGTTCGCGCCGTCGCCGTTGCTGTTGGCGGTGGTGTTCTTGCTGACGCGGTCCATGAGGTATGCAGCCAGCTGGCGAGGAGTGGGATGGGCGTAGATGACGCGGGTGGCGATGGCGTCGGCGGTGATGTTTGCGCCGGCGGCCTCGAGGCCCTTGCGGAGGAGGCGGGAGGCGTTGATGACCTGCATGGAGTCGATTCCGGCGCTGAAGAAGTCCGAGTCGGCGGAGAGGGCGCGGCTGCCGAGGGTCTGCTGGAAGAGCTTCTCGATGGAGTCGATCATGCCTTGCTGGGAGGACATGTCAATGTTCACGGACAGCGAGTCAGCTCCGTCCTCGGCCTTGTTGTACCACTCGTCGAGCTCGTCCTTGTAGAGCTTCAGGGCCATGGGACGCTGGATAGTGCCCTTGCCGGCGCGGGGGAAGGGCTTCTCCGGGTTGGTAACGCCGATGAAGGCGCGGCCGATCTGGCCGTGGGCGACGGTCTCCTTGTTCGCCTTGACGACCAGGGGCCAGACATCGTCAATAAACTGCTGGATGTCGTCCTCGGAGGTCAGGGGCTCGGTGGGCTCGAGGATGAGGAGAGGCTGGAAGCGCATGACGCCAGCGACAACGGCACCCTTGACTCTGGGGTGGCCGGTGACGATCTCCTCAATGGTGACGGGGTTGAGCTTCTCGCCGTTGGAGAAGACAATGATGTTGTCGGAGCGGCCGTAGTACATCCAGTGGTTGGGCAAGGTCGGGTGCTTGCGGTACAGGTCCTTTGTGTTGTACTCGTTGACGTCGGGGAAGGTGTAGAAGATGCCCTGGAGGGGGTCCGCCTTTTCCTTGCGGACAATGACCTGTTCGTAGATATCCTCTTCCTCACCACTGGCCTGGCGCCAGTCGACGCCGAGCCTGTCAGAGTCGACGATGAACCACTGCCACAGCTCGTGGTTCTTCTGGAGGTAGTAAGGCAGGGGCGCGGCCTCGGTGAAGGCAATGACGCTAGAGACGGGGACGCCCTCCTTAACAAGGTTATCGCCGGCGCCGCGAGCGAGGTTACCGCCGCCAAAGTTGACGCGCTTGAACTTCTTGAGCGCTGCGATGCCCTCGGGCATGTGGCTCATCTCCTCGAGGATGGCGGGGGGCAGAATCACGTTGTCGATCTTGGCGTACTGTACGGCGTCAATAACAGTCTGCGGCGTCAGGGGCCGGTCCGTGTGGCCCAGCGCGACGGGCCGTCCCCAGTAGATCGCGGCGAACGTTGACATGTAGCAGCCGGCGGCGTGGAAGAGGGGCATCGGCAGGAAGAGGCGGGTGCCGTGCATGATGGATTTTATGCAGTTCTCTGAGCCCATGAAGTCGGGGACGTTGTGGAAGGCGTCGGCGACGGCGATCATGCCGACGCGGGCGACGATGGGCTTCGGCAGCCCTGTGCTGCCGCTCGTGTGCAGGACGACAACGGGGTCGTTTTGTGCCTCTTCGTAGGTCTTTGTGTAGGGGAAATGAGGCACCTCGTCGTCCGAGAGCCAGGCGTCTGCCGAGCTGACCATGATGGCGTCCATGGGGCGCTCTTCCAGCAGGGGTTGGATGACATCCTTGAAGGACGAGTCGAAGCAGATGATGTGGCAATCTGTCTTCTCGAACAGGTTCATCTGGCCTTCAAAGGAGTTTCTCGGTGAGATGAGGAGAGCCTTGTATCCGGCCTTGATACAGGCGATCATGATGATCATGTAGCGGGCATCGTTGGGGCCGATGTAGGTGAGGGTCGGGAAGCTTCCCGGCTCAGGCTTGCCGCGCTTGTCGATGATTCTCTGGGCTATCCGGTTCACCGCGTTGGCGATCTGCTTGTAGGAGATGGGCTTCCAGCCATCTTGAGGGTTCGAGGAGCGGGGGACGGAGAAGAATTCTCTGTGGGGTTCTGACTCTGCGACCTCGTCGAGGACCTGGGGAATCAAGCGCTTTCCGTACTGGGGCTGTGCCATGCTGAAGTAGTATAGTGCTGGTTTGTTAAAAGTAGTAAATTGGTATCGTGTGGTAGCGTTGTTATCGATGGTCGAAGGTGTCAAGTGGTATAAGCTGTATTATATTGCAGTTGTAGATGATAGTCAAGAGACGTGTGAGAGTGAAATGTGTGAATGTGTGTGAGTTCAATACCAAGATTCACGGGGCCAAGCCAGAGTCTTTACATAATCGGAAGAAGCAGAGCTCTCTCCTCACCCAGGTAAAGGTAGCAAAACATAGTTTTGGGTCCAGCATAGTTCTGGGCCCCAGCTATGCGGCGGCATTTTGCCATGATGCTCAAGTCCGTACACCTATCCAGCGAAGAAGGACATAGCTCGGCGAAGGAGTTGAGATCAAGACGTCATGCCCACATGGCAGCAGTTCCACCGTGCTGCAACAAGGACCGGGACCGCTATCGGCCGGTCGGCGCTCCAAGGTGCGCCGGCGCCGCGAGTGGAGCAAAGACTGAAGCAGGAGGAGCAAGAGAGGAGGGAAGAAAAGGCTCGTTTCGAGTTCGTTTGTTGCTCAGTGCTGAACTAAGCCGTGTCTCTAACGCAGGAAGATCGGTCGTTCTCTAGGGGCGAGCCGCGAACTAGTCCAAGGTGTCACCGCTGGTGTGCGGCCTTTGCCCACCTTTGCCCTCGCAAAGTGCCAGAAAGAAGTTCCGGTTTCTAGCGGGGCGCGTACGGGCAGTGTAGGGCGAAAAGGACGGAGGAGTTGAGGACGGAATTCGGCCGTCAAAAGGGGCATACTACGTAGAGGCGAGCGGACGGGGGTGGTGGATACTCTGTGCTTCATCCATGGACCATGGTCCATGGATATTCTCGCTCGAGTCCGAACTGCGATTGCGAAACCGCACTTCGGGTGACATTCACGGCATGTTGAAGGCCTTTTTGATGGGACCTCCTTGCTATTCCACAGTACAGTAACGTACGGATACAGAGTAAGGGAGCAGGTAGATCCCTTGACTGACTTCAGTCTGATAGGCGCGGGCTCGCCGTTCACGAACTGGGCAGCAAACCGGCGAATATTGGACCTGACTGGTCTCAGTCCGACTGTCTGTCAGTTACCCCCTGGGCCCTGGCCGCCTGGATATGCCTCACAGTGACAGGACTACATCTGCAAGAGTGCCTCAACGTTGCAGACGCTACCGTACGCGTGTGTGTGGGGTGGATCAAGGGTCAAGCTTTGATGCTAGGACGGGCCGTGATATCCGCTTTCCTCCTTCGGAGGGCTCGGAGAGAACTTGGTGTGTGATTCGAGAATGTGGGAACCCGATCCAATGGGCTGCGAGCCTGTGAGATGTGGCCCAAGGCCCGATCTCTTCGTATCTCTCGAGTTGCTCAAGCTTCTACTGGCTCTTCTTCTGTGCCTAGGCAATTCCACAACTTGTTTGAATCTGAACGAGTGGCGCCGCAGTCTGCAGTCTGCATCTGCAGAACAAGGGGGGACGGAAAGACGGCTGGCCCGACCAGGATCAGTGATCTTCTGCGAGTATGACTGAGCAAAGCTTGAAAAGAGTAGAGGATCGCACTGGAACGGAACATTTGAGGCGCGGCGGCAGGGCGGGCGGGAAGCGGTCGGCATTTGGCGGCGCACGGGACAGTTTATATTGCAGATCTCCTCCGTTTTCCCTGGGACCGCTGCGCTAACTTCTCTCCGTCTTCACTGGTTCAACTTGTCGTGATTTGTGGTCGTACGGATAGTGTGTGGTGGACAAGGACGAAGAGGATCATCAGAGTTTGGGGCCGGGGGAGTGGCGCATACGTCAGCAACCCATGACCTCACAGCTCACTCACACAAACTCACTTTCACTCTCATTCTCGCCCACACAAGTTGGGCGAAGGGTTTTTAACCGCTGCAGATCTCTGCGACAGAAGCTTCCAATTCGCCTTCTAGTCTGAACTTGGCAAAAGACCCTTACTACGTACGCCCTAGATTGAATAAGGTAGCACTGGCATGCTGCTCTACTACGGTGATCACTGATCAAGAAGAGACACGCAGACACGGACTGGACGTCGGCATATTCACTTCATAGCGCCGGGAATCCTTCAACTCTTTCTGCATTTCGCACGGGGATATCGCAGTTATCTCATGGTGCCTCGGTTTATTCTACTCCGCGGATAGTATCCTTGGACTCTACTCATGAGTAGAGACTCGTAAGACTCAGGCGCACCTGTCGGCCGAGAAGAAACTTGAAGCATCCGTAACTTCAAACGCTGCACTCTCATCACATAGCTATCCCATCTCATCATCCTGCGTCGTCGTCCTCCCTTCCGTGCTGTCTGTCATCAACTGCACCTCTAGTCTTAACTCCACCCTCGTTCTTGCATAGGGCGACCACTCATACACTCACCCGGGAATTGCAACCAAGACCCAACACTAACTCCGGGTGAAACAGCACCTTAAAATGGACGGCCGCATAAAAGGTCCTCGTCGCCTGTCGCGCTCTATCTAGCCTTCCGTCCTTGCTTTGAATAACTAAATCTCTGGGAAAGGCCCGGTTGGTGGCTTCATCCAGACTTTTCTACATGCGTTCGATGCATCGGAACAGCAGAGACCCCTGGCAAGGCCCCATGCGAAGATCTCTCTTCTTCGAAAAACTGCCTACCTCCCGCGCCCGATGTATCAATCAGCGAACGACGTGCATTGTTGTACTCTAGCCTGACGCATACTGTATATGTTCACAAAATATCTGGCCGTGCTGTTCAAGCAGTTCTAAAGACATCGATTTAGAAGACCGTAAGATGAATCAAAACCTCAAGCAGTCAGGATAGCTAGCTGCGACTACTCACGCTGTCGTAATCACTCGTCAAAACAAGAGACCGTGCCTCCCACGCCGCAAATAGCATCTCCGTAGGAACAGGAGCAAAGATGATGATGCCAACAATCTGCCCAAACCCCCAGTCGTTCCCAGCATACTCACTCCCCATGTTGCTCGCCGCCGCTGCCTGAATGCTCCTCAGACGGAAGATGCACCAAAGAAGTGCGCAACCGAAGAAAAGCGGGACGAACAGCAGCAGAGCAGAGCCTGGACCAGACTCTGACTCGCCCACGCCCGCTCGACGAACCGTCGAGTCCGCGAAAGAGTGACGGTCCGCTCGCGATCCTTCCCAATATACCGATCCTGCGGATGCCAAGCTCCATGGCATGCCACAACATGAATAAGAAGATGAGTAACGAGGCGATGATCTCGCATACGGCGAGGGCCCAATGCTCACTGACGGTGAAGTTGTTGACCTTGCCAAAGCACATGTCCCGGATCCTCTCCCACTCCTCCTCTGTGAGGTATGTTTTCCCATCGCCGCCATTGCCCTCGCCTACGCGGAGCGGTGCCCAGTTGTGTATGCACTGCGACAGGAACGGGTAGAAGAACAAGACGCAGACAAGGGCGAAGAGCACCAGGCTGAAGTCCCGTTGTCGTCTCTGGCGCTGTTGCAATTTTCTGCTGTTCTGCTGCGCCTGTCTTTCGCTCTCTGGATGGAACAGGTCCAGGGGTGAAAGGGCGATGGGGTACAGAAGCGGGAGAATGCAGACGACGGAGACGGCGAGGGCGATTTGGGCTTCATTGGCGCCGAAGCCGGCTGTGGATATGCCAAAGTCCTTGTTGACGAGCATGACTACCGCTGCGATTTCGATGGCAATGGCAAAGTAAATTGCGAACTCGAAGAAGGCGTCGAAGCCGGCTTTGAGAACAAGTTGGAAGAACTCTGCTCTTGGACCGTGTCTTTGGCGTATCATCAATACGAGGGAGGCTAGGACGAAGCCCAGGGCTAGTTCGACGGCGTAACCGATAGAAACCTGTTGATGTTATGATTTAGTACCGTTGGAAAGGTAGGTGGTGTCAGCCAAGTGAAGCGTACTTACCCCTATTCCTGAGATATCGGGGTTGGCATCGCCCCAGATGGCGCCGCATATCTCTTCTTTGCATCGATCAAGTTCGATGATGTTGAAGCTCGTTGTTGACTTGAGCTGTTCAATGTAGAGGTTGGAATCGTTGACATCTTCCAGGCTCGCGCATCGTTCAGTCATATGGGCCATGAGTTCTTCGGTGTAGACTCCTTAAGAGACTGAAAACCTGTAATGATCTAGCATCTTGTTAGGCGTTCCTGGCAGACTACGTCGCGAGCCGATCATTCCAATCGTAAGGCTGCCAGATGAGCAGGGAGGGAACAAAGTCTCACTCTCGACCTCTTTACTCAAATCAATCACATAGATGCCTCGGTGTAACAGTGAAGGGCAATTTTTTGCTTAAGAAGAAGAACCCCTAGGAAAGACTTGTATAGACTTCCAACTGCGAAGTGCTCGGTTACATGGCAGCTTATGACTGATAGGCGAACTTGACACACTTTTATCGACTCTTCCAATCTTACAATGATTTCTCTTATCCTAGCCGGCTTCTTCTTTGAATGGAGTGTCGCTGCCGCTCAGGTTTCTCATCATGTAGCAGTCGACATCAACAAGGCAAACATGACAATGACTGCAGCCGCGGTTCCATCCGGAGCCATCCTCGGCAGGCAATTGCAAGACCCGAACACTTGCGGCTACGTTGCGAGTAAGTAGACATTGTACAACCGACTCTTTGAGATCATGTAGCTGAGCATTTTCTAGATCAACCTTTCGCATGCCCAAACAACGGCTCTTGCAGGACCAACAAGGATGGATTCATTGGGTGCTGCGATGGGAAAGGCCCTAGCTGTTCAATCTACACTACATGCTTCCCCGGGTCAGGGCAGTCCATACTGTCAAATCCAGGCGCTTTGATATGGTAAGTTGCTACGCGCACTTTGTTATGGACACGTCAATGCGATGCACCGAACTCTCCTAACATGGCCTCTATAGCACGGGAACAGACCGTTTCTGCGCAACACTCACATAGCCTGGGGGCAAGGCGACGGCCTTCTCTTGTGCCTCAAGATCAATGAAGACGCAATTAGATGCCACACCAACACCGACGAGCACTAAAAAAACCTCAGAGACAAACTCTAGTCTGGCCCCTTCGACGAGCGCATCTTTTACTCCGTCTTTCACTGGTACTGCGTCTGCCACCAGACCTACCACACGACCACCGTCGACATTGTACACTTCGCTGGCTCCTCCTACCGCTACTTCTACCGGGAGTCCAAATCCAGGTGCACCCCCGACAGACAGTCGTCCTCCGACAGGTAGTCCTCCGACAGGTAGTCCTCCGACAGGCAGCCCACCTCCAGAAGCAACCCCTTCTACATCAGACAAGCCGCCAACGCCGCCGCCCAGAAGCGGCATCATGCAAGGTACTACTAGATCTCACCAGCGTGCCTCGTGTCGAATCAGCGCTCACATTTAAAGATCTTACAGATGAGCAGAGGGTAGGCGTAAGTGTCGGCTGCGGTTGTGTCGGCCTCCTCTTCATCGTTAGTGTTATGTAAGTGCCCTTTCTCTCACGACAGTCGACATAGTAAACTAGCCCGAGTTCCTCTAATACTAAACTTAGATGCTGTACTTGCGGCCCTTGGAGAGGGAGGAACATCGCGCGCCTGCCGATGGAAGCGTCAAATCATTCGGGCATGAAGCAGCTGGCGCGCGCCCGCTGGGACAACTCCACAGACGAGCTCTAGATAGGCATTGCAAAGACAAGATTACATGTCTCTAGATACTTCGTATCAAGGAGGGCATAATGAAAGCAGGCACGAGGTAGCTGCACCTGTGATACCAAGTCACTAAATTATGCAACAAGCTTTGGTAGATTCGCTCAAGGGCCGATACCAGACTTTTGGTGTTAAAATTACACGTCTACCTTGTCCATAGCACATGCCTGTAATCAGACAAGGGACTTTCGCAACAAACTTTCCAACCTCTCGATATCCTCTTGCTTCGTTGTCTGGCTCGTCATCACGTAGAGGACATTTCCAAGAACTCTGCTGTGAACGTTCCATCTTGCACCCTCGGCGCCATGCTCTCCCTGAAGCAGAGCACTTTGAAGGTTCGCAGCGGCATTGCTCGAATACCCAGCACCCTCGCTATCCTGCAAATGAATCGCAAGAACGGATCCCAAGGCCCACACGCCGTCCACCCGATCAGCCTGCTTCGAAACCCAGTCAACAAAAGACTGAGACCAGACAGACCACGCTTCAGCAGAGCTGCCAGATTCAACGTGAGTCGCAGAGTCTACCGTCGCTGAAGCCCCCCACCCGTTCGTCTTGGCCCAATTCCACTCCCCGTCGCGGTCGATTCTCTGCAGCTCCCGCAGTGATTCGAGGGCAACTTGGCATCCGACCGCGTGAGCGGTGTAGCTGTGACCGTGGAGCAGGGCATCACTCTTTTCGTCGCTCTCAAAGGCTCGGAAGATACTGTCGGAGGCTGAGGTGGTGCAGAGGGGCACCAGGCCGCCGGTGAGCAGCTTGGCGTTGCAGACAACGTCAGGGTCGACGCCGAGGAAGGATGCGGCAGAGAAGCGGCCCAGACGGGTGAGGCCTGTGAAGACTTCGTCAAAGACTACCGGGAGGCCGGTCCAGGTTTTGTCGTCTGCCGCCGAAGAAGACCGAGTTGCAGTCCCGAAGAGCTCGGGGTGTTGACGGACTACCTTGACGAGAGTACTCTGGAATAGAGGATCGCTGTGTATGGAGATTAGTAAGAAGGTCTCCAGCTGCACGGCGTTTGGGCTGTTTTGTACTTACGCCATGATCATGCCTCCCGCTCCAAGGATAACTGGCTCCATAACCAAAGCACCAAACTTACGCCCTTGGTCCCGGAGACGACGCAGGACGCCGGCGATGTACTCTTTATACACGCGAGCCTGCCCCGCCCCCTCTCTACCAGTGACATCAAACACCGCAGACAAGCTACCAAACTCTTGCCCAGCACCCAGCTCCTCCCGCAGGACATCCGGAACCCGTACCTGCCACCTGCCATCCTTACACATGACGGACGGGTACGCGAACCAGAACCCCTTGCCGTCATACCACTCCACCTTCTCGTTGAACACGGACGGCTCCGTCGAGTCCATCGCGCCCATGGTGTCGCCGTGGTAGCTGCCCCTGAGGCCCAGGATCTCGAGCTTGTCATTGGCCTTCCAGCCGTACCGCACCCGCGCGGCGCGCAGGCCCATCTTGACGGCGACTTCCATGCCCGTGCTGCCGTTGTCGGAGTAAAACACGCGCGAAAGGCGCGGGTTCTGGAGGCCCTGGAGTAGAGTCCGGGCCAGGACCAAAGCGGGCTCGTGAACGGCGGAGGCAAACATTACGTGACCGTAGCGGCCGGCCGCGTACGAGGCTGCGAGGGTGAGTTTCGGGTTGGCGTGGCCGAGACCCTGCGTCCACCACGATGAGGATCCGTCAAAGGATGGCTGCAGAAGGGCTTGGGCACTGGGTTGCTGCTGTTGGCTCTGGGGGATCAGAGTTTGGAAGTTGTCGCCGTGGGCCGAGTCGATTGCTGTGATCTTGTCTGGTGTCAGGCTCTTGTGCTGCGTGAAGGGGTACCAGATGATATCGTGCGCGTCGCGAGACATGGTTTCCAGACGGGCGATGCGGGCGAGGTGGCGGGCGCGTAAGTGGTCCAACGTATCCTTGATGGCTGCGCTTGACGATAATTCGGCGTAGTAACGAGACATTGCTTTCGCGTCCGCCTGCTCGTCCTGCGCGCGAGCGGGCGGCTGGTCTACGGCGGTGACGGGGATGCCCTGTCCGCGGCGGAAGTAGTCGGTCAAGTAGGTGTCGTTCTGGTAGTACCCATCTCGGAAGAGCAGAACACTCTCGACGTCGTAGCCGCGAAGCTTGAGAGACTCAAAGGCCGAGATGGTTTGAGAGATACCGCCGAGTTTGGCGTCGCCGATGAAGATGACCGGGGCCCGGAGCGGGGCGTAGAGGTCGGCCTGCGGGGTGCCGGACGGAGCCGGGGAGTGGACTCCGCCGGCGGTTTCGATGAAGAGCCAGCCCGGCCCTTCGGCCGCTCGGCGGGATGAGTAATTGTAGATGCCTTTTAGTACTTCATTATCCGATGGGGTCGGCTTTCAATGGGATTTGATCAGCAATGTGCAATGAATGCATGCAATTGATGCAATTGGGCAGCTTACCTGGTCCGACGCTGCAGCGGCCAGATGTGGACTCGCTGGAATCTCAAACTGAAACAGCGTCTTCTTCGCGATGCCTGGCGCAAACCTTGAGATGTGACTGGGGAAGGGGAAGGGGAAGCGGAATTAGCAAGGCCAAAGAGCGGAATTGAATCCGAAGGGATTCGCATTTCTGTCCCCCCCGTGTTAGCTATACGAACAAGAGAGATCACAAATCGGGATCAAGGGATCGACATTGGTGGTGTCGACAGTGGAGTTTGGGTTACGGATAGCACAACATACACCTATCGTCGGCTTCGGTGGCCGGACCCGTAGAAACGGGTTTCAGGAAAGCCGTCTTGTCCTGCGGCCAGAAGTTGCGGGCCGCATTGCAGAGGGCTGAGGCGAAGACCGTCTTGCCGACATCGGTGTTGGCGCCATAGATCTGGTATGTCCTGAGCGAACGCCAGAGCAGAGCACCGACGGGTGCCATTGAGCTCTCTTGGCTGGTTCAAGCTCCCATGTGAGATGGGAACTTGAAGAACGAATAGCCAAGAGCAATTGGTTGAAAATGTGACGGACTCTCTGCTCACTCGATGTCAAAGCATGCACCTTGAACTCCCAAATATTCGTAGAGACCAGAGTCACCAGACGAGTCACAATGCCTATTACTAACCCCCCGAGTTTCCAAGAGTCCAAGGGAGCCGGGGAAACACTGAAGTGGACACAGAAGTTAGAACAGGCGGGGTAAGGTATCCGTAATACCGTACCTGTTCTAGCGCTGCGGCATTTGTTGTGCCGAGAAACTGGGGCAAGCGGCTATCAAAGGCCAAAGTTGTTGAGCTTCTGTTGGTGTTAGTGTTATCCTTTTTTTTTTTTTTTCTTTTTTAACGGCGATTTTTTGTAGCTTTCTCAACGGTGCCATCGGTGGCTCGGCGCGGCCAGGGGCGGGTTCGTCCTTGCATGGATCTTGCATCTCGCGTCGCTTTTCGGCTATGCGGGACTCTAAGAGAGATCTTCAGGGCCAGGCCAGGGGGGGGTTGAAATTCCCTCGTTGAGCTCGTTTGTTTCTCTACGCCGGACCGCAGACAGCTCCATAGTCCCCCAATGCCGAGGTTTGAAATGGTTCCCCTTTCACCTACACCAAAGTGACTCAACCACTCACATTGCAAAGTTTCTCGGGAATCATCCGACAGCTACAGCTCATCTCAAAACTATGCCGGCGAGCGACCGTCTGGACAAGGTCTTTGCGGCACTCCTGGCCCGCCGGGAGTCAAAGAGCCAGCTCCGGCGGCTGACCCTCGTTCCGGCCGGCAGCGCCGATTTTTCGTCCAACGCCTACCTCTCTCTGTCGACCCACCCCGAGGTTCAGGCTCGGTATCTGTCCCGGATCAAGGCCCACCTCGAGCCGTCCCCGTCCCCGTCCCCGTCCCCGTCTCGGGAGGCACACAATAGAGATGGCAGTACTGGTAGCAAGCTCAATGGCAATGACAAACCTCATGGCGTATCGCTCCTTGGGTCCGGTGGTTCACGCTTATTAGACGGCAACGTATCCCTCGCAGAATCCCTCGAGAGAGAAATCGCAGTTTTCCACCGCGGCCCAGCCGGCCTACTCTTCAACTCGGGCTTTGACGCAAACGTCGGCCTCTTCAGCTGCGCCCCTCAACCAGGCGACATTATCGTCTACGACGAGCTCATCCACGCAAGCGTCCACGATGGCATGAAATTGAGCCGAGCGGAGAAGAAGATTGCCTTTGCGCATAACACGGTGGACCCCACGGAAGCCCAGCAGTGGCCCCAGAGCTTGAGCGAGGTCCTGTCTAGATTAACCGATGGTGAGGAGGGCCGCCTGGTGCGCGAGGGTCGCAAACGCGTCTTTATCGCTGTCGAGGGGGTCTACAGCATGGACGGGGACGTGGCGCCGCTCAAGAAGGTGGTTGAGTGTGTTGAACGGCTGCTTCCCCGCGGCAACGGCCTTGTCATCGTCGACGAGGCGCATTCGACGGGACTTCTCGGGCAAAGAGGGCGAGGGCTTGTTTGTGAGCTTGGTCTCGAGGATCGGGTGTGGGCTCGAGTTCACACTTTTGGCAAGGCAATGAGCTGCTCAGGAGGTATGGTTCACATTTCACACCCCGATCTCATGTCGTTGATGCTTACTTTGAACAGCAATCATCCTGTGCTCTTACATCACTCGGTCATACCTCATCAACTACGCCCGCAGTCTCATCTACACCACCGCCATGCCCTACACGTCTCTGGCAAGCATTAAGACGGCCTACGACTTCATCGCAAATGGTCACTCTGAGCCTCTCCTCCGACACCTCTGGTCCCTCATCAACCAGACGAACGAGCTCTTGCTAGAGATGCTGGACCGTCACCGCCCGGATAGAACCTTGATGCACCTGGCGCCTGGGAAGCCGAGATCACCCATCATTCCACTCTTTACTTCGGATCCCCGGGGTCTGGCACAGCACTGCCAGAGGCACGGCTTCATGCTGAGGCCGATTGTGGCACCTACTGTCCCGGTGGGAAGCGAGCGGGTGAGGATCTGCCTCCACGCCGGCAACTCTGTCGAGGAGGTAGAAGGCTTGGTGTCTGCCATTGAAGGCTGGCTGGTCGCTCGACCGACGCATCAAGGTCAATTATTCGACAACGCTTTAGTAGGCCAGCCCGGACCGCCAAAGTCACGGCTTTAAAATAGACGGAAACACTGAATAAACTTGGGGACTTGGTAGCATGTCAAAAGTATGGCTCCTGGCATTGAACACATTGTATAATATTGGTAATTCTCTCTCGACAGACATATCTCGACCTGGCTTCTACAGGCTTAAACCAAAAGGAATTGCCCGAGGCATGCTACAACGGTGGCCGACAGCACCCCGGTGAGTCCGTATCCCATGTTTGAAGCAGAGCCAACCCGAGGAGGTGCAGTAGGAGGAGTAGAGTTGGTCCCATTTCTGCCTCCCATACCTCTGCCTCCTCCCTTCCCTCCACCTCCTCCTGGCTTCGGCATCGTCTCGTTCTTGTGTCCCATCCCCTTACCACCACCCTTGCCGCCCTTGCCACCGCCTTCGCCTCCTCCTCCATGCTTCGGAGCATCAGGACTCGTACCATTCTTGTGGCCCATGCCCTTTCCTTTACCTTTGTCCTTGCCACCACCTTTACCGCCGCCCTCTCCTCCGCCGTGCTTGGTGCCATTACGCTTGTTCCCATGCTCCGGCTCCATCCCCATCTGCCCGCCAGACATGGACTCGCCCATATTCATACCGCCGCCGCTCCCAGCAGCCGGAGCCTTGGCAGGCTGGCCAGCTGCCGGCGCCGTAGCCCCAGACACCTTTTGCAAATTCACAGACGCCTTCTGCGCATCCGTAGCGGGCGTCTCGATGAACGGAATCATGGGCGCCAACATGGCACAGTTATCCTGCTGCGCCGCGGGCATACCCTCCATCGTGCCCGTGTTATTCTGGAACAGCAGCCTCTGCTTCCCGTCGACGGTCCACGCCTGCCACACGGGCATCCCTGCCTGGATCTTGGCGGCGTTGGGGTCGAGGCTGCGGACGAAGCTGGCCCAGTAGGCCTGCGTCAGCGGCACGATGGGCGCGTTGGTGGTGGAGTAGCTCTTTGGCGGGGCGCCGTCTGTGTTGTTGGGACCAAAGACGCCGTTTAGCTCGACGGTGTGGTAGGCGCCGAAGCCTTGAGCCTCTTGCTCGTCGTCGAGGGGTCCGTAGCGGTAGTTGAAGGTCGCTACGCCGTCGCGGGCCATGGCGTCCTGGAAGATTTTGGTGATGCAGTGCGCTCTGTAGTCCCCGTGGGCTGTCGCGAGCTGGCGCCAGAGTTTACCTGATTTGGGGAAGACGGGCTGCGGCTTGTCGAGGTAGGTCTCTGTGAGGAGGGCGAGGGAGGCGTTGCTGAGGGACTGGGTGGCCTGATCGTTCATGTTCTTGAAGGCCTCCTCGACGGTGTCGGTCTTTTGGGGCACGTTCTTGGTCCCCTCGTCGGTGCAGGTTCCCGCGATGGTAGGGACCTTGAGATACTTCCCCTCGGCGAAGCGTTGCAGCGTCGGCGCTTTGACGAGGTCGCCGTCGAGGTTGGGGTTGAACTGGCAGTCCTCCGTCTGCAGGGCCGTCGCGTTGAGGCCGCGGAGACAGGCGAGGGAGTCGGCTTGCTTGTTGCAGCCGGTGGCGTTGGTCAGGCAGCTGTACTGCTCTTGGCCTTGATCGAGGGTGCGGACGGTGGCGACGGAGACGGATTCCATGATGGCTCCCTTGATCAGGCCTGGGTCGATGTCTCCAAAAGCCGCGAGAAGCATGGCTACTGAGGTTGCGCCGGCGGAGTCACCTACGGCTACCATCTGATCGGGGTTTCCTCCGAACTTTTCGAGGTCAGTCAGCAACGGGGAAGCAGAAGATAGGGTTGGAAGAAAGCTCACAGCAGCGGCGTGTTGCTTCAGCCATTTCAGGCCTTGGATCTGGTCCTTGAGGCCGTTGTTCATACTCGCGCCAGCCTCCACCTCCTTGCTCTGCAAGAAACCATAGGGCCGTGTAGTTGACATTAGCCTTTGCTCTGCAAGTTCGTGATGCGGTGCGAGATGCACCAGGTTCAACCACGTACCAACTCTATAGTTCACCTGAACGACCAGCATGTTTCCAAACCTGGCCAGATCACTGCCGTTGAAGTTGGCATTGGAAAGAGACTGGAACCCGCCGCCTTGGATGAAGTACATGACTGGCAACTTGGAATCAGGTGTCGCGTTCGACGGTGCAAAAACATTGACATAGAGACAGTCTTCGTCCGTCGTGAAGCGCTTGTTGGGCTTCATCGTGAAGTCGGAGGCGCTTCGGGCCAGACATATCGGACGGAACTGGGTAGACTTGTCAGCAAAGCGAAGCTAATTCCTACATCTCAGAGGGATTCTTACATTCGAAGCATTGACGACATCAGTAGTGTTCGGAGGATCAACCGGCGCCGCGAATCGGAGCTGGCCCACCGGCGGCGCAGCAAACCGGACGCCCAGCCATCGAGTCGCACCGCCCTGCTCGGCGACTCCTTGGAGTTTGGTATAGCCAAGGTCGACAAGCGGGTCAACCGCCTGGACCTGGCCGATGATTGCGGCCGAAAGAAGAGAAACGAGGGCTTGGGTTAAGGAAGGCATTATTACAGAAGTGACAGACTTAGATTAAAAATTATAGTAGGAACCGACTAAACACAATCATCACCAATAACTAATCACAGCAAAGGAGAGAGAATTCGAACATGATCCGAAGGGAAAGATTGGATTATGGCGGTCTTGTCATCTGTTATATTAGGGACTGAACTTGAATTAGACCAGACCAGCCTGACAGCCCGAAATCGAAACCAGACCGGAGTATTTTGTTGACTCGAGGGCCATCTTCTGCACCCGGCTCACCAGCTTGGTGGCCTTTTAAAAGCTTCTCCGGACTGTCCGCAGTTTTTGGAGTTTTGGGGTGTGCTGCGGGGGTTCCAGGACCGGTTTTTGATGCCATCTTGTCGCGGATGTCGTGTTCCAGAACAGCCAACTCTGTTCTCAAAGGAAAGATTTCAAGATGGACATATGATCCCCGGGAAAGGATATCCGCAGCCGAGAGCAGAAAAAAGTAGGTAGCCCTCTTTACCAAGGTCATCGGTAGCGGAGCCCTTTAAACTGCCGCGGTTCTCGTCCGCGGGCTGGGGTATCATCCGCACATTTAGAGAGTTCTTCGTCGCAACAAACCCCTGTTTCCCCTTTCACGCCATCGCATCACCCATGCTGCCCAAAGTGCATACTTTTTAGGATGACAAGACTCTTAAGATGAACGCTCCTTGGCGGAGGGTTTCAGCGGGATCAAATAAGACGAGATGCTTTTCTCTCTTCGTGTCAGCCACTTTTGACTCTGCATGCCTCTCCTAGACCGCTTTAGGACACGTCGTACCATTTGCCTTGCCGACTGGCTGGTAACTGACGTATGAATCCTTGATGCTGCAAACTTTTACCCACACAGATTGCAACTGCGGCCGGTCGAGGTTGCAGTCGTTATCCGTACGAGGTGTCTTTCGGCACCAACCGGCCCTTCGGTGCGAACCATCCAATCCTATCATATGGCAATATCGATGACACTTGGTGTCACAAGACTGTAGTCTGTATATTCTATGTAATCAGGTAGTTGTACAGGAGTGCTATTTACAACTGAATTATGTACAGGAGAAGATGATAGAGAGACGTAAGTTGTTTGGGGAGTCAATCCCCCGTGGTGCAGACTCGCTGTCTATTCGTAGACGTAGCAGAACGGAGATCCTCCGACGGTGTTCATCAGGTCTCTGAGCTTGGCCGATCCGCCGATGGGAGCAATGTCAATAAGGTCGTCCAAGGTGGCGTTTGCGCTCGGCGGGTTGTTCTGTAGTGTCCTGGTGCCGAAAATGTCCTGTAAACACAAACATTGTCAGTTAATGTCATTCAAAATGAGATTCAATCTTGAGTATCCATGGAGTCGTACCTGTCTGTTGGCAAAGTCAAGCATCTGCCAGATCCAGTAGACGCGGTCGACTTGCGCGTGGTGCAAGAAGAAGACCGGCTCGCCGGGGAAGATGAAGGGATACGCGCCGGGGTCACCTATACGGAAAGTCAGTAACCGTCTCAGTCATACCTACGCGAGTCTGAACTTGCCTCCGATCGTGTAGTGACCTCCTCCGTGAACGCCAACCTCCATACCAGGCGTGTAACCTGCCGTCGCCCTGCATAACAGCCTGGAACCACTCAATGTTGTCATTGCCGAGGATCAACTCGGTGGTGTTCCGCAGCGAAGAGTATCGAGAAGCAATGTGCTTATTAAGATCACGCGTCAGGCAGCGAGGGTGGTCCTCAGTCGGCTTGTCAACGCTCAGCGGCGTCGTGGTGCCATACTGCCACAGCAGCCGGGGCCCGACGTGGACCACCATATCGGAAAAGGGACCGGTCTCGACGCAGCCGCCGCCGTTGCTTCCTCATGGAGGTCTCTGAGCCGTCAAAGACGGGGGACTTGGCTGGGTCTTCGACGTCGAGACCCCATTCCCAGTAGGGGAAGGTTCCTGTACGCGGGGAATTAGATTTCAGTTGTTCCTTGTTGAGGGATCGAAGAGTCCTAACCGGTGTAGCCGCAGACGTTGCGGAGGTTTTCCTCGTACGTGTAAGTGAAGTGTCTATGCCAAAGGAGGAAGTTCGCCTAAATGGCCCACCAAGTTAGCCACGTTAATCTGTAAAGAGTATCAATCTTGACCTACTGTGACGTGAATCATTCCAGTCTGGTTGAGATGTGTCAGGACAAAGTCGTCGTATAGTGACTTTGCAGCCGGAAGCTCGGTGGAGTTCAACAGCGTAGGGGAGGACTGGAGGCACTTGACCGCAGCGACGTACGCCTTGCGCTCTTCGGCAGGAAGTGTTCTCCTGGAGATCCAACATCAGCATATCGTGAACAAAACAACGGTATTTCTATACACAACTCACCATTCTTTTCCGTACGCGCAGCTTGTCGGGCGTGCAGGTCGAGTTGATTCCCATCCGCTGGTTCAGTGCCTTGGAGACCTCGAGAGCCTGCGCCGAGAGCTGAGCGAGGGCATCTCCATTGTCGATCGCCGTCTGCGTAAAGTTGTGGGCGGTGGTCTTGGCAGAGGTAAGGGCAGCGTTGCCGGCGGCAAAGAGGAGCCAGACGCAGTGCTTGAGGACGGCCATGACGTCTGTTACGGGATGGTACTGGAGCAGCAACTTTAACCGGATGAACAGCGTTCGAGACCACGATCCTTAAGCTTTCTTGAAAGGGAGATCCTCCTGCCGGAACTTGGAGCCGACCATCAAAAATTATATGTTTACTGAACAGTAGGGCAGAAGGAGAATGTTTAAAGGCGGCAGGCTGCCGCCGTGGAGCCTACTGGAGACCCTTTTTCTAGATTACCCATCGGAGCCGATATCCTCAAGGATTGCTGCTCTCGGTTAGGGCCGTTTATCCATCTTCGAGGGAGGCTATCGTGAGTAGAATACTGGTCGAGGCCGGCAACGAGATCCATAGAATACAACCCTTACCAAGCTTCCGCGGTTCCAAGTAGATGGGATGTAATGGGATCGGGTGAACTATTTGCTAGGTTAAGACTTCTCAAACAGGATCGAATATCCATCTAAAAAGTTGGTCCGAACCACGTTGCATGGACACCCGCCTTGCAGGCATTCAAGGAACCCGTTGTTCCAAACGGGGCAGCTCCAGAGCCAAGATGTCGGCGTGGCCAATCGGGGTGGGAACAGAGATGGGACTTTTAATCTATATCGGCTATCAACATTAAAGTTGGATTTAGCATTGCCACATTTTGGCCCACGCATTCTGGGTGCGAGGGGTGCGAGAAGACTAAAGAGTCGACAACATCCCTTCCTCTGTGGCGTCGTGTCAGCAATGGCAAAACTGGGCTAAGTGACCATGGTGGACGATGCTCTCTCCACAAACAGATAATCGGCTCCGGGCACGTGGATCTGGATCACCACGGACACCACTCAAGTGCAGAATTTGACCGGCTCCCCGTTTGATTTCAATCAAGAAATACGGTGTTCTGTTCATGGTTGTTGTTGGTATCGGTGTCCGTTCATCATGGCGGGCTGGAGCTCTGGCGAGTCAGATTTCAACAAATCCATCAAGCTTGGGCGGATCTGGTCTCGGCAGTTGAGGAAATGATTCAGATGAAGCAATCAACATGCTTGAATTCCTCCGAAAAGTGTGGTCTAGTTGCGCAGGGTATCTTTCCAACGGCAAGAAGGATCACAAAAACGCATCATGATGACGATGATGGTCTTTACAACTTCGCAGTAACGATACAGTTTACATGTAGCCTACTACTTGATCTCTGAGGATCTCAAACCTTGCGTATGATCCTGTGAGCCACGTGCAGTCAAGCTGACACCCGCACGACCCAAGCGGCTAGTTGTTATTGCTTGGTCACTATATGGAACCTTCCTAGAATACTCGCCAGTCTCGAATTGACAGTGGCGTGATGTTTATCAAGAATGCTATCGAGGCCTTGAACCTTGTTTTGCTGGGAACACGGCTACCGGCACCACGGCGCCTACTTTGACCTGAGCTGACTATGTAGTATCTCCGCCTGTCAAAGGGACGAGCCAAGCGCTGCCCAATTAGTTGGTTCTCTAAACGAAAAGAGTAACTTCGTTTATGCCCCTGCCAAGTCGACTAAGCATTCTATCACGTGTCGCTGACTACTTAGAGTGATAATGCCGGCTTGCAGAGCAGCTCTATCACGGATCCTTATTCGAATTGTGATCTAAAGTCAAACGTATCACCGGGAAATTGGGATCAGTCAGCCTCTCTCGGATTCGGTCTATTAGATTCTAGCGAAGAAACAGCCGTCGTAACTAATACGACTAGAATTGTGTGAGACTCTTTGCCAGGAAACGAGTATGGACTATAGTAAGGTGCCTTAAACGTCTAGACTCAGCTTTATACAATGTTGTACAGCTTCCTTCATTCCTTCCCCCCCCCCCCCCCCCCCCCCATTACCAGTGATGAAGCTCAAACCTTGACAAACCAACCTTTGCCAATCTTCTTCGTCTTCACGATTCGCGCCAAGGTCAAGAAGAACGTCCCCAACATCAGACAGCTACCAGCAAAAACCTGGGCGCCGAGGTATCGACCGCCGGTAGCGGAGATGATGGCGCCGGCGATCGGATTCCCAGTGAGCACGGCAAACGCAACGATCGTGAAGACCATTCCGATGCGCGTCCCTTGCTTGCTCGGGTCCGTCGTCAAGGCGCTGACGCCAGCCGGGAAGAGGGCCTGGATGGCGTTACCCGCGATGCCGAAGAAGATGGTCCAGACGTAGAGCCCCGACGGGGATTTCACGGCGATCCAGCAGTAGGTTAAGAGTCCCGAGATTAGAGCCATGGGTATGAAGACGGTGATTGTGCCGATCTTGTCTGCGAGGAAGTTTGGGCCTAGGCGGCCGATGAAGCCGATGCCGTTGAGGACCAGTAAGAGATTCAGCGAGTCCGTGTACGAGAAGTCGAGCTCGTCTCGACTGAAGGAGGCCAGGTAGTAGAAGGCAAAGTACACTCCCATGAAGGACTTGACGTGGCCGAGTCAGCGCGGCATTCAGATGCACGGGCAAAGGCGACTTACAAAGAACCCCCCGGCAGTATAGAAGGTATACTCAAGTTCCTTGAACGACGCCAAGTCCACCATCTTGCTCGCTTTGCGCGGAAGTATGCGCGGCTTGAGAAAGATGAAGCCAACAATCAGCGTCGCAAGCTGAATGAAAGCAAGCGTGCGCATAGCCCATGGAAACCCGACCTGCGGTAGCAACTGCCGAACCGTACTCGGGAACACCAACCCACCCGACGCGCTTCCCACGGCCGCCATGCCGATGGCGATGGCCCTTCTCTTATCAAAGTAGGTCGACAGCGTCGCTAGGGATGGGCAAAACACCAGACCGAAGCCCAGACCGACACAGACGCCGTGCGAGAGGAAAATCTGCCAGTACTGCGTGCACCATGACGTCGCAAAGATGCCGAGCAGGATGAGGAAGCAGCCGGAGAAGTAGAGGTGGCGGAAGTACCCTGCATCGGTGAAACGCCCTGAGAATGCGCCGATGAAGAAGAGGAGGAAGACTTGGAAGGATCCGATCCACGAGATGTCTGATGGTGGTCTCTTTAGTTGTTGAACGTAATATGTCTGGAAAACACCGAAAGAGTTGACGAAGCCCCTACATTGCCCGTCGTGTCAGCCACTTCACTTGAAAGTCTCCGTTGCGCCGTTGTCTCTCACTCACCATGTATCCATGAAGATGAAGTGCGCGCCCAGTACTACAACGGCCACCGTCAGTTCCACTCCATCAGCAAAGACGCAATCTCATTTCTCACCAGCCATCCAAGCATTGTATCCCCCGTCAGGCGGCGGCCCGGGATCCGCAGTGGGCGCCGACGCGATCCGACTCAGCACGCGCCCGCCGCGGCTCCCCGTCCGATGCGTCTCTTCTCCCACGAGGCCACTTTCGTTCCGCGACGAGTCAGACCTCGTCTCCTTTTCAGTACTATCCATCATGATAATCTGTTCTTGGGCAACATGCGTTCTGATGTCAAGAGGGTGGCGTCATAGACCTGGGTGGGCATTGATCGTGTGTGTGTGTCCTGGGAATAAACGAATTTCATTCCCGTACGCTGGCCATGGCGGGGAGCGGCACCCTTAAAGACCATGTTTAAACCAGTTCCCTCGCGCTTTCGCGCTTAGGGAACCAAGATCCCTTTTATTTGACTCATGGCAAAAGGTCCTAGTTTCGTCTCTTAGTTCTTACCGAGGTTAGGCGGTGTGGTGGGTGGTAAGGATAAATGAATAGCAGCAGCCTTAAACCAGGACTGTTGCCCCGCGAAACTACTACTTGGAGGCGGCAGAAAGAAGTTTGAAACTCGAGAATTAGTCACTAGGCGCTGCAATTGGCATCGCTCGATGATTGACTTGCTCAGTCTAAGCAGTAATTTTCTTACGCTCTCTGGCCGGAACCGCAAGGCGAGCCAACCAGAATGCCGATGACTTGCCGGGATATTCAGCCAACTTTGTAGGAAATGCGGCGGAAGTACCGGGGATCTTCCCGTCCCCCGCGATCCCTTCCGACACTAGTAGAATTGTGGTATTGTGATGATAAGTTGGACAACCGTTGCGCAACTTTATACGAACCAAAAGATTATACTACATCCCTTCTTGGACTTGATTGAAGTTGGTTCAAGGTTCAGTGTTTGTTCTCGCATGATGCAAGACATTAATTCGTTTACGGGTAGAGAAAAGGCAACTGATGGATGAACTAGACTCTCGGAGGTACTTGTACTTACCGTAGCCGCAAGCTGACTAAACGCTGTCGCGCCCTCCGCGGAAATGCATCTTACTTTAACTTCATGTCATCGATGGCCGCCGAGGTAATAGCTGCTTATATTTCTCTTTTCTACTTACCTAAGAGGACCCGGTCATCGGAAAACACTTTTGTCCACATGTCCAGTAAAGTTTTGACTGTAGAGTCATAGCTCCAACGACGAGTATCTGTTTGAGACGACGTTTAAGGGATGCCCAGTCAGCAGAGTTGAGACGACCCCCGCTTGTGTACGTGAGGAAAAGAGAGGTTAGCACATGCATCTTCGGAAACTGGGTTGCTGACAAAACTACGCAGTCGAAGGGTCATTTGATCGATGCGCGTCATTCAAATTGTTCGTTTAGGGAGACATGAGGCCACTGCCGTTGAACGAGCGTCTGATCTGTCGACGGTGACTCGACCGAGGTGAAATGCCATCCTGAAGCACAGCAATTAGTGGCATCAAGTAGTTATTACCAAATATTGCAGGGTTTGCGGCCTTCGAGTTCGTCTTCACCTTTGGCCCACACATTGTCAGCCCTTTTCTTTCATCAACCCGGCTCAACTCAGCATTGCATCTAATGCGATAGAGTGGTGGGGCAACGCCTGGTAGTACAAAAGGGCGAGAGCACTTCGAGAACCCGACACAATGAGATCTTACCCAGACGTCAGCAGAAAGCCTGGACTCAGTTCGCTGATCCTTTCAAGAGCGCTCCCTCTCTACCAAATGTGAATGATTAGGATACTGCAAGCGGCGTTCGTGCTACGCCAGATGTTCATTCAATGAGGTTGTGGGTAACACGAGATATCCGGGACTCCTAGTACGAGCTCTCCCGGTAAGCTATGCGCTCCCTTGGAGTCTGCGACGTTCGAAAGTCAGTAATGCGTTTTGATTCAAGGCTCATAAATAATAACACAGATTGTGGCAACTTGATCTTGAAAAGAGAGCTCTTCGCCTATGCAGGCTGTAGATACTAATCCTCACATATTGACAACCTGCCACATTCATTTGAGCGCCGAACAAACCATCATGCCTTGCATCAGCACTTACCTTCTTCTCGTACACACCTTCATCACAAGCCTCATGGCCAACCCACTCCCCATCACCAACCACAATTCCTTAACCTCCCTCGTCACCCCACGATCCTACTTCACCCCCATCCGCCCCCTCAAAATATCCCCCGTCGAATGCCACAACGAAGCCGACTTCCGCGGCCACGCCGACATCGAACCCAAGTTCTTCTTCGACGGCGTCTACAAGTTCTGCCAGCAGCGCTACGCCACGATGCAGACGCTCGACTACACCGACGACCCGACCTACGACAACGGCCACCTCGTCCGCAACGCGAGCTGGCGCTACCGGGACTGGCACGGCGTCAACCACGACTTTAGAGTTTGGTGGGAGGCGGGTTGCAGGGTTTCCGGCGGGAAACAGAGTGTGCATCGTCCGTTGGGGGAGGAGGGGGGTCCTGAGTGGACGCCGGGGTGTTATGAGATCATGGGCTCTACGCATTACGAGTGTGAGTTTTTTGAGAACCCGATTTTTATGGTAATCTTCGATTACCGGCTTTTGGTTTTGGGTTTGCCAAGGCTATTCACCACCTATATGACTTATGAGTACGGACGGAATACGTGCTGATACTTTTCTCTTTTTGCGATGTAGGTACAGGAAACGGCGGTGTTGGGGGAAGGAAGAAGGCCGGTTGCCTCATCTATGAGTATAAAGGCGGAAAGGGCGACAATGACGATCCAGCGTCTTGATGGGAGTCGAACTCCATGTTTGCAGGACCACGGTCGTGATGGGCCATGTGATCTTCTGAAGATGGCTGAGTCTTTCGAGCCCGCCTCATGGAGATTGTCTGCGAGATGAGGATATAGTTGACAGTTCACGTCAATAATCTGGCGCGTGACCAAGACGAACCGCGATATCCCTGGCACGGCCAGAATCCCCAGACAGTCCGATACTCTATATATCCCTGTACCCAGCCCGATGGTGGTGCCATTGTCGGACCAGCACACATCGGACCCTGAATGACGTACAATTTATTCCTATTACCTTTGGGGGTTTAAAAAGAGATGATGGCCCGGGCATGAGGGGTGGTAACACCGTTACGTAGGCACGGTATCTGTGCCCAGTTATTCCGCCACTCGTCACAACTATCAAGAAGCTGTCAAAACATTTCAGTATACGTCACAATGGATACCCTTTTCATGAAAGTAGTGAGCATTAAGATGCCCGACTCTCTCGCCAATATTATACAAAGCGATCCGTGGGCCGGTGGGAAAACCCGTGCTCCTGCTGTTAGACAATCACCACCCACTGTCAAGCAGGCACCAGCACCAGCACCAGCACCAGCACCAGCACCAGCACCAGTATCAGCACCAGCAGCCGCGAATATGATGCAACAGGATGAGACACAGTACATCAGCCTTCCAAGGGGGGGAAGAGAAAATAAATAGAATCTGTTGGAACCTATGTGCTGACAAATGGCAATCAGATTGAACAGGAACCTGTCCGAGGAGACCAAAGACACGAACAGCTCAGGAGGGACAAATCGAAGCAGCGGTGAGAGTGCCGGTGGTACTCGCAGCAATGGGAAGCCGAAAGGGGAATTATCTGCAACCGTGGATACTCTTCTGAACAAGGCGTTGGGGTTTGGAGGTGCGAGTGAGGTCGAGAAGAAGAAGGGCGGTGCTGCGTAGCCGGTTCTGGCGTCCAAGGTTGCCTACGACTCTCATCTGTCTGAGGGGACGGTTACGAAACTATGACCTTGGCTTTGAAGCGTTGCTCCGTCTTGTTTTGCTAGACTGTACTGTATGCAACGAATCTCACGTTGATTGACTCAACAAGATTGATGTTCTCGAGTTGATACCACACACGGCGGGTTGATAGGTCTTTCGTGACGTACTCCAGATATCGTCGTCAGTCTTACTGCTTATTGCGTGTAGATTCCTTTCTGCGTCACAGTCGCCGCCGCATCGAGGAGGAAACAACCTTTCTAAACAGAACTGGTGAAGAAAAGACCAAACAGCACAACGGTTCTGTGTAAAGCAAAGATGTAAGAACATGCAACCCGCGCCACGAAGCCCCGGCCTTCGGAGCTTTCCCGCGCGATCCAGCCATCTGGTGCGCTACCCCCCGCTGTCTGGACCCCACGCTTACACCGCAACATGACGCCACCCGGACGGCGCCCGATGCTCTTCCGGGATAAGCATATCTGCAGCCGGCTGATGTCCCCGACATGGGTACTGATACCGATAGTTGAATGTCCATACATCACTTTGACTACACACGCATTGAGGAGAAGAGAGAGTAGAGAACGAACTCTGGTTCGTAGTGTCAGTCCTCTCTGCCAAGTCCTCCCACCGCTGATTTAAGGGGAATAATCTCCACAAAGCCCCGGTGGCAGAATCGGCCGTCGGCGACAGGAGCCGAGATAAGATGATGGGTTCGTTGATATACCCTATCCGTTCTTGTCGTGTAGGGCCTCATCATTGGCGACTTTATGGTTCCAAAGGTCCAGACGACCAATCGCTTGGAATAGTGCATGTTGCACAGGATCCTCCATCAGAAACCGCGCAGTCATGGAGACGATGCAGAGTGATATCTCGACAATGGTTCGAGGGGTATAAAGTACATATAGCTGCATGGTCGTTAACAACGATGAAAGGTCCTCTCAGAAATCATCCCGAACCTCCAGTGACTGTCGTGATCTGTCGTAGCCCGCTACCCTGACAACAATGCTCCCCAACTTACTCGCCGCGGCGCTGGCCCTGGCAACAACCACATCTGCCTCCCCAATCAGCAGATCCTCAACCACAAACAATGCCTGGGACCTAGACTGGATATCAACAGACCCCTCCCTCCCAAAAGTAATGTAAGCGCTCCACCGTCCTCATACGCCCCCTCATAAGCACCTACTAACCCAACCCAACACAGCATCTACAGCGCAGGCGGCACAAGCCTCTCAGCCTCAAACTACAGCCGCCTAGACAACATAGCCTACGGCTCCGGTCCCCCACCGACGCCCTACGACCTCATCTCCGACGTCTCCGAGGTTCTCGAGGTCGCGCAGCTCGCCGTTGTAGAAAACTCGATGCCCTCGGCGGCAGCGCAGGGTTAAACTCATCGCTGTATCTGAACATCAGCCAGCTCGCTAACGCACAGGTGTGTGCCGAGGGGAGTGATGTCGCTGGTGCGATTATGTTTCATGGGACGAATACGCTTGAGGAGACGGTATGTGCCTCCACGTGTGGGGTTTTGAGAGTGTTGGCTGACGAGAGGACCTAGGCTTTCGGCGTGGATTTGACGTTTAATTGCTCCAAGCCGTTCGTTGCTACGGGGTCCATGAGGCCTGATACGTACGTTTCTCCTGATGGGCATGCGAATTTCTATCAGGCTGTTGCGGCGGCTGCGTCGCCTTCTTCGCGTGATCGAGGGGGTCTCATCGCCTTCAACGACAGGTAGGCTTTCCAATGTTTATCGAACTCGCCATACACACCCCTGGTCAATCGAGAGAGGAGAGGAGAAGGGATGGAAGAAAGAGAGAGGCAGCGAATTCAACTAACCGCGCGCCGAACAGAATCACGTCAATCTACTACTCCACCAAGGTCAATGCAAATACACCAGACACGTTCAAGGCCCTTGAGCAGGGGAACCTCGGGGCCTTCCTCGCGGGGCAGCCGTATTGCTTTTTCGACGCGGCGTATCCGACAGGACGGCCTCATTTTGATGTCACGGGCGTGACGGAGTTGCCTTCTGTGATTATTGTCTATGGCCATCGTGAGTCTTGCAACCCGCGCCTATCCGGTTACCTCTTCCCACGCACGAGGATATGTTTTGGCATAGGGGGAAAAAAATATTGACGCTGGAGTTTTGCAGAGGGTTTCGATGCGTCATTGATGTATGCTGCCGTCGCCAATGGCGCAAAGTAAGTTCATCCCGGGTTTGCCGACCCATTTTGTCGACACCGAGAGGGAAAGAAAGCTGACGTTGAATCGTGAAGGGGCCTAGTGATTCTCGGACCCGGAGCAGCAGCCGTAAGTCCCAGCGCCCGAGCCGCGGCCGCGGATCTGCTGGAGCAGCGGGGGATACCCACCATCGCCGTCGCCCGACCCGTCACCGGCACCGGCGTCTCCCTAGTCCCTTTCCCGGGCCACTGTACGTACACTAGAGAAGACTCATCACCCACACTCTTGCCCTGAAGTTGTTGGGTTTTCGGATGCACTGACAGCCAGGACCAAGTAGGATTTACTCGAGTTACCTCGGCGGCGAGCAGGCGCGCATCATGTTGCAGCTTGCCATCAATGCCGGCTACGATATTGATGCGATCCGGGGGTTGTTTGAGAGTCCTTTGAGGAGGGCTGTTTATGAGGCACCTGCGAATCAGAAGTTTTATTACTCTGGCTGAACGAGAAGGTGCTTGGATGAAGTACAAGGTATATAGTCAAGAGACCTACATAACATGGTAATACAGCAGAGAGGCAGAACAGAAGACCTGAGAAATGGGTTGACTCGGTGACCTCACATTACATTTTATATTTTTACAAGATTACAGCCCAAGTTTGAAGTTCGGGCCAGGACAGGAAAAAACAAAATACCCCACGTCACAATCTACCATTATATCACTCTTCACAATTACCCACCGTCTATGATTCTAGTGTCGGAGAACAACTGGGTTGGTGGAAAGCAAGGCGTACTATGCCAGCTTGGGTCTGTTTGCAGAAGAATTGGAAGCCGCATCTAAGCCAAATGAAAGTAGTCTAGAGAGAAATGTCAGGTTAGGCTGAGCGATCAACGTTTTGTAGGGTTGGATACATAAGTGGTCGTATATACAATATATAGCAAGGATAAATAACTATTTTCTCTTTTTACCAAGGCGCTTTCGGGCTTCACCACTTTATACATGATCCAAAATACTAGGTCGCCTTTGGGAGCTACATCTCCTCTTTCGGTGCGTCGTCGGGATGCGAAACCCCACATCAGGTTTCGCAACTTCGTCCTGCGAGGGGCGAATCCACTTACCGAGCGGGCCTGCTAAGAAGCGGCTCCTGGTCGTCGCCCTCATGCTCGTCGGCGATCTTCTTGGCCTTGCCGGCGAACGGCCAGTACCCCTTCTCGTTGCAAATCATGGCGAAGAAGCCCGCGGCGACGGCGACCCAGTAGAGGTTGTAAGAGACGACGGAGCCGACGGTGGCCGAGTTCTGCCAGCCGAGGACGGCGTTGAAGATGCCCCAGAAACCGCCACCGTTGAGGTCGGGGTTGCAGCACTGCGGGTTGTGTTAGAATACGTTCGTGGCTGGTGATGAATGCGGGGTGTCTTACGTTGACGTGCCAGACGCTTCTGCGGACGTCGTAGGAGCCGGGGCCGGAGCCGAGTTCTGCTGCGTCACCTCCGACAATCTTGTTCCACTTGAGTTGTGCGTTAGTATTGACCGGTGACTGCTGTTGGGGATGAGGGCTGCTTACCTCGTTTTGCTCAAAGTGCCAGACGCCCTTGGAGAAGAGACCGGCGGCGATGAGGTACAGGAAGCAGGTCGAGACGATGAGGAAGATTTGGATCGGCGCCGTCTTGGAACCCCTTTTCACACAAAGTCAGTCAGTAGGTGTTGCGTATGGCAAGGACTCGATTCACCATAGTGTACTCACTTGTAGATAAAGTAGCCCACAAAGGCACCAAGCGCAAGGCCGAGGATAGACGAAATAGCAATAGACGCAGCAGTCTCGCTAACACCAACACCAGCAATGAAGAGCACGCCCTCGAAGCCCTCACGCAGGACAGTAATAAAAGGCAGCAAGAACAGCGCGTACTTCTCGCCGAGGTACTTCAACCGGTCGCGGAAGGGACCCGAGTGGGACTCGCTCGCGTTCAAAGCCTTGCTCAGCTTCAGACGCCACTTGTCCTGGAGCTTGGTGACGCGCAGGAGGACGGCGCCCATGGCGGTGATGATGAGGGAGGCGCCGAGGGAGAAGATGCCCTCCCAGATGCTCTCTGCGGCGGCGAACTGTTCTGCGCCGAGGGAGTGGATGCCGCTGATGATGGCCATGGCGATGATGACGCAGGTGACGAGGCCGGCGGCGGTGCCGAGCCAGACCTGCTTGACCATCTTTTGGTGGAGGACGGGGTCATCTTTGGTGGCGAGGGTGCGCTTGATGAAGGCGAGGAGGACGGACACGATGATGGCGGTTTCGAGGGACTCGCGGAAGGTGATGAAGAAGACTGTGTTTTTGTTAGCGGGTGGTGGTGATTGTGAGGGGGCTGAGTGTACATACTGGGGAGTGAGAATAGGTCCTCCATTGTGAGTTTGTGGTCGTGATGTGCTCGTGGGTGGTGTGAGTGTGTGTGGGATGAAGATGAGTGGCGCTTTGGTATGACTTGAGAATGAGATGAGAGATTATAGACAGTGCCCCAGTGAAAAAGTGGCGCGGCTGCGCTTAAGATGCGGCTGCAGCGCTTAGATGTGTAGGAACAAGATGAATGTTCCTCAGCGAGATGGAAGACAGCGACGAGGTTATAGTGTTGCGTCACGTCGATACCGAGAGTGCATCACAGGATTAAGAGCTGCGATGTGTGTTGGTGGTGGTGGTGGTGGTGCTGGATATCGGGCGACGATGAGACGGGATGAGGGGACGTGAACGAGAATTCGAGGCAGGATTAAGCGGCTCTGCCGAGAAAGAAACAGACACCGCTGACACTGACACTAGCGATGACACGCACACGGGACGGGCACGCGGGGCTTAGGCGAGAATGAGAGAGAGAGAGAGATGGAAGTGGTGGCTTCGGGGCGCCGAGGTGATGGTGTCGCGTGAGAGTGCGGATTCCGAGTTTTTCTCTCTCTCTCTCTCTCTCTCTCGCAATTCTTTCCCCGCCGATTTTCACCGTCGTCTGTCGCGCCAGCGATCTCGGCTGGCGTCGTAAAGCCGAGTGGAATCCTTTCCGTAGGTTCTTGGGTGGGAATAAACAGTGAGGTGATGTGAGTGGGGCAGGGGTCCTCGGGGGGTTTTGCCTGCTGACTGAGCCACCTGGCCGTGTGGACGGGTGCGCTGGCGTCGGTGCTGGCGCATTTCTGAGTCTCTGACAGGCTTCACCCAGGGGGGGCACCACGCTGTAACACTTGCTATGGTGATCCTCAGGATCAGATAAACCCCTCCAGTGCCTCCCCTTCGATCCGCCCCACCGGCGGCACACCGCACACCACCCCCCCACCATAGCGGGTACTCTTCAGGGAAGGACCGGGCAGGCAACGGCGGCTTTTCCTTATCAGATCGCCAAGATTTCATTCAATCCATTCGTCGTGCAATTTTCAATCCTTTTTCACGTGTGTCTCACTTTCATTCTCACTCTCACACTCACTCCTCACTCCTCACCTCACTCATCCTTCACTCTTCTCCTCATCTGCGAGTTCCCCCTTCCTCGCTTACACTTTCACTTTTCTCCGAGCACTCGCGTCTAGTGTAGGTATCCGTACACTTCAACTGTGTGTGTGTGTGAGTGTGCTGCGTGTGAGTGTGCTGCGTGTGCTGCGTGTGCTGCGTGCATATCTCTCCCCCACCCCTCCCTCGATTGCCGCCGCCCGCTGTCAAAAGTCTCGGACGTCCAATGTTCCTCCGCGCTCGGCCCGGTTCGTAGAAGCTTTTTTTGTGGGATTTTTTCAACGAGTCTATGAATCACGACGGATTCTCGTGCATCTGGACGCCCGTGCGAGACTGCATAACAACCAAGTGAAGCAGCATAGGCTCAACCCGAATCTAGTGTTGAGTTGAGAGTTGTGAGGGCATTTTGAGCCGCGCCAAAAGGGCAACCAACACAACCACCACCACCACCACCACCAAATAAGTACACTAGAGAGGACAACCGCACTTGGAAGCATCCCCGGCCACTATGGCCTTCTCATCCTCAACATCGGCCGTCTTGGCCCGAGTCGCCGCCCTCACGCTTCTCATATCATCCGCCCTGGCAAAGACCATCGAGCTCGACTGGAACATTGGATGGGTTCTCACAAACCCCGATGGCGCCTTTGATAAACCAACCATTGGCGTCAACGGCCAGTGGCCTCTGCCTCTCATCGAGGCAACAAAGGGTGACAGGCTCGTCCTCACCGTCCACAACCACCTCGGCAATGCGAGCACCAGTCTTCACTTCCACGGCCTGTTCCAGAATGGCACCAACCACATGGACGGCGCCGTAGGTGTCACCCAGTGCGCCATTCCGCCTGGTTCCTCCTTCACATATGATTTCAAGGTAAGCCCCTCCTAGAGACTGACTCTCTTCCAAGTTACCCAAGTGTATACTCATGCCATGCTATAGTTTGATCAAGTCGGCATCTACTGGTACCACGCCCACAACGACGGAACCTACCCCGAAGGTCTCCGCGGCCCTCTCCTCATCCACGACCCCAAGGGTCCCTACGAGGGCAAGTACGACGAGGAGCTCGTCCTGACCCTCTCCGACTGGTACCACCAGTCCACCCGCACCCTCATCAAGGAGCTCATCAGCGTCGAGAACCCCACCGGCGCAGAGCCCGTCCCCAACGCCGCCCTCCTCAACGACACCCAGAACCTCCGGGTCAAGGTCCAGCCCGGCAAGACCTACCTCATCCGCATGGTCAACATTGGCGCCTTCGCCTCCCAGTACATCTGGTTCGAGGGCCACACCCTGCGCGTTGTCGAGGTCGACGGCGTCTGGACCGACGAGGCCGAGGCCGAGATGCTCTACATCGCCCCCGCCCAGCGCTACAGCGTGCTCCTGACCACCAAGAAGGACGCCTCGGAGAACTTTGCCATTGTGGGCTCCATGGACGAGGAGCTCTTTGACGTGATCCCCGACGGCCAGGACTCGAATGTCACGGGCTGGCTCGTCTACGACGACAAGAAGCCCCTGCCTGAGCCCGCCACCGTCGACGAGTTTGATCCCTTTGACGACTTTGAGCTGGTGCCCTTTGACAAGCAGGAGATTTACGACAAGGTAGACTATTCCTTCGAACTGTCCGTCAAGATGGACAACCTCGCCGACGGCGCAAACTAGTAGGTCCACGACAATTCTACACAAAGACTCCAGCTAACGCCCTTGACAGCGCCTTCTTCAACGACAAAACCTACATCCTCCCCAAGGTCCCCTCCCTCTACAGCGCCCTCACCGTCGGCGACTCCAACGCCGCCAACCCCCGCGTCTACGGCACAAACTCCATCGCCCGCGTCCTCAAGCACAACGAAATCATCGAAATCGTCCTCAACAACGAAGACGACGGCAAGCACCCCTTCCACCTGCACGGCCACCAGTTCCAAGTCGTCCACCGCTCCGATGAGGACGCCGGCGCCTTCTCCAACTCCACGGATGACATCAGTAACTTCCCTCGCTACCCCGTGCGCCGCGACACTCTCATCGTCGAGGGCAACGGCAACTTTGTCATCCGCTTCAAGGCGAATAACCCGGGCGTGTGGCTCTTTCACTGCCATATCGAGTGGCACATGGACCAGGGGCTGATCGCGACCATTATCGAGGCGCCTGATGTCCTGCAGGGGCTGGAGGTGCCCAAGGATCATCTGGAGGCGTGCCGTGCCGGTGGGGTGCCGACTAAGGGCAATGCGGCTGGTAATACCAAGGACGTGTTGGATCTTATTGGCGAGAATAGGCCTGTTGGACCTTTGCCTGAGGGGTTCACGCCCAAGGGATATGTTGCCATGTTTTTCAGCTGCGTGGCTGCGTTTATGGGTTTGGCTGTTATTTCATGGTATGTTTTTTTTATGATCCCGCATTGATTTGATTGGTGACTAACTTTGATATAGGTACGGTGTTCTGGAATCTGATAAGCAGTCGAGCGTTGAGGACTCTGGTTCCGATGCGGGAAACCGGGATGAGTAAACGTCATCTGGATGAACAAACTATATACACATGCATATATATATATATATATTATACCTGTCATACATGCACAAACATATATGTACACCGCCATATAAGAAGAAATGAATTTGAGTCAACACAATCCTGTCGGATCAAACATGCAGTGATCTCTTGCGTCCACATCTGTCTCAAACGAGAAAGTCTAAAGAGCAGAGAAGCACTCAAAGTCGACATGCTCGCGGTGAATCCACAAGGTAGGAAGACAACATAAATCATTGCTAAACTAAGAACTGGATATCATCTCATCGCGCATAACACAGAACCCCTCCAGCCCATCAAATCCACAACTCACCTCGTCAGTCATCAAATCCCATTCCTCATTTTCAACGTACCATTCATCCTCTCTCCCCAGCTACCCCTTTTCCCCAAAAGCAAAAGACTCGCCCTGACCACCAACAAACTCGTTCGTCAATGCCGAGCTCCATCTACGTACTACTTCAAGGAAGGTTGTTCATCTTCATGCTGTTCTGCGAAGTAGAATCCTTGCCGACATTGTAGTGCTCAGAACGCTTCGCATTCTCCTCCATACGGGCAAGTCTCGAGTTCCGCTTCTTCTGCTGACTCTTGCGGTAGAAGAACAGCGCCGCACCAATCAAAAGTCCAACACCAGCAACAGCACCAATAACGATCCCAGCAATCGCACCCCCAGATAACTTCTTGCTTCCCGAGCTTCCGCTGCTAGAGCCAGAGTTGGAGGCAGCGTTGGTCGACGAGGCCGAGGGCGACGCCGTGGCGGCGATGTCGTCCTCGCCCGGCTCGGTGGCGTTGAAGCAGGGGATGCGGGTGTTGAAGGTGGCGGCCTCGACGTAGGTGATGTCTGCGCAGGCGTAGAAGGTCTGGTTGTGGGGCGCGTCCCAGTCGGCGCGGTAGATGATTTGGAGGGTGGCGTTGGAGCCTGCTGCGACGGAGGAGGGCGGGTTGGGGACGTTGACGCAGGTGTGGCCTGGGTTCAGGTCCGAGACGGATTGTTCCTCGATGAGGGTTGTGAAATCGCTGTTGGAGGTTGGGTCTTAAGGGTGGGTTTTGTTAGTCATGTGTTGTGAAGGGAATCAGGGGTGAGATGGGTTGAATAGGGGTTGAAGGGGACTGGGTTGCCGAGTCTTTAGACTCCGTTTTAGGATGGTGAGGTTTCCGTAGACATACCGTTCTGGTAAGAGATGGAGATCTTGCTGTTGTAGTAGTCATCCTGAGCAACGAGGGCGACCTTTCCGCCAACTATCCATCGGTACTCGTCAGTAAGAACGTTCACACATCTTCTCACGTCTTCATCAAGACTTTTGTTAGGAGGCTCTTTGACTCACCCAAGGGGAACTCGGTCCTGTTGGCAGCACCAGACTTTGAACCGCACGGAGCCTGGTTATCCATGTCTCCGCTCCAGACTCTGTCGGTCGGCCACATGAAGGCGGCGGGACCCATCTCGTCATCCTGCTTGGTGTGCTGAGCACAGGCGACCGAGGCGAGGCCCAGGGCCAGGAACGTCTTGAGGGAGGAGGCGTGCATTGTTGCCGTGATATGGGATTTGGAGATACCAAGATGCAAGAAATAAGCTTCTTCTTTGACGGGTATACGGTAAAACACGCGATGCCTTGGGACCAACAGAGTGCGTTACGAAGAGATGCATATGACGGCTGTGGAGGAAGAGGGGGGGTTCAAGGGGATAATTAAGAATTAAGGGGCGGTTAACTAGCATCCATGGGGAACGAACCGGATGGCAACAACGGTCAAGTTATACTACTGCAGGTCTACCTAGATTTTTCTTCTCTCTTGCCTTTGCAAGCCGACTGGTTGCATATTGCATGTAACCATGTCTCCGTTTCCCTTTCCCCTCTTTGGGTCGACCTTACACCAACCATCCTCCGCTCACACATGTCAAACGGAGTAAAGATGGGCTCACAGAAGTCACGAAGGGGCGGATATCCCGCCTAGATCCGCCCAGAGAGGAATGAGGGAAAAAAAAAAAGTAAGAAGGCACGAGTTCTGTTGAGGCTTTTCGCCAATAGCGCCCATACGACCCGCGCCCAGAACATGGCAACTATGTGCCCACAGACTTGGCTGAATCCCGTTGGATGGGAAGGGGAAGAGGCCATGGCCGCATGGGTGAAGGGTGGTGCAGGTGGCGACGGCGGTTTTTTGCTTGGTAAAGTCTTGGAAAGTACCATTCATGTCTACACAAAGGTTTTCCCAGTATCCGTATGCTTAGGGTCTCCGTAGATTGATAAATGAACGGCGGAACTTTTGGGAGGAGATGGGCAATAAGGTCTGGTATCTAGATGGGTTGATGGCCAAGAATGTGGATGGGACAGGGAAGACCGCTGGACGGCAAAAAACTTGGGAATACGAAGCAGACAGAAACCAAAACTCCCGCCCCGCCTCTATTGATTTTTACTCTCTCTCTCTCTCTCTCTCTCTCTCTCGCTCGGCCGCCGAAGGGGCCGGATACGTTTCTTTGTGAGGGATCAAGTGCCCAGGCAATTACTGGAGAATGGAGATACCATCACGACAAGTTCCCTTGGCAAATAATCAGGTTGCAGAGTAGCGTAGGAATGGGTGCGACTCTAGGGTGGTGAGATAGAGGGGAACGAGGGATAAACATGCTTCAAGTCCATTTACCGTGTATGCCATGTACCACAATCAAAGTTTCGAAAACTCTTTTCCTTTTCACCAAGACCGTAAGTAGTTTATCAGATCCCTTTGTCCAATCAGATCATGCCATCCGGCCCGCTTGTGTCTCTTGGCAGCATGGAACAATATATCCAAACAGGGAATGGTTCACCGGACGTGGATGTCTGCCATTGTCTGGCTGGCAATGGTTGGCAGAAGTTGTTGGCTGATGGCTGGATGGGCTGTCGTTTAACTGATGTGATTGATAAGATTAGATGCATCCATGAGATCAGCAGCGCTAGGTACTTTTTACGATTTACCTCACCTTTATCCGTAATCCACAACTTACTCCCAGTTTCCTCCTCCTCATCCTCTTCCCATCCCCTGGTCTGGTCTGGTCTGGTCTGGTCTGGTCTGGTTCTGGGTCTCCTCCGTTCTCCGCTTCAAAAGGCCGCCCGTCGGTTCTTAACCCTAATTAGCCCGGACGCAGCATGGACGGACATGAGTGAGTCTAGGTGAATCCTCGCAGAGTCGCAGAAACTCTTGACTCTGTCCGACCTCGCCCGCAGAGAGCCCAACAAGGATCGCGATTCATCCCACCACTCACGCAGCCCACGCGAGGAAAGAAACGCCTCCTCACGCCACGAACAGTCATGCATAGTATCCCACAGGGCCGCCCAGCCATTCTCCTCATCTCCACAATGCCCCGATCCCCCCAATCACGCACATTGATCCAAGGTGACTGGTCCCTGACTCCCAAGACCACATGGACGAACCGTCGACGATATCGGTGAGGCACAGGCGCGCCGCACCTACGGATAACGCTAGAAGACTAATAAACAAAACGGTTGCCCGGATCAGACAGCCCTTTTTGGGAAGGCGGGTTTGTGACTTTCGCTCCTCTCTCGGCTGGACCGCATGTTTTCAGCCCTTGGCATCAGCCATCAGGTCACCCGTTGCTGGTATTCTCCGACTTTCGGGAGGAACTCTCGGACTAACGAGGAGACATGACGGACGAGCGAGCGAGCGAGCCATCATCGCCATCATCGCCATCATCGCCATCATCGCCATCATCGCCATCAGCCTTCTCTGGAGTAACCCGCTCTACCGAACGGCGAGAGTAAGAGAGCAGCCGGGCAATGGCCGACGCCATCCGCTTCAGTCCATTATCTCTCCCGTCTCTCTCTCACCAATATCCTCTTCTCTGCTGAGCTGCTCTTCGTACATCCAGGCTCAAGACTCCTCATGTCCCATATCCCCATATCCTCGTCCCCGAGCCTCTACCCCTCCTTCTCGATAACCTCTTAGTCAAAGGGGGCAAGAACCGAGGGTCGCATCCGTACCATGTATGTACACTTAGAGTTGCGTTGGTTCGGCGAGTACCCTCTTCCTCCTCCTCCGCTCCCATCCATTCATCGCCCCTCCCCTCGACCTCCACTTGAGTTGCAGTAGCCCATGCCATCCATGCCAACGACCACGCATGACAAGGATCTTTTGCCTCTCTTTACCTTTGGTACGAGCTTTTTTCTTTCGGCATCCCGCAAATTACACTACAAGCGCGCTGGGTCTACTTCGGCGATCCGGGGCAAATCCGAGCTTCCACGATCGAATACTTGCTCGTCTCCTCTAGCTGTCCCATGGACTCTGGAGACTATACGAATGTTATCGCGCTCTTTGAGTCCCGCGCGCGCCTCCCTGCTCCGCGGGCCATCGACAATCATTGCCTTATGTCATTGCCTTGCCTTGCCTTGCCATGTCCTGTTCAGATCCTGTCGTATTACCCCCTTACACGCCCATGGTTCTACCCTGGCCTAGGTCTGCCAGCTGATGGAGACTCTCATCGGCCAAGCTTGACCACGGAAGAGGCCGACATGAACATCCATTCCCAGGTTTCCACATTCACAGGCCGGGAAAGCCTAGACTGATTGATGTATGCATGCTCGCCGGCTCCTGTGCCTGTTCCTGTACCTGATTTCCCCTACCTCGTGCGTAACGAAAACAAAGCCTTCATAATCTATAATAACCTCTTTCTCCAACCTTCCTTCTTCTCGTTCCCACCCCCCTTCTTCCTCCTCACGCTCGCTTCCCCTAACTTAACAACTTGACTGCCATTCAGACAATCCTCCTCCCTTCCAGTCTTCCTCCCACAAAGCATCTTCAAGTCTCTCAACTTACCAACCCCTAATACCAACCTTCAAGATGCGTTCATTCGTTACCTGCACCGTCCTGGCCACCGTCGCCTCCATGGCCGTCGCCCAGGTCCACCCTCGCTTCGAGTACCCCGAGTCCGTTCCCGCCGTTGAGAAGCGCCAGGAGCCCGGTACTCCCCGCTACCAGTGCCACGAGGACTGCGGTACGTCTATGCCCCTTCCATACCCTCTACTTACACCATCCCCCCCCCTATACGACGCAGAGAAACTGATCTCCAAACAGGTCTCCTCATCACCCTCGGCCGCGAGGACGGCTTCTGCACCAACTCGGAGTGGAACGAGCGCTACGGCCGCTGCATGACCTGCGCAAACACCTACTCCATCTGGATGTACTACTCCTCCGGCGTCACCTCCGCCGCCGCAAAGTGCGGTCTCTCCCCGACCCCCAGCCCCTCCGGAGGCGCCGTCGAGACCACCGCCGCCCCCGCCCCGGCCGCCACCACTACTGCGGCTCCCGCTCCCGTCCCCACCACCGAGACCTCCGCCGCCGCGCCCCCGGCTGAGTCTACCTCTGCTGCCGCCGAGTCCTCGGCCCCTGCTGCCTCTACTTCCGCCGCCGGTGCTCCCGCCACCACCCTCTCCACCGCTGCCTCCGGCTCTGCTTCCGCTTCCGCTTCCGCTTCCGCCTCCGCCTCCGGTGCCGCTACTACCTCTGGCGCTGCTTCCGGTACCTCCGCGGCTACCGTCACCCGCGTCACTTCCATCGGAACCTCTGTCGTTATTGTATGTGTCGCCTGGGCCTGGTCTATGATGTAGACGTAAAAATTCGTTTCTGGTGTTCTTTGTTTGTTAACGTGGTCTCTTCTCTCTCTTGTAGCCTTCCGGAACTGCCACCCCCAGCACCCCCGTCTTTGCTGGTGCCGGCAAGAACGCCGCTGCCGTCGGTCTTGCCGCTGTCGGCCTGGCCCTCGCTGCCTTCTAAGGGAGATAAATCCTTGAGATTCTAAAGGACGAGCTTTTTTGAGGAAATGTACATAGGCGAAGATGCCACCACAACTTTAATTTTCACCGGAGATATGATCATGTTTATGGATGTATGATAGCGAAGACTTTTGTTATTATACGATTGGAGATAGTATACTACAGCCTAATGAGTCTCCATTACACAATTTGCGGGTGTGATGTGTGATGCGCAAAGTGATCAATCTCTTGATATGTACCTCTATCAGTAGACGCCGTTGAATGATAAAGTCATGTGCCGAATGTCCTCACAGCAAGCCATCATGAATTTTGTCTAACCAACATGAAGGCACTACACACTTTATACTACCAGCTCAAGTCAAGTAATCAAGACAACTAGCCCCAGACGAAACCCCCGACGACGTAAAATACCATCCCCAAGCCCTCTCCAGCGCCATCAAAGGAGCCTTCTTCTCCCGACACCCAAACATATACAACAACGACTCCGCGATCCCCACGCCCCCCACAAACTCCTGCAACACTTCCGTGACCTCGCCCATAATCTCCGGATCCGCGCGCGACTTGTACACCACAAACGCCATCGGCCGGATGAGGTCGTTCTCGAGCACCAGCGTCTTGAGGCCGTTGAGCTCCTGCTTCCGCGCCAGCTGCAGCGCGTGGCTGATCATGTCGCGGTACAGCGGCGTCACGGCGGGGAGGACGTTGGCGTCGAGCTTGTGACGCTTGTAGATGGCCGCGAGGTTCTCTACGTAGAGAGATTCGAGGGTCATGGCTTGGAACCAGCGGTGGGGGTTGTGTTCTCGTTGCTGTCGCGAGGTTTGGAGGAGCGGGGAGAAGCTGGCGTGCCATGTTTGGAGGAGGTTGGCTGATTCTTTCCAGATGGCGGTGTCGTTGGAGGGGTCGGAGGAGGGGGGGTTGATGGAGGATTTGAGGCCGTGGAGACAGTGCATCATGGCGTGTTGCGTTAGATGCCACCACCGCGACGCCTCGGTGATGTTGGTAAGACTTGATGGCATGTCTTGCATGTTGTATCTGTGTCTACACCCGTGGGGGAAGTTGCGCGCCTGCGCCGTGACGCGGATCCCTTCCGGACCGAACCCTGTGGCCCAGGGATGCGTATCAAGTCTCTGTAAGGTATCGAACAGGGCAGACTCGAGCTCAGAAAGATGAAGCTTCTCAAACTGGACGCCGTCCTCCTTCAGCCGGAGAGTAACAAACTGGTCCATCATAGCAACGGAATGGTTATGATGCTTTGACGCAGCCTCGGGGTTGCCCGCCATCATCTCAAAGGTGGTGAAGAGCATCGACGTCAACACCATGTACGGCAGCGTGTACGTCGTCGCCTTGACGCTGAAGACGGCCTTGACGGCATGGCCGTAGTGCTCCAGCGCGGCGCGGTAGTCTGCACCAACAAGCTTGTCGCTGATGACGGGGTGTAGGGCCTTGCCTAGGGCCCCGATGCCGGAGCAGATCTCCCGGATGGCGATCTCGTGGTTGGCGTACTGCGGCGTCATCTCCGCCACGTGGTTCTTGAGGACGGTGGCGCCCTGTTCCAGGTTCACGATGAAGGACTGGAACGAGTCCCACTGCCGCTGGTTCTGGAACAGGGCCGTCTCGTAGCCAGGGGTGATGAGGACGCGGTGGTCAGGGGCACGACGCCGTGCGGTGCGGGTGATTTGCCCGCCGCCGCCGCTTCCATCGCCCGGATGGGAAGTGATTTGGGCTTGCTTGTGTCTCTGCGGCATGAGACGAAGTCCCGAATCGAGGTAGCCCTCGCAGATGCGATTTGATTTGACGCATTTCATGCAGTGTGGCCTGGCCAAGTCGCACTTGATGTGGCGTTTCCTACACGAACGATCCACGTGAGACCCGTATTCTTCTCATCAAGGGTGGGAACGGCTACGCGGAACGAGGAGGGAGCGAATGACAGGTGAGTATAAGAGAGTTGACAAAAAACGTACCTGCATTCTTTACACCCGTTCCGGGTCTTGGGCGCGCTCGCGCGGCTCTGCTTGGGTCGGTTCGAGAGCGAGAAGACATGGACCTGGCCGTTGGGTGGAGTTCTAATGTCCGTATTGGTCAGTCCTTGGTCCAGATTCGATATATAGATGCACCCGACCCCCTACTGCGAGGCTGTTTGTTCTTTCTTCGCCGATCTTCTCTGGAACTCTGATACAAGCGATGTTGTTTACAATGCGCCCTGGACACCCAACTCCCAACAAACAAGTCTCTCGCATGCTACTTACGCCTTTATTTCGCCCTTATCGGTACCTTGAGACGAAGCTCTTGATGCAGGCCGCGATTCTAATTGAAGTTGAGAACGCGCGCCTTGGAAGCTGTGAACCACGAAGGTAGGCTCCGATGATCTGGTTTTGGTACCCATGGTATCGGCGTTTACTGCAGCGTAACGTGGTTAAAGGCGACAAGTCGATTGACGAAACAGCAACAGCAGCAAGCAGGACGTTATGAGCGTCAGAAGTATGAACACGTTTGTCTTTTTGGGAAGATCCTGAAGATGCCATTTCCCCTGACTAGCTAGGTGAGATAACGAGCCCTTTGATGAAGTTGAAGCGGAGGATCCCGAGGATCTAAGAGAAGCATGGACCTGAATCCTTTGATGCAACGGACCCAATCACTGGTTTTCTTACTCTCGGAGGACGATCCCGACAGCCAATCAGAAGAGTCAAGTTACGTGTTTCCTATTTGGGACTCGGCCTGGATCCTTTAAAGTTCAAGATGACTGAGGTTAGGCTTACGACTTATTGCAACTATTCTCTTCTCCCCCCCCCCTAAGGACCAGAGGTCTTGTTCGAAGTCTGAAGAACTTTGATTGTCTCGCTGGCTGTTTCAAGATGAGATTCAAACTCCATCTACCTACCGCAACTCTCGGAATCTACCGAGCCATGAGAAGGCAGGCAACTTTTCATGTCGCGGATCCAGCCTCAACGTCATGAGTTGATGGGCGAAACAACAAGAACCCATCGTGTATGCCTACTAAAGAGTCATGAGCTGGCTTCAAGCTTCTCATTTGACCTAGAACATATCGACAAGTTTGCGACATCGTCGCATATGCGATCTTTGGTGGTTGAGGAACGGCTCTCGGATCCTCTGTGCAGATCATAACAGCCAAGTTTCTGCCTGTGAGGCAAAGAAACCTCACAAGTCGCAGAGTAACGGTACCCTAAGTGCGGTTTCTGCGGGAGGGCAAAAGTGCTGTATTGCAGTGATAGAAAGGTGATGTGGGCGGAGGAGAAAAACTCCGCGGGGAAGGTCAGCTATTAATGGAAATGCGCTGGTGGTCTCAGCCACAGCCAAGGGCACATGGACCACACCGGGTGCCCAGCCACAGTCTGTCAAGGGATCTCAGATTGATACGTTTCGGAGACTTTGACTTGATGGATCAAGTTGAAGCAAATCCAACCTTATGCCGTTCTCCCACTGTTCGAGTGTTCCTAAAAGGCTTTGTCACCTGAAAATCTATCTGCCCAGTTCATAGGAGCATGATCGAATCAACGGAGCCAACTCCGAAAGGCAGAAGACGGCATACGGAGACTTGTCTTTACATAGCAAAGCGCCCCGCGCAGTGATAAAATAGCCCAACCATCAATGTCTTTGTTTAATGAGCGATCAGGATCTCAACAACCAAAGATATTTCCGATTACTGATAATATATGGATATAAACGTGGATAGAACGACTGCAAGTTTAATCCTCCTCCGAGGGGTCAGTGCACTAATGGTAGACTATAGTTCCACGACTCCCGGGTTGCCAAGAAGTGCTTGAACGGTGGTCAAACCGTCGTCAGGGACGTGTTTGGGCAACTTTTCCGCTCCATCAAGACCGGCAAAGGATGGAAGCTGCCGGTGGGCATCCCCCGGAACACAAAAGGTCATTGAATACGAAAGGCTATCGGAGCAGTAGATCCATGCCAGATCGAGGGTAACTGCCCAGATTGGCAGTTGGACTGCCGTCGTGGGGCCAACTTCCAAGGAGATATGTCCTTGGAGCGTCTATCTGATTGATACTTCTCCTATTAGGTTAGTGCATGCAGTATGATCCACGATCACCAGCCTAGGAGACTTTCCTTAGTGTCCATCGAGATCCACGGACGCTACTTCCTTCCTCTCCCCGCGATTTGAGGCATTCTTTTCCTTCCTAGTATAGATGGAAAAGGTGTGAAGGGGGCCAAAAGTCGCCAACCGAGCAAAGCCAAAGACCAAGAATCGTGGGCGGAACATCCTCGCAGCCCGGCCCCTTTCTAGGTTCACGTCGCGGGAGAATCCTTATTAAGCCGTCCGATCTTCGAGTCAGTCGCCTTAGTCCAGACAAAACCTAATTCAAATAAACAAACCACAGAGCCAGCACATATAGCCCACTCTACTGTGTAAGATGAACGGAGTAAAAAGTCCACCCAGGCGTCGAACGGGTTCGCCCCAGACTGTTCGTCCCCTTTGTGACCTTGAAGTTTCAACTCTTTTCATTTTGCAACTCGAAACCTTGTCATGGATGTCGGCAGTTGGCGGTGGTGATGAGCCCCATCTCGATATTAATTATCCGAAGTCTAAATCGTCAACGGAGGCCGTGACGGAACACTCGGGCCAACAAAAACTCTCCCTATTTTCCAAATCAATGCCTCCGGCGGCCGTTCGTGCCCCGAGAATAGATGAGCTTTGGGCGAGCCGGTATAGGCCCACAGGCAATCATCTCCGAATCCGAATACATCGGCGCTCGCGGGGCGGTCTGGGATGAGGTTGTATGCGGTTATTATGATCGAAACTTTGTCTCTTGGCTACTGCGGGACATCCGGTCATGTTGTATGTGAAGATAAATAAGCCGGCTCACTTCACTTCGGCCTCCCAGAGTCGTAAATGAGAATCCTCCGTAGCCAACACAAGTCGTCGATCGCTCTAACAAGTTCATTCCTTTTAACAAACTACACACGTTCGCTTCCAACAACCCACAAACTCCATCCAAAATGAAGAGCTTCACCACCCTCGTTCTCGCGGCCAACGCCGTCACTGCTGCCGTCGTCAGCAAGCCCCTTGTGCAGCGCAACACCGGCTCCGACCTCAACATCAAGATCGGCAAAGACATTGTCAACTCCGCCGCCTACGAGAAGTTCCTCAGCAGCGAGGTCTTGTCCCCGAAGCAGCTCCAGACCCGCCAGGACGGCGAGCCCGACCCCAACCGCAACGAGACCAACCCCAATATCATCTTTGTGCTTCAGTGCACCGATGCTGTAAGGCGGCTCTAAGAGATTACTTGACTGGTTGTGAAGCAATACTGACAGAAGCAGGGTTTCCGCGGTGACTGCCTCGTCTTCGGTGCCAGCCCCGGATACTGTGGTAAGTGCTTGACTCTACGATTGTGATGAGATGAACGGAATGCTGACTCGCATGTGAAGTCTCTTACTTCAACTTCCAGGACGCCAACTCCACCGCGGTCAGCGACCGCTTCAACAACCAGGTCTCTTCCCTCTCCACCAACACCGGCGGCAAGTGCCAGTTCTACCTGTAAGTATCTTGGTTTCTAATGAGTTCGACTTGTCATATCAAACATACTAACAATGCACCAAAGGTACAAGGGCTGCGACAACAAGGGCGATGACCGCGGTCTCACCTCTTCTTACAACTACAACCTGGCCGTCGCTCTCCCCGAGGACCCTCGTACCGTCGAGTACGAGGACAAGATCACCTCCTGGAGGTGCTAGGCAGGCCAAGCGCCGGCCGAATTTGAGTCGGCCATTTATATACCACAAATAGCAATTGAAATATAGTTGTATTCTGAAACGAAGTGCTTTGCGAGGAAAGTTCGTGAACTGCTCTTCCAAATATCGCGCCATTACTACACAGCTTCAAGCTCACATTTGTCGTACGGTAAGGGAAAATAGAGATGAAGTGGCCATTTTGAACGTGTAAACAAATATTGGTATGCTCGTACAAATCACAGTTGGGATGGCCCAACAGTTCGTCTGATGAAGCTTACTAACAGAGCCCAACGCAGGAGAAAGGGGTTTGATGAGGCGACCTGCACGCACCGCCCCTTGCTTCCGAGTTGCCAGATGCGGCAGGTTTGGTTTCGGATGACAGCTCTGATTGGATCTGTGGTGTTGCATCCGCGCTCGTGAGAGTACTACCAGCTTCAGCCGCCATGCAGCAGTATCGGCTGGAAACAAACTCACACTCGGCTACGGGCTTAATTTCAGGCGTTCTATCCTACAGGCTGCCGTTTTTCAGCTCGGCTCATGGCTCAAGTCAATCAAGGTTGCGTTGTATGTTCAAACAGTCTACAGCCGGATAAGTATGGTAAACACCCTGTACACCTAAGATAACATGGTGTAGGTCGGAAGGAAGCATGTTTGTGACGCCTCCGCCCGACTCTCTTGAGATACTTACAACTATAAGAAAGACAAAGCCTTCAAGCCAGACCAATCTGCCGTCATTACCTTTTCGAAACCCGGAACTCCCCTCGCATAGCCTGCGCTGAGCTCCCAAATCTAGCGTTGACATCTTCGCCCACCTCTTGTACTGAAGAGCCAGATATGAAAGATGCATCCGCTCCACCTCTTCAGTATAATTCTTAGCTTTGGGGCTTGGTTAGATTCCATATGTACCAACTACAACAAGTTGAGGACTCTGTTGACTGACTGATGCAGGGGAGCTTCGAGTCAAGTCATCACGCTGACTCCGTCAACGATAGACCGGGCCAAAACCGTGACCGTCACAAGGACAGAGATTCGAGAAACCACTATGACCGCCACCACGACGGCGACTGCTGTCGTGACGAGCCCGACGACGCTGCGAGAAGTCTCAACCACCACCGCACTCGTCACTCAGATCATCACGAAGACGACCACGGCGCCTTGCTCATCTCTCAGCTGCCCCAAGATCACCTCTACTGGTACCATCTGCAAGAGCTGCTTCGTTGCTCAATGCACTACTACTTCGTACATCACGAGATCCTGCGGCTGCCCTGTTCTCTCAACTACATCCGTCGACTTTGAGTGTGGTGAGGCTGATGTATGTAACAAGATTGGGTGCAGGACTGTATATGCAGTTGCAACTCCTGCGTGTTAGAGTTCTTTTTCTCTTCTTGTCGAACTTGAGTAAGAAGGGGGAAGGTGGATAGTGTGAAGAGAGTGGCTACGTTGAGGTGGGCTTTAGGAAATGAACAAGTTTTGCTGCAACTCTCATAGGCACTCAATTGCAACCGCAATCTTTCCTCGAACGAATCATCCGCTTGATTATGCATGCTACTAAATGTTTAGAGTATTTGAATTCAAGGAAACTAAGGCTGCACCAAGTCGGCAACTCGGACACTACTTCTTGTAGATGGAGACAAGACCACCCCAAATCTCCGCACGAGATCTCCAAGATAAGGGGTTCTTGCGTGATGTTATTTGGAGACCAGAGGAATGCAGCGTCGGCCGACCCAAGACTCTGTGGGCTATTGTGCCACTAATGCATTGGAGTAATGCGAGATGACTGCATGAACCGTTCGGACCAACGCGCAGTGGACAACTCGTGGGCAAATGAAATCCCACCGGAATCAGCCAAAGTCAAATGTATTGTCTTGCTAAAAACAAACATGGACTGAATCATGGATGAGTGTTCGTCCGGCATGTTGCGCAAGGCAGATCGGCCCGAACTGGAACCCAACAACTTGAGAAATTCAGACGTTCACTGCTAACCTACCACGCGGTGGTAAGATATGATGGCCGGGGTTTAGACTTCCCCTACACCAAAAAAGCGGCCATCATTTATTGTCACCGCGTGCCTACCTACTCCTCATTGAAAGATCGGTCAGTTTTTTGATGTTACGTAGGCACCTTTAAGCATGTTTCTGCTTCTGTCCTACCTATGCCTCGGATGATCGGATCCTACCGAATTGACACAAAAAGTGGCCATCGGCCCATGATGTTGCGACGTAATATCCGGCCGTGTTGGCTGCCAAGGCACAGCACTCTCACGAGAGCACGCTAGACGAAGCCAGTCGTCCAGTCCAGCGCACAACGGGAGCCATGCCCGTCGGTGAAAAGATCGCTTAAGTTTGGCTCGTCGAAAAATTCAAGACGCTACTGCAAAGTCTCCAAGCGATGAATGACATCAGGCTCACAATCCCAGGCGCCTTGGGTCAGTGATTGCTGCGGCTACAGGAATCGCGGGGGTTGCGGCCGGGGTGTTGGATCGTCAAAATCATCTTCTCCAGTCTTTGCCCCCGGTCCCCCCTCATGATTCCCCGCAGTTGTCGGTTCGATCAACACCGAGCACGTTTGTCCGGATGCTACGCTGTGCCGGGGTACACACCGGATGGGACCGGGGGGGGGGCCGGTGGGCAAGCAAGGTAGAGTAGGATGCCTTTAAAGAAGAGACGCGATGGCTTCCTTGCGCGCGCGGTTTCTTCAATTGGCTGTTGGCTCTTTCACTTTTTTGTTTCGGCTATCGTGTTGCATCTGTCAAGTTTCAGCAATAGTCGAAAGGAAACGCCACGATGAGGTTTGGTCTGAAAGCCGGCGGCCTTTTTTGGCTTGCCGCGTCGCTTTGCGGCACGCAGAGCGCTTTGGCTCAAGATGTTGACTGGCCGATTCACGACAACGGTCTCAATGAGGTCGTTCAATGGTACGATTCCTTGCTTCGTTGACAAGTGGAATAGTGGCTTTGATACTGACTGAGCTCCACGCAGGGATCACCACAGCTACATTGTGAACGGAGAGAGACTCTTCGTCTTCTCTGGCGAGGTATGGCAACTACCTCCCTCCCAGTATCGCATGTTGAGACCCTCGCGCTAACAATTATAGTTCCACTACTGGCGTATTCCTGTGTTCGTGATCCAACTCGACTCAATTTGCGCCGTGCTGAGCTTACTGACATATCTTCAAGTCCCGAACTTTGGCGAGATCTCCTCGAAAAGGTCAAGGCGGCTGGGTAAGATACAATCTCTGCAGTAGATGAGTTTTCTCGTGGCTGACATACAGATGACAGCTTCAATGCCTTCTCCATTTACAACCACTGGGGCTACCACAACCCCACGCCCGGTGTCTTGGACTTTGAGACCGGCGCCCATAACTTCACCTCCATCATGACCGTGGCAAAGGAACTCGGCATTTACCTCATCATCAGACCTGGACCCTATGTCAACGCTGAGACCAATGCCGGCGGCTTCCCTCTCTGGGCCACCACTGGAGCCTACGGCGATCTGAGAAACGACGACGAGAGATACACTGCGGCATGGACTCCCTTCTGGTCGGAGATTTCCAAGGTTATCAAGCCCCATCTGATCACCAACGGCGGAAACGTCATCATGTTCCAGGTACGCGATAATTCCCAAGGACTCACGAGAGCGCATGTGCTAAGCGGAAACATAGATCGAGAATGAGCTCAACGGGCAGTGGAAGGACATTGCGAAGAGAACCCTGAACCCGCCTATCGCCAACTACATGCAGCTTCTCCAGGACAGCGCCCGGGAGAATGGCATTGACGTGCCCCTCTCCCACAACGCCCCCAACATGGTAAGCGACTCTTGAGAGGGAAATTGTGTCTTTCAACTTCTGACACAATTCAGCGCGGCTTTTCTTGGTCCAAAGACTTTTCCAATGCTACTGGAAATGTCGATGTTGTCGGTGTCGACAGCTACCCTTCATGCTGGAGCTGCAACTTGAGCGAGTGCACCGGCACGAACGGAGCTTACATCCCCTATGTGAGTACCTCAGAGTCATCAGAACCACTGTCCTCTTGCTAATCGCTTCACCTACAGCTGACTCAAGACTACTACTCGTGAGGAAACCTTTTTACATGTTTTCCGTGTGTCAAAACTAACAAACTCTCTCCAGCTACTTCACAGTTCAGTCGCCGTAAGTTTTCCGGAGTCTAAACACCCTCAAAGTAGAATTCTAATCATCTTGCAGGTCGCAACCCAACTTCCTTCCCGAGTTCCAGGGCGGTTCCTACAACCCCTGGGGCGGACCCGAGGGCGGCTGCCCCAGCGACATTGGTGCCGACTTTGCCAACATCTTCTACCGCGATCTCATCTACCAGAGAGTTACCGCAATCTCCCTTTACATGATGTTTGGTGGAACCAACTGGGGCTGGCTCGCTTGCCCCGTCGTTGGTAAGTCCATGTCGCTAACGTCCAGCCTGTGTGAGATTGACTCAGGCTAACTGAACGTGTCAGCTTCGAGTTACGACTACTCTTCTCCGGTGTCCGAGAACAGAATCATTGGAAGCAAGTTCCATGAGACGAAGCTTTTGACTCTCTTCACTAGAGGTTCGTAGAGGATTCGCCCTTACGGGTGGCAACATGGATTCTAACGTTCGAGTAGTTGCCAAGGATCTGACAAAGACCGAGAGAGTTGGAAACGTAAGTGAAGCAGTGATCCCAGGCATTCGAGATGCTAATCTTGTCCAGGGTACCGGCTACACCACCAACTCAGCCATCACCGTGTCCGAGCTCCGCAATGTCGACAACAACGCAGCTTTCTACGTTGCCCGTCACGCCTACTCCCCTTCCAACACCAACGAGGCTTTCAAGCTCTCTGTCAACACCTCTCAGGGTGCCCGTAAGCCTTCCCTATACTTGACATCATCTTCTGCGGATCCAAAGCTGACTTGGCACAAGTCACCATCCCCCAGCACGGCAGTTCGATCGCCATCAACGGCCACCAAGCCAAGATCCTCGTCACCGACTTCTCTTTCGGCGAGAAGACGCTCCTCTACTCCACCGCCGAGGTTCTTAGCTACACCATTCTCGACGGCCAAGAGGTCATTGCTCTTTGGCTTCCCGAGGGCGAGGCCGGCGAGTTCACAGTCACTGGTGTCAACTCTGCCAAGCTGGTCGGTGACGGCAACGTTGGCGACTTCAACGTCTACCCCGGCGAGAGCAACGTCACCATTGCATACACGCAAAAGAAGGGAATCACGCTCGTTGATCTTGGAGATGGATCCCGCGCCGTCCTTCTTGACCGCACCGCCGCGTACCTCTTCTGGGTTCCTGTGCTTGACAACGACCCCTTTGCGCCTGCTAACAAGACTGGTGAGTTTGTTTATTGACGCATCTGATACATGTTCACTGACAAATTGGTGTAGTCTTCGTTCAGGGCCCTTACCTCGTCCGTCACGCCGCCTTCAACGAGACCGGCCGCAGCTTGGCACTCTCTGGAGATGCCGATCAGGAGACCACCATCACCGTATTTGCCTCCGAGTCCATCTGCGGCATCACCTGGAACGGCAAGAAGCTTGAGCTCCTTTCGAGAGAAGGCAACGTCTTCACCGCCAAGATCGAGGGCCCTGCCAAGTTTGAGGTCCCTGCACTTGGCCCCTGGAAGGTTCACGACAGCTTGCCTGAGATCGCTACCGATTACGAAGCCACCTCTGACAGCTGGGTTGGTAAGTAATGTCTAATGCGTCTTGTTTCATAACTTCAGAGGAAAACAATCTAACAAGGATCCAGCCGCCAACAAGGTGAACACTTCCAACACCGTCAAGCCCGCCTCCAACAACCCCGTCCTCTACGTAGACGAGTACGATATCCACGTCGGAAACCACATCTACCGCGCAACCTTCCCGACCTCTGAATCCGCCCCGACCGGTGTCTTCCTCAACGTCACCGGCGGTCTAGCGTTCGGCTACTCCGTCTGGCTCAACTCCGAATACGTCGGCTCCTACCTCGGTCTCTCCTACCTCGGAGCCGACGCCAGCGAGTTCTCCTTTGCGAATGCCACCCTCTCCAAGACCGGCGACAACGTCCTGGTCGTCATCATGGATAACTCGGGCCACGACCTGCGTGAGGCAGCTCTCGCACCCCGCGGTATCACCAACGCGACCCTTCTCGGCCCCGACGCCGCGAACTACAAGTTCTCCGAGTGGAAGATTGCCGGTACCGCTGGCCGCAACGACCTTATTGACCCCGTTCGCGGTCCCATCAATGAAGGAGGTCTGTACGCCGAGCGTGTTGGAGCCCATCTCCCCGGCTACCCCGACGCCGACTGGGAGTCCTTCGACGCTGCCAACGGATCCCTTTCCGTTCCCGACGCCGGGATTCGCATCTTCCGCACCGTTGTACCTCTCGACGTCCCCGCTGGCCTCGATGTCTCTATCTCGTTCCGCCTCACGGCTGCAGCTGACCAGACTAACCGCCTTCGCGCACTTCTGTTCGTCAACGGATACCAGTACGGTCGCTTCAACCCTTACATCGGCAACCAGGTTCAGTTCCCTGTCCCGAATGGTATTCTCAACTACAACGGAGACAACACCATTGCCGTGACAGTCTGGAGTCAGGCTGCGGAGGGTGTTGCGCTGAATGTTGAGTGGCAGGCGGATTATGTTCACACTTCTAGCTTCGATATGAGCTTCGACAGCAAGTCTTTGAGACCTGAATGGGATGAGAGCCGTTCGGCGTTTGCCTAGATATCTTGAGTGTTAGGTTCATGTCATAGGACATGAGAAATACAAGACTCAGAAGGGATTTCAATAGTGTTCATTGCCGCACGTTTGTGAACTCTTGAGGTGGGAGACGACCCAAGCTCCCAAGAACAGCTCTGCAAAGATGAATCCGATCATATTGCCTTCGCCGAACCTCATGTGAGCTACGCCTTGAGTTTCTGCTGCTGACAATGAGGGCCCTGCCACCGAAGCTCATCACTAGTTTCACCGCCGATCCCTCGAAGATAACAGCAGTCTCAGTCGTTGCCTTTCAGATCACCGGTCTTCTAGGGCGAGTAGAGTACCTGCTCTATCAAAAACGTCTAGGTACGCTTCAATCCACGCGAGGGACGATGCGCGCCAAAGGAGAACGAAGCCGAATAATTGTTACTACTCAGCTGAACCCCGGCAGATTGACTAGGGCGTGAAAGCTCTCTCTCTGCCTCTGAATAACGGCGCGTCTTGATATTCGGAAAATAATTATCATGCTGAACCACGATTGGTCATTCGTCGATGCAACATTCATATGCTCGTCAGTATGCGCTATTCCGCATCCAGGGAAAAGTCACCAAGGTCACCAGGAAAAATTGTCGCCAAGGTCATCAAGATCACCAAGATCACCAAAGTCACTCAAGCCACGAAGGGAACATCATGGTCTAATCCGGTATGGTCTTTCCTGCAGGTAAAACGAATGTTTTGAACGTGAATACGATGGAGAAGGAGCGTATTGAAGGGTAATGCTTTTTCTCATTTACCTCTCCTGCCATTTCAAATGGCTTCCTTCCTCCTTTCTCATTCCACTTGGCGTCTTCCCCTTACCCACGGCTCAATTTAAGAGGCCATCTTCAGCTTCTCGACACAGAGATCTCTTCCGAATACATCAACCTTTCTATGCTACTCTTTCTACAAATTTACACAGTCATATATCACTCATTGGCAGCATCGACATTGCAATCATTCGCTTGGAATTCACACATACAAGTTTCAAGTAGCTTCCTTGCTCCCCGATAATGGAGTACGTCCCAGCCAAGGAAGTTTTGGTGGCTCGCTACGAGCGTACAATCGAGAAGATTGCAGACAACGGATCTTCGGAAGTCAAGGCTTGGCTTACCAAGCACACTACAAACAACGTCCCATGGGTCCTTCGGGCACTGCCAGAGTACGTGCAAGTTCTCAAGGACCAGTTTCCTGGATTTCTGCACGTCATGAAGCATTCTCGCAACAGTGGTTGCGTCAACGGCACAGCGCTGCTTTCAATCGATGAAAGTGTTTCGACTGTTGATGCTGAGAAACGTCCAGAGTACCTGTGGAGGACGATTCATGGCGATCAACCTTGCGGAGGAATCAAGGCCAGATTGGGCCGAGGAACCGATCCAATATTCTTACACATTCACTTGCGCAGACATCATCGCTGGCGCTGTCGATATTTGAGTCCGTTCCTCTCGGCAACCGACAGCAGAGAAAAGGCCATCCGCATCGCCACTCTGTACGAGCTGCGAGGATTTCAGAATAACACGATCTTAAGATTCCGAACCACTGGCTCGGCTTGGGATCATGAAGTCCAGCGTCTTTGGGACCCAAAATCCTTGCTTCGGGACCTCAATCTGCACGGAGACGTTATGCCGTGGCTCGACAACGAGTTTCTTGTTGAACATTCAATTCCCGAGTCTAGTATCCAACGCAGATACAATTGGCCAAGTGACAAAAGCATCATCGAACCAGGTCAACGCTTCGAGACCCTTGCCCGTTTTTACTACGAAGGCAAACACAACACGTCGATCAAGGCTAAGGAGCGCCGTGAAGCTGTGAAGAAGGAAGCGGAGAACGCAGCTGCGCGAAAGCGCAAGGCCTCTGATGAAGGCGACGGGGTCAGAGACACCAACAACGACGATGAAGACGAACTGGAGCCTCAGCCGAAGAAGAGAAAGTACGGCAAGCGGGTCAACGTTGGTCCTAAGATGGGACGCGATGGTGGTGCTTGACACGGTTTGTCTGCAGTTGTCCGGTATAGAGAAAGGAGTTATTTGGGTTTTAGAATGAGGTTCTTTGCGAAAGATGGGTATTCAAATTTCACGGGCGTTCTGGGAGTTATGGATCTGAGAGTTATGGAGATCAGGTTATGGAAATTGGGGAGCGCATCATCACATCTCAGTTAAATAGACGCGCAATGAGAATGAAGCCAAGGCATTATTAGATACTCGGATCTCTCTACTGGAAGCTCATTTGGTCTTCAGTCGCTCGTCCTCATCACTCGGTTGGTCTTTCATTCAAAGTGGCCTCGAATTAGAAAGGGCGACTTGAAAAGGAGAGGTATCTAGTGCCGACGACTCGAATGGCAAGTGGTCATTCGTATCGACGGAAGCGGCGATACACAGCTCCACGAATATGAGAAGGCAGCATCTCCACAAGTAGACAGGCACCTCTAATAGAAGCGAATGGCTGGAAAGAGCAACGAGAAAGCAGGGTGGTGCCCACATTCTGCTTCATCAATCTAGTCGTCAGCATCTTCCAGTGCTATTCTTCTTCCCAACATACCACTCTAATCGTATTGTCATTCGTTTCATCGCCATACCATCACGCACCATAGCACAAGACGAGACCCAGAACGGTCAATCATGTCCGAAGTCGGCAAATTCGAACTTTTCAGCCTTTTACCATTGGAAATAAGACACCTGGTATGGCGCAAGACTCTCGAAGGCCGGCTCGTGGCCATATGTCCCAGGCTAGACTGGCTTGCCCGAAGAAGCCGTCTGCCCGTCATGTCCGCCGTTCATCGAGAAAGCCGCAAATTCTTCTTGAGCATATACATTCGGCTCATCAGCGAAGTTACGGGCATGCCTCATAACAGAAGCTCCTTCGATTGGCTCATCAAAGACCATGTTTACCTCAATCCTGATATTGACACCGCTCATTCTCGGTACGAGCGTTCACAGACTGGGGAATTATCGACTTCAATTCCCATGCCTCGAGGTCATCTACCTGGTGTCTCTGATTTGCATTCCAATACCCACAAACCTAGGTCTGAAAACACTCTCGCTGCGTGGTACGGGAGTCCATCTTCGCTACATATTGCCGACCAACAAGCTTTACTGTCATCGCGACGCGATTCTACCTGGCGAGTACTTTGGAGGTATACGGCCAAACGAGTTTACCCCTCATGATTGTTTTAGGGTCGACGCGAATGAGAGTTGCTGTATCCGCATCGACATCCTACGCGACAGCAATCTCGATTGGGTCACTGACGACTAGTTCCCCGTCGATGGGCTTCCTTTGATGCACCGCGCTTGGAAAATTTCTGTGGATTACATCCTCGGGGCGTCTGGACGAAAGTTAGCTGGTGGTTGATATTGGGAACGCCTTCTCGGACGCTTCCAGTCTTTTAGGAAGCGAGACGTGCGTGTACACAAGGGCCTTTTAAAGTCAGCGCTGTGGTGGATAAGCCTTCACATTACTTCTATCGAGCATGTCCAAGGTCAGCGTCTAAAAAACGATTCTTCTTTCGATTGAATCGATTCTGATATGGATCCTCCGGCGTCATTCGTGACCTCGTGGTCACGCAAACATATGTTACTCACATGTGTCTGTGCAATGACTCGACTTTCCCCCACAATGACCTTGAGGTCGCCTCATCCTCCCATTCGTTATAATATTTCGGCGCAAGTGATCTCAACTTCCCTTCGATGGCTGAACTGAAAAGCTTCAGGTATACTCAGCTGCCTGGTACCCCAAGGCTTCGGAGCAGAGTTTGAAGTTCTCTCTGCACAGGGAATGATTAGAGTCTCGTCCAACGCGGGCTTGTAGGTATTGCTTCTCTTCCGGCTCACATGTCTTCGAGTGTCGACTCAGGTTCTCGATTCGATTTGTGGCCGACGGGAAATCCGTCCCGCTTACTAACTTGATTTAGATATGGCATTGCACTTTGCCTTTCAACCGGCTCCCTCGTCTCACATCATCAACATTGCTGCCCTTCCACCGGTGTTCTGCAATCATTGACTTCCGATGCTAGATGCATGGACTACCTACTTTATCTATAAGACCACAAGAAAATTGGCAGAGAGGGAATGCTCTTTCAAAGATTGCGAAATGTCGAAAAGTTGAAAGACTTCGAGGATTTCCTGGTTTGTTTGCGTTCTCATTGTCGGTGCTTGACCTGATTGACATAATTCTCCCTTACAAGTTTGTCTTTGGAGATCCTTTGTCGAGTTCACAAGAATCTGACATGCCTTGAAAGGAATCGTTGCGAAGATGACTGCCCCTTCCAGAGCTGACAACTTCATATCAGGTATGAACCTGGGCTGAAGCTATTGTCAGACGAAGCATTCGTCTGAATAGGGGCGAGATTGAGTCGAGAACAACTCTGTCTAGGTATGGCCGAAAGCAGTATCGATGTCACTCGTCTGAACACCTCCACGTCTGAAGGTATGAAGCAGGCTGAAAGCAATCGTCTGAACGCCAGACGAGAAACCATCCCACCTGCCAACCTCATCAGTAAGCAACCGTCTCATCACGGCCAAGAGCAGATCACAACAAAGCAGTCCGTCCAAACTCACGATGATATTAGTTCCCGCTTTAAAGCACCTCTCTCAACACCAGACGAAGGCTATAACGACTAAGCAAGCCCATTGATCATGTGACATCCCTCGGAATATCTATTTAGACCTACTCATGGGTTCCCTTCTTTCCACAAAATCTCTCCCTTCCTACACCTCAAGGACACGAAGAGCTTTCATCGACACAATCTACCAAACAACCGACGATGGCTCATCAAAGCTCCCCTTCGTCCAACGACCCCCCTACCGACAACCTCCTCGACACTGTAATTGAGACTATGTCCTCTCCCTCGATTGACAACTCGCCTACCGTTGTTGCCGCTGATCAACCTGCCGACGCAGTCATGGAGACCGTGTCTTCCCCCGCGGTTGGTACCTCGTCCAACGTCGTTCCTGCAGACAATCCCTCTGAGACTGTCATTGAGATTACCTCCTCTCCCTTGACTGAAAACGCGTCCAACATGGCCACCGCCGACAATCTCGCAGACGCTGTCATCTCGGTCATGTCTTCTCCCTCCGATGATAACTCGTCCGACATCGTCATCACCGACAACACTTCTCACGCTGCCATTGAGATCATGTCTTCTCCTTCAGTCGACAGCTCCTCGAACGTTGCCGCCGCCAACCACGCTTCCGATGCCGTCATCGAGATAATGTCTTCCCCCTCGGCTGACGCCTTGTCCGACACCACCCCCAGCCCTACCAGCTTCCGTCGCCTCCCGCTCGCAGTTCGTTCGGCCATCTAGGAGATGGTCGCCGAGTCTTCAGGCCAGCTCGTCGGTATCGGTCCGAACGCGGACGCAAACGCGCGCCGCCCTGGCTACCCTGCCTTCGCCCGCGTCAACAAGGAGTCCCTTCAGGCATTTCTCCACGCCTACATCCGAATCGACAAGAACCCGAATGATCCGATCGTCTACGATCCAGCAGTCTTGCGCCCGGAGGACATGTGCGACCTCTTCTTTACCGAGGCGGTCCAATTGATCCCTCATGTCGATTGCGTTTATATAAACCCTCGCACAGATGAGATTTCGCTGGGCTGCAAGACCGACATCCCCGACCCTGCCTTCGCTCCCGGATACGTCTCACCAGACCTTGGATACGATATCAATATTCAGATCAAGATGGCACGCATCGTCATAGAAGACTTTAGCGCCTGGTCCGATTATGAGTACCCGATTCAGCAATTCAACGCACTCGACAAGGAGCCCGTCGCCACAATCAAGTTGGACGAGCTCAAGTACCCCAACGTCGATCAGATTACCGCCATCTTCCGTGGCGTCGAAGATGAATGGAAAAGCGGTTGCAACAGCTACGTCGTCAACTACAACGTCGACACCGACCGCGTCTTCGTCGACTACGACAGCAAAGACGGCGCTGAGCTGGCCAGAGAGACCCTCCGTATCGAGTATCGCAAGCTGAAGGAGTCGCATCAGACCACTGCTGATCCCGAGTTGGCCGAGTCGGATGGCGAGTCGGATGGCAAGTCGGACGACGCCAGCTCGGACGAGGTGGCTCCCAAGGAGCCGGAGTACGTGGACGACGAGGGCGTTCTCACGGTTCGGATCATCTTCCATCGCAACACGGACAAGGACCACGGTCCATACCTTCTCAAGCCCTTCGATCCCGACGAGATCTTCGACCCGGAGGACTTGGAGGATGGTGGTCGGATGGAGAGAGTCTTCTGGGAGATCGCCGCCACCGCCGTCAATGAGCGCCTTGCCCTTTGAGAGGCACCACACCACCACCGCCATGGCCTTCTCTTCCCGGGCCTTGGCCTATTCCCTTCAGACACCACCGCCGACGATGCCTACCAGCTGTTAAAGCTGGCTAGGTATCGTCGGTCGGGGAGGTGTCTGCGCGATGCCGTTGTTGGGAGATGGGAGATGGGGGGAGATGGGGGGAGGGGGAGGAGGGGAGGAAAGGGGCAAGGGGAAGGGGAAGGGGGGTGTTTGCGTGTTTGCGTGTTTGCGGGCTCTCGGAGCCAGAGCCTGGCCGGTGAGGGTCAGGTCTTGGTTCTGGGGGCCTGCCTTTATATCTGAGAAAATGAACCATTGCGTTTCACCATGATGAGGAACCATGCCTTTGACTGACCACACTCCGTGACATTTTCCGTCCCGGAAGCCTTCCAATATTCTTCAAAACTCCAAGACTCCATCATCGTCATGCCTTCGAACACACGCCTCGCCGTCCCCAGAGTTCGTAGTGTGACAAGTCGACTGCTCCAAGTCCACCTCACCCACATCCCGTCCGCCCGCACCCAGAATAGGCAGGTTTTCGGCGAAGCAAGAAACTCCACAATTCCGTCAGACCGGACCCGGACTCGGCTCACAGCAAGGAACCAACCGGAGGAAATAACCTGCCCATCATCGCCGCTCGTGAGACTGAGAGTACGTATATCCGAAGCTGTCCGCGGCCGCCGAGGAAATGGAGTCAACCCGTCCAACGGGATGTCTTAGACGGCCTATGACCGATGATTTTCTGGCAAAATGTCAGCAAACTTCGTTTAAACGTGCTTTACGTCCGTTAACACCGTGAGTAGATCACTGACTTACACATTCAAATCATGCCATGATAATGTCACCGGTATGAAGATCGAGGCACTCTCTCGAGATATAAGTCCCAACATCACCAACGGCCCCCGAACACCTCACAACAGCTCCCCAAGTCCATCTACCCATCTAAACCCAACCAAACCTCGCAACAATGGTCAACGTCGCAATCGCAGGCGGCACAGGCGCCGTAGGCCGCACCCTCATCGAAGTCCTATCCACCCAGACAAAACACCAAGCCTTCATCCTCTCCCGCAAGGCGCCGAATCCAGAGGAAACTCCCCTGGCACCGACGTTCGAGGTAGACTACGCCAACGTCGACGCCCTCAAGACGTTCCTCGAAGAGAATGACATCCACACCGTCATCAGCGCGTTCGGCATCACCGCCACATCTCTCGCAACGTCGCAGTTAAATCTCATCAAGGCGGCGGACCTCTCGTCCGCGACAAAGCGGTTCATCCCCAGCTCGTTTGCGATGCGGTACCCCGAGGAGTAAGCTCATCCCTCAAACAATTTGCTCTCTTCCTCGTCAAGCAATGATAAACTAACACCACCACCACAGCGGCGTCGCCCTCCTCCCGCCCCTAGAACACTACTTCACCTCCCTCGAATACGCCGCCGTCCACAACGGCACCTTCCTAGAATACTTTGCCCCCGCAACCCTCCAATCGCACCACCCGCACAGCACCCTCGTCCTCGACATCGCCCACGCCGCCGCGGCGATCCCAGGCGACGGCAACACCCCCGTGACATTCACCTACACCTTTGATGTGGCGCGCTACGTCGTTGCAGCACTAGACCTCCCCACCTGGCCCGCGGACCACGAACTCCGCATCGTGGGCGATGAACTCACCTTTAACGAATTCGTTACGCTGGCCGAGGAAACCAAGGGTGCAAAGTTTGATGTGGTCTACGACGACGTGGAGAAGTTGAAGAGGTCCGAGGTTTCAGAGTTACCCGGCCACCAGGCGTCGTATGCGCAGTTTCCAAAGGAGAGATTACAGTGGTTCCTGTCGATTTTTGAGCTGTGGATGGCGACTGGGTTGGGGAGGGTTGAGGGTGGAAAGGGGTCGTTGAATGAGGCGTGTCCTGAGATTAAGCCTTTGACTGCGAGTTGCGAGGGAGATGTTGGGGAAGTATTGGAAGGCGTAGCAGTGAGGATGCGTGGTGGTGGTTTAGTACTCTAGGGTTCCTGGCGAACTCCAATTCCAATCGAGTTGAGTCTAAGTTTAATTTGCGTTCGACGAGATCGGACGTTGCCCCAAGACTTCAATTAGATGTACACCAAACTTGCAACAAACGTATCCAAGTTGCTGTCCTCACCGAAAAAAAAAATTGCCCATGATGAAATGCAGCAAATGCAAAAAATAAATTTCGTGCGACCTACGTAGGGATCGAACCTACAATCTTCACAGTATGACTAAGAGAAAAGCCGAAATGTGACGCGATGCCATTTCGCCAGCAGGCCAACGCTGATTGATGACAAGAACCCGCAACAAACAGTTCATGTAGGTAGACGCGGCGGGGCATTTCATTCCAACCAAACCAGATCCACGATGTGGGGTCCGATCTGACAAACAACACGATACAACACAAACACTCCTGCGAAGACAAAGATCTTGCATCTTGCTTTTTGTTTGTGTTTGTGCAGGCATTATGACTAGATCCCCGAGATCTATCACATCGGGAACCCCATCTCGGGGATCTCTGTAACAGAACAGAAGATCTAAAACAAACAATCTAACAAACTAACTGGGGATCGCACACAGGAGGCCCGCGCATCCAAGGTAAGGGAGACACTGCATTGTATCTCATCGCAAACGCAACCACTACTTCACCTCCACAACAACAGCAGAATCAGCAGACCCAGCGTCCGTCTGGGCGTCCGCCTCAATCCTACCACCTTCGCCCTCACCCTCGCTCTCCGCCTCGGGATCCCACACTGCTTCGATAATGCTCATCCTGCAGCCCCTAGGCCTCATCACGCCCTTGAACACGAACCGCTCGTCGGCGGCCTTGAAGAGCTCGCGGTACTCGTCCTCGTTGCGCTCCTGCGCGTTGAGCACCGCCAGCATCACCATGTCCATGCTGCGGATGATGCGCTCGTCCCAGGGCGTCTCTTGTCCGGCCTCGCGTAGGCAGTGGTCCTTGATGACCACCCTGGCGCCGGGTTTCAGTGCAGGGACGAGGTTCTTGAGGATGGAGATTGCGTAGGGCGTCGAGTAGTTGTGCATGATCCAGCGGAAGAAGTAGACTGTTTGTGCGGTTCAATTAGTCTTGGGTGTTCCCCACAACGAAATCCTGGAAAAGATCGAGACAAAGAACTCACCATCGGCATCCTTGACAGTCTGCTCCTTGAAAAAGTCGTGCGCCATGAGCTGAACGCGCTCTGCAACCTGAGCGTCGTCGCACAACGGGCTTGGCGCCGAATCCACAGCCTTGGGAAGGTCCTGCACCACAAACTTCATATTCTTCCACTTCTTGGCCAGGTCAATCGACACGAACCCATGGCTGCCGCCAATGTCGACCATGGTCCCTCCTCTGGCGTCAATCTCTTCGAAATCGTACGAGTCGACGAGATGCCTGACTTCGTAGCCCTCTCCGCCCGTCAAACTGAGCATGGCGCCGCCGAATCGCTTGGCTCGAGGAGGGTCCTTGCCAAAGGTGACAAACATTGGTTCCTTGTCTACGGTGTCGAATGCAAAGTTGAAGCCGGTCCGCGTGAGGGACGTGGCTTCTGGGTAGGCCTTGAGAGCCTGCAGAACGTGCGCTGATGCCGGGAAGTTGTCCTCGAGGTTGTAGCCCACCCAGTCCTGAAGGGCTTGGTCTTCGGCCAGGAGACGCGATGCTGCGGTGTGCGCAATGACACCATGGGATGGTTCGCGGAAGATGCGGTTTGTCATGACGTGACGCAGCACGCGGGCAAGGTTGACGGGATCCAGTGAGGTCTTGGTCTGAAGCTCTGCTAGTGTGATGGTGCCGTCGATGGGTACAAGCTTGGCTGTGAAGTGTTAGTCTGGTGTGAGGCGGAGAAACCTTCCGGCTCTGCATTTCTGCACTTACCGATGCCAAAGTGGTTGACAAGCTGGAGACTCAAACTGTCTTGATACTGCCAACTAATCAGCTTGCGACTCTTAGTAGTCTCTCGGCTTCTCTACTCACACTCCACGTCTTCCACCGGACGTCCTCTCTCGGGCCGTGGGCCAATGCTTCGAGCTCTCTAGTCGCAAAGATAATCTCCATACGGCTCTTTTGGATGTCCTCGGGAAGTTTTGGAAAGTCGCCGGGGCCGTTGGGGTCCAAGGTAGGCATTGGCAAATTGTTCTCTTGCATATACCTCTCCAGCTTCTCTGTCTCGGACGCAATCTTCTTTGCAAGCTCCGTTAACCTCGACGGCGTATACGCAGGCTTTTCTGGGGCGACAGGCGCGGGCTTCGAAATCGGCGCTCCATTGGGGACCTCGTCCCTAGGTTTGGCGGTAGATCGAGTTATGAATGGGGTGAATGATCGTCGGTTTTGCTTCTTCTGCTCAACCTCTGCGGCGGTGGGTGACGGGCTGGTACCCAGCCAGTTGCTAAACTTGAACTTGTTCATCTTTGCGATGGCAGTCAGAACAGAGACGTTGGTGGTCTGCGGGTGTCGAGAGGACTTTGTGCTTTTCCAGTTAGCATGGGTGAACGGAATCGCACACGCCAGGAAAGGGGGCGGTTCACCCGCTTGAGATACAGGAGCACAAGCATCGTTGATCGCAGACTCCGCCTTCATTAGCCATCTGTGCTCGAGCTTGAGAGTGAGCTAGATTGGGCTAAGGCAGGTACATGGTGAAGGAATGCGCCAGACGATGAATTTGCGGGGCAAGAAGATATGAAGGAAAGGGCCAAGGTGTTCGAGAAGCTGCTTTGGAGATGCATTCGATATGAGGGGAAAGAAGATGGTAAGAAGGCACCTGTACACACCTTCCAAATGCCTTGGAACTACACAATGGTCGATTCCCACGATCCTTTGAAATGGGTTGGGCGACAGATTCGCGGAGAGAGGTGGCAGACAGGGTTGCGGCGACGCTCGGAACGATTGTGACACAGAGGGACCCGAGGACACGGACTCGGTCTCGACTGACACAAATCAAGGCCAGCTGGCATGCAAAAGAAACGGTGACGGTTCTATACCGAGAGTTCGTTCGCCAATTACTGTGACGTACGGGAAATTGACGTTTGGTCAGATTGTCTGGTAAACAAGTTTGCAGTGAGTTTGCGGCGATGAGTTTGTGAACGCCGAGAAGATTGGGGGGAAACAGTCGATAACTCTCGTCAAAACACCAGAGGGACCCAAGGGGACGGCAAGGAGGGATACATCTCAGTTTAATAAAACGGACAGCATTGGTTGATGGGTACGGAGTACCCAGGTATGGACCCAGAGCGCCAGATTACCAGAGGCAGAGAGAGGTACGGTAGATACGGACACTGAGGTAGAGAGCCAGACACGAATGGAACGAAACAGCGAAGAGCGAACCCAAGACTGGGAGGATGGAACTCTTGGTTCACCGAGCGTGGGCCTTGGACGGAACAGGAACTGGGATGGGCGCTGAATCGCTCAGTATTGCGACGACACCTCATTAGCTAGCGGCGGTCCATGCTTTGGGGTCCGACGCCATGGGCTGGGATTGCCGTCTGCGTTGCGTGCCTTTTGCGTCCAAGTCTCTCCTTGTCCTTAATCTTTGGGCTTTTTTTTTTTTTTTTTTTTAAGCTTGGGAGTGGCTGGCGGCTAGAAGAGTCTGTTCGGACGAAGGCCATGCGCCGGCGCGGAGCCATCAACGATCGCTCAGGGTCCTAAGCTTCCCCAAGCTAAGCTGCATGGCTGTTAAGCTCCTAAGCTCCCGCGGCGAAGCAGTTCTGGAGTGGCATTACCTTATGGGCAATGTCATGATGAGCTCTCGGTTCAAAAGTGGAATGTCGACCGAGACCGAGGCCGTGTGAGGACTGATGACTGAGAAGTGGGATCAGCGAGACGGGCAGGGGCCCAGCCGGGAGTCGAAAGGGTAAATTGATACCAAATGGGACAGGGCAGACAAAAGGGGCGGTTGCCGTTGAGTATCCGTACCGAGTACAAAGTAGGTGAGGTAGGGTAGTTTGACCGGTGGCAGCGTCGTATCAATTCGTTGACGAATCCCGCCGGCCGTTTGACGGGGAATTCTGCAGTGCCGTTGATTTGGGAACCTGTTCGTCAATTGACCGGCGTGGGTTTGGAATAGACGTGACAGGAAGAAACAAGAAAGAGACTGGTCACATTTTCTCGCATAGTTACCGTGGTCAGATGTCAAGTTTCCGGCTGATCGATGTCAAGCAGCAGCCGGCCTGGGATGTGTGGGATGTTTCCTGGTTAGGAAAGGGATGGAGGGAAGGAACTCCTCCCGGGTGCCGTCCGGCGTCTCGTGGCAGGTGGCAGCGTGGCAGACTGAGTGCTGACCACCCGACCTCAGTGACACCTCGGTCGAGTCGGGCTGTCCCTTCCCTTCCACCTAAGGTACGAATAGTGTACCTTACCCCGCCTCGTTACCACGCTGGCGGCAGGCGGGCACCTTCTCACGGCTTCCAAGACACCGGTGACTCGGCAAGCGTGACTGCCCTGTCACTGCCCTGCGCACTTGCCAATTGGGCTTGACAAGTTGACAGCGTTGGGAAGGTGCGGCACAGCAACATCACAAGCCGGTCTTTCCATCAAACAACGTGGAAAGAGCTGACCAACAATTGACCAATGGACTTTCTTAATACCTTGAGGCTTACCGTCAGGTGGAGTCTCAACCTGCGACCGCAGCAGGAATTAAGTGGTTCTTGCCATTTGGTGTGCGCGTGTGTCTCGCTCTCTTTTTTTTCTTTCGGAAGGAACCTAAGAAATGAACCATTGACGGCACGGCTTCCATGCAAGTTCCATCCATCGCCCCCTGCCAAAAAAGCACGAGAGAGGATAGGATACCCGCCGTTCCGGGCCTGGAAAATGGCGTCCTGAAATCCCTGGTCGTCTTCTTACAATGCAACGGCAACGTGCTCCGTCAACCAATGCCGCCCATCTTCCACCCTCCATTCTCCTCCTCCCAAGCCATGGCTTGCACCACATTCCTTGATCCTATTCCTCTTCCATCAGACACCGCAGAAGCTCGTTGTCTAGCGCTCGCTCATGTCACCCCATCACGAAAACTATGCTCCTCTCGCAATCTCGCCTCTTGTCGCCAAGACCCGGCCACGATGCGGCTACCCATGTGCACCTTCTAGCCGACCTTCTCGTCGTCACTGTTCACATCCCCCGCCAAGCAGAAACCCATCCATGATACGTCCGTAATACCGACCATACCGACCTTATCCATCACCAAAGTCGTCAATGTCGCACAAACCCACTCCGCTTGCAGAAGTTCAAAACAGACACTCGCTCAATACTGAACGCTAATGGCCCCCCACAGAGCCCATCTCGAGACAGAAGCCCGCGTTAGGACTGATACCTAAGAGCTCTCCCCCAATGCGCTACAAATACCTAGGGAAATCCCCATACGCCGGCTTCTGCGCATACATGATCCTCAATGGCATGTACATCAACGCCGCATTATCGTGATACGCCCGCCGCACGCTGACGAGAAACATTTCAATCTGCTCTGGTGTCCACAGCAGTCCTCTAGTCAGCGGGCCGAGAGCAATGGCCTGCAGTCCGTCGAGGAGAATCGTCCTCCAGTACATGCCTACTGTCTTGAGCACCCTGTTTCGCGGCCATGTACCAAGCGGCACGTGGAAAATCTTCTCCGTCACGTTGACGAACCCAGCCTCGCGCATCATGTTGGGCAACCGATCCCCTGCGGCAGCATTGAAATCGATGCCGAGGCTCGTGAGCCCTTGGGTTACGAAACTCCAATATTGTGCCACTGGGTGTGAAGGCGGCATGGCGTTATATGCCGATGATGGGAAATGATGAATCTCTTGCAACTCGATCCAGCCGCCAGGCTTCAGATGCCTATCAATACGTTAGGCCTGTCATCGACAAGTCGGAGACTCACGACTTACTCATATGCCCTGTGGAACATATTCCTCCAGTTCTTGATGGCCATGACCGTGTGTCGAGAATGGATATAGTCAAAATGGTTCCTCGGATACAACCACGAACTTTCTACATCATCGACTTCAAATTTGACATTTGGCGGTACCCAGTCTGGTTGAATGGGGCTGAGATCGACTCCTAGCACTGTTGCACTCTGAAACTGGTCGCCCACTGCATCATCGTTAATCTTACGAACTCTTCACGAACACTGCGAGGATGGAGTCTCCCAACTTACTCTCAATGGCCCACGCGCCTGTCCCCGTCCCGATATCAAGGATTTGCTGCGGCCATTCGCCAATGGGCGCAAAATGAAGCTTTTGATTGCACAGGAGCTTCACCATGGCGTGCTTCATGTCTTCACGCTCCTGCTCTACTTCGTCGTTGGGGAAGTTGTACAGTCCTTCTCGGAAGCGGTGATAGCGTCGCCCATTCTCGTACATGTAATCTCGAACTGATGACGTGACGGAAGTACTGGCGTTTGTCGCACTGTCGCTTCCGTATCCTCCATCCGATTCTGTTCCGTCGAAAATCGAGGCCATGTCGTCACTGTCTGCCACGATGGAGCTTTCGGCTTGCGTTGTGGCTTCTGACGATTCTGTGACCTCCTGCTCGGCCGACAGATCTGGGAAAATCGGGACGCCATTAGGATGCGTCAAAGGCGACCTCAACGCAGGGAATGCATCGCGAGGCAGGTGTTGATTCGCCTCATATGCGTTGCGGTTGGCAGATGCAAAATCGGGCGCTGCTTGACTCTTTTCCGCGAACTCGCTAGTGTCTGGCTTGGCCGCCGCGGGGTCGTCGGGCTGCCGATCCAGCCTGGACGGCTTCTCCTTCTTTGCTGGCACCGATGCTGTCGCGTCCGTCATTGAGTCGATCGATCGTTGCTGGTTCGAAGGCGCAAGGGCAGGTTCTGTTGTGTTTTCTGCAAGTTGAGAGGAGAGCCCGGAGTCTCGTTCTTCGTGTTGCGGGAGCACCAGTTGGCCGTCGGGCGCCACATAATGCTTTTTTGAGGTCCATGCCTGACCAGGGATGCCATGATCCTCTCGCGTCGCAAAAGCAGATGGCAGCTCGTGTCTGCTCGCAGAAAGTGTCTCAGGTCCGATGCCCATAGAGACATGAGCCTTGTGTTCTTTGTCTTGGAGCCCTTCTAGAGACGGTGTTCTAGCGGTTCCACCAGATGCCAACAGCATCTCGCTTGTCTGCTCGTCTGCTGTCGAAAGCCCCGTCATTGCGGTCATTGGATAATGTACGCAGTCAAAAACGGCTACCGCTTTTCGCTTCGACGCTTCTGTCTCGGTCTGGACTTGGTCTGATGCTGTCGGCCTCTATTGTTATCGCCCCGCCGCCTCAGACAAGTACTCAAGCATCAGAAGTTGACGATGACTCTTGGGAAGTGGACGGATCTTTAAGAGGGCAAATTCCGCCTGAACTTGGATCATGCGACGAACAGGGAGGCAACTTGCGGCTGCAGTTGTACGAGGCACAGGTCATTCACCATCAGCCAACGCTCGGCCGTGGCGCACAAACAGGAGCTTGGCGAAACTCCAAAGTCCAGCACGTTGGAGCTTTATCTGACGGAGGGAATGACAGCTCAGGCCACCCATGCGTCAACTACTTGACTCTACCAATACACCAAAGGAGGGTGGACAGGTCTGAATGTGATCCGTCAAGGGCCGTTGGTCTGGCCTGCTCTTTGTGGCTTGCTCTCAATATTGTTCTCAAACCAGGCCAAGGGAAAGGAAAGGCTCGACCCCTCGCCAAGACGGCAAGCAATCTATGGCCCTCCCTGGAACTGCAACTCCACAGTATCCGTAGATCGTTCAGCTCCAATTACCTGGTCGGTGCGAAATCTCTGCGCCGCACTACACAACGAGGTTGTCTTTCCCGCCCGCGGCCCATCCCAGATCGAACACGCTGCTGCAGGGGCCTAGACTGGCTCTCGAGCCGCCGCCCTGGTTGACTTGCGGACGGACTTCACGGAGGATGGGCGGGGTGGGGAAGGTTGCATCCATGCAGGTTTGCGAAGCGACAATGGCCATTCTTCTCTAGTCCCTCGAATCGTTGGCTGGATCTTGAGCAAACAAGTTCTCGTTCGCATTCGGATTTGGATTGCGTCCTTTAAGCTGCGCCCATCAACCTCTTTTCAAGGATGAGCCGTTAGATAAATGATGGTAGCCTTCGCTGTCTTCGGATGTACACCGTTCGCATGTCGACTACCGCAAGGCAAATCCCATGATGGTGATACATTCTTCGAGATATTCCATTCCAGCAGTCAATATTTCGACATGATGGGGCGGAGCATCATCGAAAGCTCCCATGGGCTGAGGAAGGCTTCGCGTAAGTTCACCTGCGACATGATTGGTGCTTGGCCAAGGTAGCAATCCAACAGCCTCACTTCATGTGCGCAGCCTGTTGGTCGTCTTTTCCAGCTCCAAGTTACAACTACCTTTCGTCAATCTCATAACATCACCACACTATCTCGATTGCAGTCATTACACGGCAATTATGTCAGAAGGCGCCGTCTCCGCTTCCCCGGGTGGGGGGAACCTCTGCTCAGCATGCGCATCCATCGACTTTGATGCCTTCGTCAATGATGCACAAGCAGTGGTAGGCAAACCGTTAGCCGAAATCCACAAGCGCTATCTCAACCTAGATGACTCAGATTTTCCATTTGCGCTGCTGCATCTTGGCAATAATGGCATCGTAGAGGTGGTGTGCATTGAAGTCAAACACGTCAAGAGCAATGACTGTCGCTGTTGCGACATTTTCAACCGTATCAGATACACAGGATCGCACGCTTATGTTGTATATTGCCTACACTACCGACGGAGGCGAACATTTGATCATCACAGCCCCATCGAGGATGAAGTTCTTGTTCCGCAGCTTAAGACGGGCATATCAGATTTGTCGTTCTCTCAACCAACTAGGGGATTTAAAGCGGGAATGGCTTCTATTCTGTACCTTTCCAGCAAGGATAGCACCTTTGAGTTCATCCCATCCAGTCGACCGCAGCCGAAGTTCCCAGCAGACTTGATGTCAATCAAGTCTGTCGTAGTGCGAAAAGCTTGCCCACATCACCCGAAGATGGAGGGCAGTCGAGACTGGGAAGGGTTATTCCGACAAGACGTTCCCGGGTGGAGTGTTATAGATTGCTTCACGGACAAGATTATCGGCCTCGAGGATTGCGTTGCGTCGGTGGGGTCTTTCGATGCAGTTGAATACGCCACTCTGAGTTATGTTTGGGGTTCTGGAAAGAGCGACGGTCTAGAGCCCCATGGCAGACTTCCCTCATCCCTGCCCCGAGTGATCGAAGACGCGAAGACCGTTGCGGTAGCGCTTGGCTTCCAATACCTTTGGGTAGATCGTTATTGCATCCCTCAGCATTGTGAGAAAGATGCCCACGACCAGATCCGCAACATGAACCTCATTTATGCCCGGTCATGCATCACGATCGTTGCTGCAGCAGGCCGATGTCCGGACTACGGCTTACCTGGAGTGGGAAAGACAACGCGAAAAGTCTTTGACACTCTCCAAATCGGATCTCATACCATCAGATGGATGCCCACCAACGTCGAATGGGTCGAGCAACAAATCAAGAATTCCAAGTGGAATACGAGAGCTTGGACCTGTCAAGAGGCGGCTTTATCGGCGAGGCGACTGTACTTCACCGACCACTTTGCCCTTCTGGAGAATGGCAACGAGGGAGAAAGCTATATCGAAGGCCTACCGGATGACCTGTGCCCAGAGAGTGGGACCGCATGGAATCCTCTACATCGGCCAGGTTCTATTCCACATGCGGAGAGCTACGCAACACGGGAGCTTTCTTTCGAGGCGGACGTCTTCCGCGCATTTCAGGGATGCCAGTCCCATTACAACCATCGGCATTTGGGGAAGTCTGTTTTGTTTTGTGGAATTAAGATTGGAAGCAACTGCGAGTTTTCGTCGGCTTTGCTCTGGGAAGAACGAAGATCACTTCATTCGTTCCCCCGAAGACGCGCTGGGGGGGCAGAGTTGGACGTGGCTGGGGTGGCATGCCCCGCCGAGAATTGAGTATTTGAAAAATCAACAGTGCTTTCCATACTACTCGATGGTGGACCCTAAGGCATATTTTGTGTCTGCTGTACAAGTGTCACTTCGGTACGCGGATGGATTCACCGTCAAATGGTCATCCATGACGCAGGAACGGATCTGCAGGTTGATGAACGACCGAAATGAGGGCACTATAGAATTCATCCTCGTGACGGGGCTGACTTTTGGATTGAAAGCGTTGTGGTCCATGTCTGATGAAGGTGAAAATGATCGAGAAAAATATGTCACCAGGGCTGGTGGGTTTTTTTTTGGAGAAAACAGGTCAAGACTTTGCGAAAACAGTTGCGTGGTCAGATTGTAGAAACTTGGACAAAATTGCGTGGGAATCCTACAGAGTCACGCAAGATGAGTTGGCAGACGAGTCTCGGGCCCTCTGTCTCTGCATCGGGTCTATCGACGGGAGAGGGGAGGGTCTTCTCTACTGTCTAGGGTTGGTGTCATCTGATGGCGGGTCGACTTGGCAGCGATTGAACATGTTCAAGATCCGATGTGGCTATGTTAAGACACATGTATGTCCGGAGGCTTTCGGGTGGGAACGGAGGGAGCTGAAGATACGCTGAGACTGTAGTGGTCTCCTGCCTTTGGAGTTCTCGTGGACGGGTAGTTTCATTGACGGCAACTTGTTTGTAGCGTCCCCGTCTGCGGCAGCGGACACCCGGATACATGTAGAGCAGGAAGTTGGAGGGTTCGAGATCCTGGAGTCAAGGGATCTTTCTCCTTTGAGGTAGTCTCTGCTTTTTCCTAGGATTTCCATTTTATGTTTATACGTGAGGTCATGACTCTGAATTACAATTCTTTTTTGTTCTTACCATGAGGATTCATCTCCACAACAGTCGTACAAGCACCTTGTTGTCAAAATTTAAGAACCTATTGGGAGCGGCCCAGATGATTCGTATGACTTTACAGCCAACTTCCTGTGTTATCTCAACGTGAAGTTTGCTGAGACCCTTCCGTCATCCGTCATCCGTACGCGAGCTTGACACCACTGCGACTAAATCTCACAGGCTACTTTACCCATGGTGCTTTGATAATTGCTTTAGTTCATCAAGAGCGCGATAATTAGATTATTTGAAAATGCTAATTATTTCGTCTGGATAAACCCTTCCCAACAGGACAATCAACGCTTTCCTTCTTCATTCCTATGGCGATGGTTAGATTTAGGTCAAATACTCACGATCTAGAAACGCCACGTAATAATCTTAGCAAGACGAGCCTTCAAGTCCATCAGTGCTTCGGTATCTCCATCAGGATCAAGTTTCATCAGGTTGGGGCCGCCGAAGTTGCATTCCGAGCCCAACACGGTGTCTCACGAATACAAAATTCGTTTCGGAGATAGAAACTGCCTATACGTTAAGCCAAGCGCCCCATCACGCAGGTCTAGTTCTCAACTCTGACTTATACCCCACCGACTACGTCAACTCCAAGAAGAGAAACTCAGTAACAGTGTCATCTGATCGTCCATCAATATTGATCCGCAAGATAATCCTGGCAATAGTATCATCCAACCGTAAGTCAACACTAACCTCGTCACCACCATCTCTCCGGCCCGGTACTTACCAGAAACCACTGCAACAGAACGGCCCGTTCAACACAATGGACGGCTTCAGAGAGACTGTATTCAACTACGTCCAATCTCTGGCCGATAGGATCCCTCAACGGGCTAAAGACTTTATATGCGGGTGCCTAGACGATATCTCCCTCTTCCACATCACCTACGTCCTCACCCCTCTCTTCGGATTCTATATTACGAGCAATGTTTTCATTACTACAGTAATCTTGGTATTGATTACAGAGAAAACAAACCACCCATTGATCTTTGGCTTCTTCTTACTCCTCGAATACGCAAACCCGCATGCCATAGATAAAGTCATCGTGGCAGTGGGACAGTCATTAACTGCGATTTGGGTCGATGCTGTGCTGTTGGGGCTGATTCTCTCGATTCACTTCTTTCTCTCAACGAGACGTCTTCCGAGGAAGAAGTGGATCAAGACATGGGAGGTTGTCTCTCTTGTCATCAACGCGGTTGTCTACCTCACCCTGTGGACTCCGAATCACTTCCCCGACACGCAAAATCCGGCTTTCACGGCTCTTTCCGACGAGGGGGTCCCGTTCCAGATGACGTGGTCCCACTATGCCTCTCTCATTCTCCTTCTCCGCGAGGCGAATGCCATGTTTGAGGAGTCCGTCTCACGGACTAAGCTCGGTGCCTGGGAGACTCCCAAGGGTGGGAGGTATGAGTGCTTCACGAGGCTTTGGTGCGGTCTACGCTTCTGGAGTTGGAGTGTATTGAGTCGGACGACGGGGTACCTTTCTATTGTGATTGTGTGGGATGCAATGAGAGGGTTGATTTTTAGGCAGTATATTCCCGTGGTGGTGAGGGGGTTGTTGTATGTGATGTTAGTTTTTGGTGTGTTGGCTTTTGCGGTGCGGTGGGTGTGGGGATGGTGGAAGGGGGTGGAGGGTGGTGAGATGTTTAGGCTTGGGGGGGATTTTAGGGGGTATGAGAGTGATGAGAGCGATGAGGAGGTGGAGGAGGAGGATCACGACGACGACGACGACAATGGTGATGAGGACGATGACGAAGAGGACGATGATGATGAGGATGATGAGGATGATGAAGAGGACGAAGACGGGGATGATAGGAACAACTGGGAGGATCATTCTCATTATGGGAAAGATATCTATAAAGTCTCAGAGGTTAGGGATCCGATTAACTACTGGGGCTGGCAGTCTGACTGCGAAGAAGAAGAATCTCACGAACGACATAACGAAACGCAGACCGTCACCGTCGAAGAAGACGGTGTAACACCAGGCGACGATAACTTTCAAGGTAACCTTGAGCACATGTCAGCCTTTGAATTCTGGCATGGATGCTAGCGGCGAGCCAGACCCATACCAGCATTTCCTCACGCCGCGCAACATTCAACCCTCTAGAGAAGACGACTCGTCTCTCCATGTGGAGTATGACATCTACGATGATTTCTTGTATGAGTATGGTCGGAAGGACGGCATCGGTCAGTATGAGTAAATATTGAGGTTTGAATATGACCGGGAGTACAGCTATTTGTATGAGAGGGTTGATGAGGATACGTCTGTGTTTTGGCATGAGCGGTTTGCGGGCGGGGGGGGGGGAGTATGGGTACATTCTTCGGGAAAAGCCAGAGGGAATCTTGGAGGTATATGGAGAGAGTCAGTGAAGATATCACAGGCGATACTTAGATTGATAGGAGGTCACGCAGTTCGAAGCAATTATGAGCGTGGGTTCGAGGCCAGACGTACCTGGAGTAGGTCATGCCCATGAGTTAAATGGTACCCCAAGTAAACTACACGACGAGAAGCATTAGTAGCAAGTATCTAATCATCAATGGGATACTTACATTGAAACGAATTTTCCAATGGCCGCCTAGAGCATCACAAGAATTCCATCAATTATAATTCACTCCCAGCCATGTGCACAGTGTTCTTACCGAATCTGGCTAGTCCGCCTCCGACACCCGGCGCACGGCACTCCGGTGCCGAATCCGTGCCCCACATCGGCAAGGTGACTCAACCCCCGCGCCACCGCCTCCGTCCTCGGAACGGGCGCCCAGTGCGCCTTCCGTCTGACATTCCAACCACCAGGCACCCGCACCAACACAACAGGCACCCAAACTTCGCGGCGCCATTCAGGCTCCCACAATCTACAAAACTAACATCATCGAAGCATTCATCTCCCGTACTTACTCTCCTTCAATTCAACGCAACTCTAAAACGCAGCAGCATAATTCATACAACATGCCTCCCGCAGCGCCAACAACTCCTCTAAACTACTCAACATCCCCCTCCCTTCTCCCCTACACCCTCCGCTTCCACCCCTACAACCCCCTATCACCATCGCCATCGTCGTCATCCGCGCAAGAAGTCCACCACACCCACCGCCTCTGCGTAGGCGCAGCAGTCCTCTCTTCCCCCTCCTCCTAAACCTCACCGTCCTCCCTTCCCTCCGACCCTAAAATCCTCCTCCTCCAACGCTCCGCCAAAGAATCCGCCCTCCCCCATAAATGGGAACTCCCCGGCGGCGCAGCAGAATCCATAGACACCAACTCCCTCGCCTCCACCGCCCGCGAACTCTGGGAAGAAACGGGCCTCCGCGCAGCCAACTTTGTTGCCTTGGTGGGGTGTTATCAATGGGAGGGTGCTGGGGCAGGCGAGTTGGCGGAGGCTGTGGCTGGGGATCAGGCGTGGGGGTTGAGTAGGGGCGGGGTTGGGATCATTGAGGTCGGACGGGTGTCTGGTGATGGTGGGAGTGCAGAGGAGGAGGGAACTGCGGGTGTTGGGGTGGTGAAGGATTCGCACAAGTTTTTCAAGGGGCGGGATGCGTGGCGGAAGTATACGTATCTCGTGGAGGTTGAGACCACCACGAAGGTCGAGATTGATCCCGAGGAGCACGAGGACTTTGTCTGGGCTACGGAAGAGGAGGTTCGCGCGGACCGGTGTGGGGAGAGGGTGTTTGAGTGGACTTCTGAGCATCAGAAGATGGATATTTTGAGGGCTTTTGAGATTGCGAGGGGGAAGAAGTAGATGTACGACGAGGGTGGTGCATGGGTCGATAGACAAGAAAGACTTCAACAGACGAGGGAGTTGAATGCAATTGGTATCCTCAAGTTCCTCCTAGAAACCTAAGATACCTACCTCTCTATATAGATATAATGCATGCCTGGACCCCATCCTCACCATAAACCTCATCCTCGTCAGCCTACTTCTTCTTCGACCCCCTCCCACCACGCCCCCCCTTCCCCTGCTGCCCCTTGGCCCCCGACCCCCCGCTCCCACCAGACATCATAACCCGTACCTTACCAACCGGCACAACATTAATACTCTCCTCCGCCTTGAGAGCCTTCATAAGCTCCACTTCCCTCGGCCACATCTTCTCCTTATCCTGCGCCCGCTCATCAAGCGCCCCCTTCTTCGACGAATCGCTCTTCCACCTCTCAAACACCTCCTTCACAGCCTTGCCCTTCTTCACCGCGCCAGGCTGGAGCTTGGCCTTGTACTTGAACTTGCCCATCGCATTCCACGGCGCACACACAGGTATCGCCTCCAGAATCTCGTCACCGGGGAGAGGCCATCCGACGAGGGAATCAAGCAGAGTCATCTTGCTCAACTCATCTGAGTCCAGGACCTCGACGCCCTCCTCGTTCATCAACCTGCGAATCTCCTCGTGCTCCGCAGTCTCCTTCTGCTGCTTCTCGTGCTGCGCGCGGCGGCGTTCCTTCTGGTACGCCAGCTGGGCTTCTCGCTCCGCCTTGCTCTGCGCCTCAGCTTCGGCTCGTTGCTTACCGCGCGCGGAGCCGTAGAGGGCTTCGGCTGCTACTCTGTCCTCTTCGTCTTGGTCTTTGTATTTGGCTGCGATTTTCTTGGCTTTGTTGCGTCGGCCTCGCTTGGCTGGTTGCTGTTTCTCGGTCGTGGCGGTGCTTGGTGCGCCGGACGGCTCTGCGGGGGTTGATGTTTGGCCTGTGGCTGCCTTGTCGCTCTCTTCCTCGTCGTCATCCTCTTCTTCATCTTCATCTTCCTCGTCGTCTTCTTTCTCTGCTGGCTCGGCTTCGTCCTCCACAGGCTTGTCCTCTTCAATCTTGAGGTTTGACAACTCCTCGGCAGGGGACTCTTCAGATGCAAGTTGTCCCTCCGAGTCATCCTGTCCACCCTGCCCAAGGTTCTGTAGAGGGTTATCGCGCGGCTTCTCGTCCTCCTGATCGTCTTCCGAGCCGATATCAGAAGCATCATCCGGGACATCATCATTGGCTTGAGCGGCATCAGTCGCAGTCTCAGGTGCCGCGCTGTCAGCCGCCGAAGCGGGAACATCAGAGCTCTCATACAGCCTGTGCTTCACATGTCTGGCCTTGCTCTCTTCGCTAATCTTGAACATGATACCCAACCCGAGCAGAAGCTGTGCCGGAGGGAGGAAGTTCTTCTGGCCTCTGACCATAAAGCTTCCTGTGGGAAGGTACTCTCCTGTAGGAGCAGACTTGGAAACCTGGTCGGCGTTCACCCACCACGCACCCATGCCTGCCTTTGAGTCCCACGCACTGGAGCTGCACACGGCCATGGTGCCTGCCTGCGCCAGCGTCGAAGGAGGGATAGGCGCACCGGGATCGCTGGGGCTGTTCTTGATGATGACGGTCGCGGCGCCGTGCATATCCGCGTGAACGTAGACGTCGCCCTTGCGGAGATAGCGCTTGTACAACATCTCGTTCTGCTGCGCATCTTTGCCTCCCAGAACCAGGTACCCGTCAGACGAGACGAACCAGGTGAACTTTTCGAACCAAATCTGCTTGCGGATCGGCGCGAGAACGGCCTTCTCCGTCTTGAGGCCCTTCTTCAGCTCTGCCTGAATCTTCTGCTCGGCGTTCTTCAACGCAATTTGAGACTGCAGAACCGTCTTCTCCTCCTTTTTGGCGGCGCTTCTCTTCTGCTCATGATACCCTCTGGAGTTCGCCCAAGGCGACAGAGTGATATCAACGTCAATCGCCAAATGCTTCGCAGTCTTTTGCTTGCTGCTGGTCTCCTCCTCGTCGCTGTCGGATGCATCCGAGTCGGTCTCGTAGTTGGACTCGTCGTCTTCGATTTCTTCCTCCTCTCCCAGCAACAACGTAATTGTATTATCCGCAAGGTTCATGGGTAGTTTGATAATCTCAGCTACAGGGTTACGACGCTTCTGTTCGCGCTCAATGAGCTTGCTGATGTCGACCCAGTCCATACCTTGCTGAAGAAGGCCGTTGACCGCATCCATCGCCTCTTGCACGCGCTCGACGTTTGCCTCGATTGCGGTAGCCTTCTGGACATTGAGGGACTTGGCCTCTCGGAGACCTTCGATGCGCTTCTCTTGGTCGTTTCTCGCTGCGTCAAGCTTCCTCCTTGCCGCTGCCTCTCGTTCGGTCAGTCTTGACTCCAGCTTCTGGCCTTCCAGAGACGAGAAGAACTCGTCCACTGTCTTATTGTAGCCATAAAACTCGATGACCTTGACGGTAGGGTCGTTTGCAAACTTATTGGGCAAGAAAGGGTGGAAGTCATCGTAGAGAAGATCCGATCTCTTGGCCTCCTCACCTTCTGCTGCTAGCGCACCGTCCGGCTTCGATCGGTACTTCGCAAAAATGTAGCCCTTGGCTGTAGCAGAGCTAGTGGCAACTTCCACAATACTCCGGGCCTCGGTTAACGCCTTCAAGAGCGCATCCAGTAGCGACTCATCCTCGAGGATCTCGGCGGGTTTCTTAGTGCCGTCAAACTTGGTAATCTGGAACGCGTGATCGACAAGAATAGGCGGTAACTCGGTAATTGTTGTCGCCAAACTCCTCCTCAACTCATCACCAGGCTTCGTCTTGATCTTCTTCGAGACGGCTGTCGCGCTCTTCTTAACTGACAACTCCAGCGCCGCGCGTACTCTCTCCTTCGTCAAATCGGGAACGCCATTAAAGTTCTGCCGGTTGTCTAGTGAATAGTTCAACCCGATTCGCTGAGGTTCCTGGCCCTCTCCTTCTGGAACGTTGCGCAGGATTGTAAGGATCTTGAGGTCGGCGTCGGTCAAGATGACATTTCCGCTCTGCGCAAAGGACGAAGTCAGTGTTGGGTTCTTGCCGCAAGATGGTTAGAGTACTTACAGCAAAGAACTCAAGGAAAAGACGGTACTGCCCATCACTAAACTGAAACTCCAAAATTCTATCCGTCCCAACCTGCTTCACAGACGTCAACCGCCTCGTCTTCAGAAACTTGCGCAACCGCGCCACAAAAGCCGACGGCGCCGCGGCCGTCGTGCGCGTAAAGTCTGTAAGGTGGCATCGGAAACCAGAGTCGATAATGAGCTGCTTCTTGTTGTCGGGCTTGGCGAACTTGAGGAGCAGGATCTTGGAGGAGAGGTCGTAGACGTTGGCCAGTCGCAAGGTGTTCAGGCTCTCTTGGAGCTCGTGGGCGATGACTTTGACGTCGATGGAGGAGAAACGCTGCTTCATGACTGCGGGATCGAGTCGCGGAGGTTTCTTATAGAGGTTGATTCAACAATGCGAGCGCGCCAGTCCTTTTGTGGCGGCTTTTCGTTGCAGAAAGTTGAATGCGTAGGTCGAGTGAGGGGCAAGATTCGTGATGCTGAATGAATAATCGCGGGGCATTCGTGGCTGAAGAGCTTTGGAAATGTGGATGCGCCACAATGACGTCACGTGCTTGGTTTGTCACCGGGACTTCACTCGACGTTCGCCGTATCTTTCTGCCAATCGCTGGGAAATTGGATAGGTCTTATGAATGTCTTTCAAGTCAAGTTAAATACTAATACAATTGGATGTTTCTGAATGGAATCATTGGCCGAATTGATGAGAATTGGCCTCAATGCGATTTCTCATCTCTCATCCCGAGCTGGCCGTGATGACGCACACCGAAGTTCTAGCGCCACATTTCGAGCTTCAAGCAAAGACGAAGAGCTGTCATACTAATTTAGAGCTCTGTGCCACCGGCTTATAGTGACAGGTGCCAACTCAAATAAGACGAGGCAAAGTCTTTGTCTAGGGAGTTGCACTTGAGACGTTGATAACAAGAGAATCAAAAGAGCTTGTCAAAGAGTTGCAGTGCTGTTCAATCTTGAAGTAGTCAATACAACCACGCGGTTACGAATACTGAGATCACCAGAACGTTCAGGTAGAGAAAGTATTCCCAATACTCTTCTTCAGAGGATGGCTAGCAAGTCAAATAATACTCTTAATCACAGTCTTGTTACCATTTTATGTTGCCAAGCCACATCATGCCAGGTGGTGCAGCTTAGCAGGTAAAAGCAACTGCAAAACTGGCATCGGTAGCTTGACAAGCATAGAATGTATCATTGCATAGACTGGGCCACTCAAGAGCGTACTCGATAATAGCAGTCTCCAGTGCGTTTCCAAGATCTTCAAGTTGACGCCGATGTTTCAAAGCAACTCGGATTCAAAACTTGGACGCAAGGGTATCACGAGGTAGACTCTACGGGAAGCCAAGAGCCTGCATACTCCGTAAAGAAGCCATTATTTACCAGTCTTGGCCGGCTTTGAAGAACTTAGGCCATGAACATTGCACCGCCAGGAAAGACGTCAGATAGGTCTTGTAAGAGTCGTGACTGTTATCGCTTGTCTGCTGAGGTTTCCGACCTCAAGCCCGTTGTCCCACGCCGTCCTTGCCTCCCTGTACTTCGGTCTCTGTATCCTTTCGTTCGCGACTACAGAATGTTCTCGTTGAACTGACAACAGTGAGCGGCTAAGAGTTCCAAGCTATCTTTGACTTTCAGGTGATCCATCTACACAAACAGATCTGTTGTCTTCTGTTTGATCCCGTCGGCGGCGGAGAGCGATGGTCGTCCAGTGCCGAAGAAAGGGTATCCAATTACAGTTAGCGCGGGAGCCGGGGCCAGCCAGTCGTCACGGCAACGAGGTGCATTGCAAGGGAGCTCCCGCCCGTGTGTCCCGACCGGTTCGTCTGGTTTGATGGTTTTGGTCTGAAATAATTGACAATTTGATGCCAATTGGGATGATCCAAGGGCGGGAGGCTGGTGATTATCAATAACTCCAACCTGCCCCGTTGCAGAGTCTCGTGGGAGCGCAAATTTGGGACGGAGCAGCGTCTCCATGACTCCTGATGGATCTAGGGGAAATGGGGAATCTGACTGTCGAGATCCATCAATGGTTTGAAGACCCACTCGGGCGCTGCGGGCGGGATCCGTGAGGTAGGCAGGCACCGCAGGTAGGGAACTTTGCCTTGGCCACGTCGTAGGCCTCCCTGGAAAAAGCAAAGCCGCCAGCCAGCCTCGTTTTGCATGTGCGACCGTCGACTTGCATGAGTTGTGCGGCGGTTGCAGACAGACAGTCCAATAGAGGTGTTCCACGATGTGTGAGACCCAGTATTCGATCCCCGTATTGGTGTGAGAAAGTGATCAATTGCTGATTTTCGGCAGGGCCTCAGCACCAGCCGCCGGCCTGAGAACCCTGGAAACAAAAGGCCGGGAAGGGCGATTGCAGCTGAAAGGTGGTTGGGGAAGCTCCAGGACTGGCCAATTGAGTTTCCGGGCTGCCGCGGTCAGGCTATGCGGACCATGCAGACGGTCGATAGCGGGCATTTGGGCCGTGGGCGAAACGACGATCTTCGTACCCAGCCCCAAGTCGGTGTTTTGTTTGTTGTATCCGTAACTTGACGAGCGTGTCAACAAGATGCCAGGTGTGACAGGCGACATGCACAGAGCGTATTCGCAGGGTCGAGAACCTTCAGATCAATCGTCAGCAGTGCGCAACTCGCGACAGCCGTCAGCAATGCAGCTGGACTTAAGGAGACATTCGACACGGCCCATCGTTAGGGTCTGTTCGTCGCCTCATGCTCAAGAACAAGTGACGGTCCAATGAGTCCATTGACTGGCGCCTCTTGGATTTGTGGCGCCCATCACGGCGCCTGGATGGGAATGCCTGTGGGACTGGACAATTGCAGATTCTGGGCCGATCGTGAGAATCCGGGGGTTCCCTCTATCCGACCAAAGGTCCCAGTTTCTTCCTCTTCTCTGCTCCAGCCTCCGTAGCGTGTCAGGACCAGCCCAGCGAGCAAAGTTGGGGTTAGATATTCTGTTGCTGATCGACCACGACGCCTGCAATCTTGGGGTGGAGGGAAGGACCCAGAAACAGCCGAGGACGAAGATGGTCGGCGGCGGTCAGTCGAGCAATAATTCCAACTTCTCCAGAACGGTGGTCAATAATCAATGCTGGACGGTCCACTGTTGGAGCTTGCGCAAGCGGGCGTCTTGAAGGTGCGATTACTGCCGACATTGCCTGGCACACTTTGCAGCGCTAGGGAAAAGAGGTGTGGGCGTGTGTGTGGTGTGTGGGAGCTGAGCTCTGTGGAAGCTCTGGAGCAGTTGCTGCCCATCAAGTCGGCAGCATCTTGCATGCATTAGAATGCCATTCCATCGCATGTGAATGACTCGAATAGTGATTACTTGCATGAAGATGGGCCATTGAATCAATTGACCCCATATCGAAGTCGTCGGGCTGTCAATTGACGTGGTTAGGCGCAGTGATTAGATGGTGAGAGAGAGCTTTTCTGAGGTGTGTGCGACATGTGCGGGCAGTCAGAATCAGATGGGAAAGGACGGGAGGGACAACCTCAGACAGCGGGTACGGAGTACGTATCCGAGGTTCCTTCCATTCTTAGGTGCTAGCTCAGTTACGTATCCGCGACGACAGGTACGTTCCCAGACAGTTAGGTCGCATCGAAATGGAGAATGGGAAAGTGTGCAGTGGTGCCCGGTACCTGCCGCGCCGGAGCAAAACTGGTGCCTGACTTGGGTACCGCTGGCCTGAACACCTCAGATGCAAGGCGTCAATCGCAACGCCATCCAAGGATTCCCTCCCATCTTTCCCAACCTAAGGTAACTTCCCATGTCGTGACTTTTGCTAGGGCGTCAAAGCTTCGAGCTGCAGCTCCGAGCTTCTCCTTCCCCCCCATGTCAAATCTCCACTTCCCATCCCCCGGACTAGTCCTCTTCGGGCCGGAATAAACAAACGGAATATCCACTGCTAGTTTGACGCAGGAGACGGGAGCCAATGTCAACATTCCCTCACAACACACGGCGCACTTTGACCACCTTTCTTGCTGGGAATTGCTCGTCTTTCTCTCTACGGAGTATCCGTACACTACCATTTCGTGCCATTCTGCAGGCATCTTTCTCGTTTCTCTCTCTCATCCCTCACCCTCGCACACCATCCATCACACCCACATCAGACAGACACAGACTCTCGGTTGGTCTCTCCCATCTTTGATATCTCTCCAAGAAAACGAGACACACTCGATCTAATCCTGTCCAATCCAGATCATCCAACCCGCCTCCTCCGCATCCACTCCCAGCCGCCCATCCACCCACGAAGACAACTGATCCCAGTCTCAGTCCCACATCGCTCCAAGATACCAGTCCAAGTCTCAAGAGGAATCAAGAGGACACACTCTCTCACACACAACACACACAATACACTCACACAACATTTCACCCCTTGCCCCGGCAACCCTCGCAACCCTCGTTTTCTGCAGACTGCATTCACTCGCCGCTCGCTCTGCTGCTCCGTCCAACCATCAACCACCAACCCCCCCGTCTTCAAAACCCAATCCGCATCGCACATCTCGAGCGACCCTCTTCTCCCTCCTTCTCTCCTTTCCATCCATCTCCAAAGCTTCAATCGCCCTTTTTGCCCAACTTCACCTTTTGTCGGCACACCCCCTTTCCTCCAAATCCAAAAGAGAAGAGAAAAGCAGAAGCGCGTGTCACTTGAACGACCGGCTTCTTCCACCTTTCCCTTCCCCTTTGTTTTTTTAGGAAAACGAAGCAAGAGGATACTCTTCTTTGCCTTCCTCACTTCAGGAACGCTTAGAAGATTCTCCTCTCTGCGCCCCCAAGGCCGCCAATCTGGATTTTGAAGCTCGTGTCCCCGTCCCTTTTAGCGTCTTTCCCTCCACCTACAAGGAGAGTGAGACACAAACCCAGACCCAAACAGTCACTCAGACTCACGAAGAGCTTGAGATCAAACTCCCCGAGAAGAAGCCTCAGAGGCCCGGACGGGAGGAAAGTCAATACTCTTCCTTCACCACCGTCGCCGAGTCGAAGCCGCAGCCGCCGCAGCAAAAGCCGCAGCAGCAGCAGCCTCTGCCCCCTCGGAAAGAGCAGCACCGCTACGAAGAAGAGGTCCGCATCGAAGAACACTACCACCGTCCCGGTGTCCACTACGAGTCCCACAACTACCGTGAGGAGTACCGGTATGTCCTGATCTTTCTCTATCTATCTATCTGTTCTTCCACTCTATCCTCTGCTCCTCTCTCTCTCTATCTGTGGCCGCATGTGCCCATCACAGCTTATGTATGGCATGGCATCGATCGATTCATCCAGCCCCCCCCCTCACTCCCGCTTCCCTCTTCCCATGCAACCTCAAAACAACACAAACCCACTCGCGTCACTCCGGTCACCGCCCCTTCTCCTCCCCCATCCTCCGCCTCACCTCTCACCTATCTTCTTCCTCCTTCCACACACCCCTACCCTATCACCTCAACACCCCGGCCTCGGGACCGCTTCAGCTCGGGCCCCGGTATTTCGCCAAATTTCCCTCCTTGCCCATTACGAGCCGCCAGTCATGGACCCTGGACGCCTCCTCCCGGCCCCCTAGTCCCATGTTGGCCAAGTAACCACTTGTCACGTCAAATATGTCAACCGGAGCGAAAAAGCTTCCCCATCAAGCTCCCCCATCAAAACATCAACTGACTTCTCTCTTCTTTTCCTTCCATCCAGCCCTGCCCCTCCCGCTCCTGCTCCTGCTCCCTCTCAATACACCACTCAGCAAGAGTTCCACGACACTCGCATCCACCACCACGACACTCGCGTTGAGATCGACACCCGTCACCACGAGCACCTGGTAAACCCGATTGATAAAATCGAACGCCAGTACCGTCAACGTCTCCAGCCTACCTACCACAAGGAGGAAGTCACTGTCGAGACCTACCCGGCTCACCAACACCACCACCACCACTCTCACTCCGACCACCACTCGGATCACCACTCCCACCACAAGCACTCCCACGTCGACGAGTACACCGTCGAATCTGAGCGCCCCCGTCCTCAGCAGTACAAGGAAACCATCAAGGTTACCGAAGAGACCATCGAGCCCACTCACGTCTCCAAGCCCCAACACAAGTCTTCCAAGATGGGTTATTACGACGAGGATGGTAAGTTTTGAAATCCCCTCCCCAGTGCTCTGCTTGACCCCCTTGTGCGTGCGTGCGTGCTTGCTTGCTTGTCTGTCCGATGCTTGTCGGGCTTTGTGTGTGTGTTTTGGTTGCGCCGTTCGTCCCCCCAATCTATGGACCGACACTGAAGGGTGCTCGCACCACCAGGCCATTACCATTCTTTCCGTCAAGGCCTTCACAAGCTGGCGGATAAGATTGCTCACCCCCACCATCACCACCATCATCATCATGGTCATGCTGACCGTTACGAAGTCTCCGAGGTTCGCGCCGCTTCCGCCCCCCGCCGCCAGTCTTCCGGCTCTGGCTCCGGTGCCCCTCTCCTCCCCAACACCGTCACCATCCCCTGCCACCACATCCGCCTCGGCGACTTCTTGATGCTCCAGGGCCGTCCCTGCCAGGTCATCAAGATCTCCACCTCCGCCGCCACCGGCCAGTACCGCTACCTCGGTGTCGACCTTTTCACCAAGCAGCTCCACGAGGAGTCCTCCTTCATCGCCAACCCTGCCCCCAGCGTCGTTGTCCAGACCATGCTCGGCCCCGTCTTCAAGCAGTACCGCGTCCTCGACCTCTCCGATGGCCAGGTCACTGCCATGACCGAGACCGGCGACGTCAAGCAGGGCCTGCCCGTCATTGACCAGTCCAACCTCTGGTCCCGCCTCAACAACGCCTTCGAGTCCGGCCGTGGCTCCGTCCGCGTCCTTGTCCTCAACGATGCTGGCCGTGAGCTCGCCGTCGACGTCAAGGTCATCCACGGCTCTCGTCTGTAAGCGTATCGCGCTATGTCAATGGGTTATCTAGCAAACATGTCATGTACGAATTACAGATGATCAAATGTAATGGAGAAATTGAAGTCGATTTTTGGATAAAAACAGAACGGATAAAGGATCCAGGAGTCTTTTACGTAGATATGTAGCTCTGTATATGATCTGTAAATCCATGTGTGGGGTACTACTACACTGTCTTTTATGCCCTGAGTGATACTGTGTCATATTATGCGCTTATTTTTCGTTAACTTTCCAAGTAGTCTTTTCCCATGCATACTGGTCACAAGAACCTCTGGCAGCACAATCATCACACCTCTACCAGACTTCTGACCAGGTCTTGAGGCGACGAGTGCGTGTTTGAATGGGCGTGCTTATACAGCAAGACAGCCCCAGAGAGATGGGTAAGCTGACATTCTCTCTCGTCCATCAACCCCCAACCACAGTATAAACGAAGACACTTACCAATTGGCTATCGACATCCACCAAATCTTTGGATTTGTGAGCAGCACTAACAAAAGTTGTGTCCTGGCCTGTCAATACACCACCTCAGCATGGTGGGATGTCTCTTTTGGCCGACATTCACTGCCAAGGTCGCAGCATCGTCACTTGTGATTATACGTGGGAAAAGTCCATAGTGAAGCTTACCCGCGTATAAGCCTTTGCCTCTTTTCTAAGCCTTTGTCGATCTCAAGGCGGCAGGAGCTCGGGGGCATGGTGGATGGATGTCTTCAAGCTGACATGAACAAACGCTTTTGACATTACAAAACGAGAGGCACCTGCATTGAAGAAAGAGACAAACCGATAAACAGGGACTATCTTCACGATAGAAGCATTCTTGGAATGATGGATGTGAGCTGTGTGTATTGGCGCTTTTTGATCGCCTACCCAGGCGGATGATCGCAGCACTTTGACCTGCTTCAGCACCCTAATTGCCCCAAGCCTTCCTACCGTAAAGAGAAGATTGACCTCGACCCAGCGGACGACTAGTAGTCTACTTCGTCACCGACCACCTACGGTTTTCTCGACCTTCATTCTCAAGCTTCAAAATGGTGGACAGCACTTCTCAAGTGGCACCACGACCTCCCGATACACAACCTCAGCGAGGCGCCGGTCACCGTACTCATCATCACGACCAAAGTCAAAGCAAATACACTTGCGAATTGCCTCGGCCAAAGCCCTGCCGAGCTCTTCGCCAAAATGGACCTTCAACGACTCTGTCGTCCGACATATCCAGAGAAATGAGCCGCAGAATCTCGTGTTCTCGTCTGGCTGGCCGTCTTCGCCCAGAGACTCGGCCCATGAATTCTGCTGCTCGAGCGTCTGGCCATGAAAGAGCTCGAGGAGGACCACCCCGAGGAGAAGGAGGGATGACTTGGCGTTCCAGGTGCTCTGACTTCTTGTTTTCGTCAAGGCTTCGTCGTAGGGGATGTGAGAAAAGTAAGGGCCAAGTTGTCTGGTCGTTTTGCCGCCTGCACCGCAGCAAACGAGGAAGATGTTGTCTTTTGCAAGCTTGGGCGGGATCCAGGAGGACGTGGCGAGGCAAAGCAGGCTGCGGGCAAAGTTGAGACCGATGTAAAGCCGAATAAGCCTCATTGATGTGGAGTGGATGAAGTTATCAATCGATTGCATCGTTGACGTTTTGATAGAGCCCTGGTCTTTGGGTTCAGGCATCAGAACGACTCGCTTCTTTCCATCCACTGACAGTGTATTGGCTTTCTCAGCCATGGTGTCAAAATTGGTCACAAGCTCGCACATGCTCTTCATCTCCTCTGCTCGGGCTTCGCATTCCTCGGGTGGCGGCGTTGGAGGCGCGGCGTCGGCGAACCGCACTTTGGATGCAGACGAGGTGGTGCTGCTATATCGTGACACATCACCCCTATGCCATAAACGTTAGCGGCGCTATGTATAGCAACAGGTTTGGCTCTCCTTGCCTGCTAGGTGCTGTTCTCAGACTCGAATCATTTGTCACCTCAGATGCGGTGCTTGATGTGCTTAATGTGCCTGTCACCACGGGACTCAACCTAGTGCTCTTCTCGGACGGGCCGCCAAGGGATGGCGATTGTCCACCGCTTTTCATGCGGGTTCGACTCTGGAGCTTTCTCAGCTTGTTCGTCGCATTTCTGAGTATAGATCGGCGTGGCGCCTCAACTGCATGGGCTGAAATCGCCAGAGACGTAATTGCCAACGCGGAAACGCTCTTCTCACTTGCCGCATCAGCCCCAGACTTGATCTGCTGTTTGAAAAGCATCTGGTTCTTGATATCTATCGCGGATTTTGCTTTCGGTGCCGCAAGCGGTAACATCGTCTTATCTGATTTACCAGTGGTGCTGAGAGCCTCGAAATGCAGCCTTAGCTGTGTTCTGCAGTCCTTGGCGTCAAGTAAGATGTCAAAATACTCGCTCTTAGACGTGGCCGGTGACTTGGCAGCTTTAAGGTGCGCGTTGATGCCGATTTTGTGTGCAGTAGCATAGCAGCACTTCCACTGATGTGCTAAACACTCCTACAATGTAGATGCATGAGCGTGCAAGTCCTGGAAAGAAATCGTCGCTTTCGAGGCGGTTGGTCTAGTTACGCCCGAGTCCCCGTCGAAGAATCGATGCAAATCATCATTGATATCGGTGATTCGAGCTAGAAGCCGGTCCTTCTCTGCACTAAAGCTGGTATTCAGGTGATAGAGTTCGCTCTCGAGACTTGTGGAATCGAGAAAATAGATCAAATGCAATCCTTAGCACCAAATTAGATAGTCAAATGTCGAACTTGGCTGTAAGGACTTAATGACTATACATGTAGCTTAGTCAAGATCGGTCTTACCTTCTCATTGGGCAGAAGCTTTTGTAAGTCCGCTATCGCCATGTTCAGGTTGAACAAATTGTCCATGAACCACTTGTACTTGTGTTGCGGTAAACGTTTTTGCAGCTGCTCTCGAACATGAGCTGCATGCCAAAGATTCGAGCCTGGATCGCGTAACAGGCTCTCGTATTCTTCGTTGGTAATTTCAAGAGGGCCGATGAGCCGCTCTAACATCTGAGTGTAGGCAATTTCCTGCGTTGCCACAGCTGAGATGAGGTTCTCGAACGAAGTCTCGAATTGCCACCATGCTTGGGTCCTCCCAAAGACTGTACTCAGGTCTTTAGTCGCATCGCAAGTGATTGGGAACACACCGAGGATGATCCCCAGGATCTCGACCTCTGACATGATTGCTGTTAATTCCGGGCAGCTTCCACGTTGCTAGATCAAGTAGTTATTTGGGACTTGCGAGGAGGAAATGGTGATGGCGAAGTTCAGCATCAGCGGAGCAATTGGGCTTAACCGCCATGCCTTCCAACGGACCGAGCCGCCCGACTGCATGACCTCGACGTACCTCATTGGCCCAACCTGGAAGTGTATGCGGGCTGAGGTAGCGAGAACCCCTCTTCTGGGCCATGAGGCAGGTCAATTTCTTTGCAAGCAACCTGACTTCCTACAACAGAACGTTCTTTGTCGAGGTCTGCCTTGTTTGGCGACTATGACTACTGCAGACGAGAAGGAAGCTTCGGGCTCCGCCCCAACAATATCTTCTCTGGCTCGTGCTTACGATATCTCTTTTCTCAATATTTCGCGAGATATTTCGACTTATATTTATCGCGATCTAGAGTCTCAATTCATTGACGAAGCAGGGAGATTCAAAACATGGGCTCTGAATATTGGGGCTTTGCAGAGGCCGCAGTCGGCAAGTTCACTTGACTCAAGGCTAAGGACAGCAAACCGCATGAGAGAAAACTTGTTTTCGTTGCTTCAGCGTCTCAGTAACGCTCTCGCAAGAGGTATTGAACCCAGGCATCCGATCTTGTTCGCGCTGCATAATGAGTAAAGAGTATAGTAAACGGCATTGTCCTGGGAGATCTACCCAACAGGACGAACAGTCCAGCCACCGAGGAAGACCTCGTGGGGCGCTCTTTAAACTTGCTCAGTGGCGGGGGCATCTATGATTGCGGTTCAACAATAGAGATTGTCGAATTATTCCGCAACATACGATCTTGCATCACAAACCTTTTCTGCTTTTCCACCATGCTCCGTCGAGACCATCCAAGGGGACGTGGCCCCCAACCAGGATCGCAAAACCCCCAATCAGACCCCCAGCCCTATACATGCAAAGGACAAATTTCCGAACCTCAAGCTTTACCCTTGGCTAGCAGAAAGAATAGGCATGAGAACGGCTAGCCAGATCGATAACATTCGTTATCGCCAAAATCATCGAAGAAAATTGGCACGAATCGACGACGAGCGACCAAGGGATGAGCTGGCTGAACGGGCTACGACGAAGGCAACGTCGGTCCGGGAAATGCTCGTCATGCTCGAGACTACGGCACACTCGGGCTTGGTCCCATCTCCCCAGGGAAGTGTCTACACTGTCGCAACTTCATTCGCCAACACAGTCGTTGAGGGTGACCAGTTGGGTCGCGCCATCCCGCAACTGACGGATATGTGGCTTGGCGGCAAACAGTTGGGCTATAATGAGCCGATCGAATGCCCTTATTGTCGCACAATCCAGATAATCAGGGATCGCTATCACTGGAAGTACGTATAATGTGTCGCTCACTGCCATGAGAATAGACTGACATGAGATATCAAAAACATATAGGCACCATGTGCACGGTGATCTGCAAACCTACATTTGCACGTTCTAGAGTTGTCTGGCAATGCCCTTCCTGACTTCTCATGAATGGTTCAAACATGAATTAGACGAACACCGTCGCCAGTGGAATTGTAATCTTTGCAACGCAAAGTGCAGCTCTGCTTCAGATATGGGCTTCCATCTCGTCTCTGTGCACCCAGGGTCCACGAACGCCCGACAGAGAGAGGCCATGGTGAAAACCCTGGAAAAGCCTCTCAGCAATTTTGTTGAAGGCTCATGTCTGCTGTGCGATGACTGGAGTCCGCTAGGCAGGCTGGAGAATAACTCTAACAAATTTCGGTCGCATCTCGCTAAGCACTTTCAAGTACTGGCCTGCGAGGCAATCCCCTTGACCATCGAAGGTCTTGAGATTAAGGACACCATCGATGAAGGAGATGCCACACTCAGCGAACATGACGATGATAGTGAAACAAGTGTTGGCGCGAGTAGTCAATCGCTTTTGTTTACTGGGAAGTTCACTGGTAACGGCATGCTTGAATGTGTTCTTCCTGCACGCGATAGCGGCAATATTTTTCGGTATACCGTGCTTAGTGAACAAGACCTGGCCTCACACCTCCGAGACTGCCACGCTGAGGTTGCAACGAGTGAATGGGTAAGCATATATGTGTGCCAGAAATGCCATCAAATCCCCCATGGCGCTCAGTGCGACTGTAGTGGATCGATGGGGAGCATTGATGTATGATGGTGTATTCACGGGGGAAAGGACATCCACACCCTGGCAAGGCACACGCAGAATGCTTTGGTATTTATAGATGACGAGTTACGGCGTGTATACGAACCGATTCGAAAAGACATTGCCCGAAGTGAAATGGATGAGTTACGGCAGCGATTTATGTCGGATCGACAAGCTGAACGAACTGCTCCCATTGACGATGAGACCAGAAAGGACGTCTTAATTTTCGTAGATGCGATCGGAAGGAAATTTCGCTTTCCATTTCACTTAACTGCCAGTTTGGAGGTAAGTTGGGTTCCGAGGCTTGTGAGTGAAAGAGAAAAGCCTAACCCTTTGCAGAGCGTTCAAGAATTGATCATGCAGGCGTTCATACATCATGATGGACCCGAAAGAGAGCGCATCTTCAACCATCACTACTCGATACGCAACTCTGAGGGACGGGTCTTAACCTCTTTTACATGGGCACAACTTGTCGAACCAGGGTCCACCGTGCATATGGAAGTTTGGAAATCTTGAGAAGATGACGAGCAACACGCAAGCACAGCGCCAGAGGACGATACGAGGGAATTACTCGGGTAGGCACAAGCTTCCATAGAGTCGTGAAGTCCGACACGCGAAATGATATTCCACCCCATCGGGCGAGGAAATAGAACGGGAAGAAAGTAACAAACAAACCTCCAGGGATGCGAGCGTCGCTCTAGATTTGAAGCACCACAGATTCTTCGGCCAACAGTCAAATCTATCTCCTGCAAATCAATGTAAACTGCCACCGTTCTCAGATCATCTTCCTTCTTCTTCTTAGCCTTATGTCGTGAGGGTCGGCAAACGACCGACGTAATACTTTACCGAGGCAGTACTATTGGGCATCACGATTTGTCGGAGATTGCCAAGCTCATGTAGGCCAGATACCCAAGTTTCTCATTCAGCTTGCTGAAGATCTAAGACCCTCGGCTATTTTTTCTTTGACTATCTCGTCCGAAGAAGACCAGCATGAATGAGAAGGCCGCCAACTAATGTGAGGATTCACAAAGCGAAACTGAATATACCATGACAGACCGGAAGACCTGGAAGACGATCTTCGAAGACTCCTGTTGGCAATGAATCCCCAAAGACCAGAGATGTTTCATCGACGGAGAATAGGTTAAGACACCGGTACACAGCAATCATCTGACTTATCAAGTGTTTGGTAGGTGCTATCAAGCTCAATCATGGGGACTCGTGATGGGAAGAGACATGTTTGTAGCCTTTTACTGAATATGCTTCTTTGTGTCAAATTCGAGAGAGAGTCATGCGGTTTCACGAGGTACAAAATAAGTCATTCTTCCGTTCCAAGATAGCCTCATGACTTCTCTCGGATCAAGGCACTGTAACTGAAATCGACACCACATTATACGACCTCTACAACGACTATGGCTGTTCCAAATTTGCGAATCGTGACCTTCCCTCATCAAACGGTATCTGAGTATATTGCGGGTATCAGTAAGCAACTCGGAGCCCTCAAGACTGTAGACCAGAATTGTTTTGCTGGTGCATTGAGTCGCTTCGAGGAACTTGAGAGGGATTTCAACGATTGGTCATGGGAACCTGAGCGTTGTAAACATTTGGTTGATCTCAAGGACTTGAATTGTCTACTCAAAAGTCTCAAATTCGCTAAGTATCGCAACGAACCCAATCTAAATCTAGGCTAGAAAGGCTGACTGAAGTGATACAGCGGACAACATGGTTGGCGTCGGTGACGCTGTCACCGGCTACCACCCATACAGACCGAAAAACATGGCGTGGGCAACACCCATGAGGAAAGATCCCGTGGAACTCAGATGAGATCCCTGAAAGAGGGATATGACAGGCGGTGCTCCATGCACAACCCTTGGCACCTACTTATTCGTCGTCATTCCACTGCTTATGCACAGTATCAAGATCAAGATGACCTTATGGAGACACGAGTTTATGGAAAGCGAGGAAACGAAGGTGGAGCTTATAGACCTTGTCTCTCGGGAGACCCTGATGAGCACACTTATAGATCAAATGCAGAGCCCACTCAAGAAGAATCAAAGAAACGACGGCTATTAGAATCGGTTGCATTCGCTTTCACCATCGATTCTTAGAAAGATTTGGGTCTCAGGTCGACAGCGGTCGACTACAGGGCGAGCATTCCGAACCAGAGGGCTTGGATGAAGCAGAATAGAACATTGGCGGTTACGAGGGATCCGGCACTTTGCGGCTTTGTCCCTGGATCAGGGGGTTCCAGATTAGATTCCATTACGTTTACCGCGCGGCCGAACAAAGGACTGGGGAAACCGCCACATATGGTCCCTCCCTATTCAAATTAGGACGTCAATACTTTCGGGTTACATCAATCTTTACCTCAGGGTAAGATAGTTCAATAGATCTTTATATAAACAAACAAGGAGAGCGAAATGAATCACCAAGGGTTCAGTGTTTACTTTCAAGGTCAATCATCGTGGGCCTGTGATAGTAAGATACGTAGTCATGGGAGTCTATCGAATGTTCGGAAGGTGGTATAGTTACCTAGATCTTAAAAGAGGTCAATGTCGGATTGGAAGTCCAATTCGACCGCGGATAGGGGCAAGAGCATGGGCCACCTCGAGGTGGTACAATTAGACCGCGACTACCCAACCAACCTACGGTTGGAATCTCCCTTTTACACATTACGCAGAATCAATCAATACAGAGATATTGATACTTCGTCACCCCCAGGACCCTACGGTTCGAACCAACTTCCCTGTGATAGGGATACCAACAGAGAGACATCCTCATGAACCCAGCCAGTAACAGGAAAACGTCTGAAGCCACTCAAGACCTAGGTCCCTCCGAGCTAGCCGCATCTCTTAAAAAAATTGAGATGAATTTCGCTAGACTACCAGACAATTCCATGTCCGTCACAGAAACAGGCATCTGCTTCGAGGACAATGTCGAAGTCCCACTGGCGGAGTTCAGTGCCTAAATCACCCGCACGAAAACGAATATTGCTTGCCAGCCTAGGAAAGACCTACCGTGTTGGAAATACAGCACAAGGAGGCTAGAAAAGATTACCACAAGCAGGTTAGGCTGTTAGGGGGCTGAATGTGGCGCTTTCCGGCTTGTTCGGGAGGTTCAGGAGGCTTTGGGACAGACTTGATGTCACGAAACAGGAATGGTATCAGCACTTGTCAAGCATCTTACCACGTGCTTTCTCACGTGGATATCACACTCTCTTAGTATATAGACTGCTCTCATGTGCTCATTCTAGATGGGTTACTTCAAGCCACTTTAACCCACTTCATATGCCCATTGCTGCGTGCCATAACTCGTGACACTTGATCACCAACGTGGCTCACCTTGCGTTCTTTTATTGCATTTCTATAACTACCAAAGGCTAAAACGAAAAAAAAACCGGGAAAAAGTCGAATAGCTATAGTGCTAGAAGAAGAAAAAAAACTATTGTTATCAAACATGTCCCCGGCAGGAGAAGGGTATGTATGCATCGAAGTTTGATACTCGATAATGCAAGAAAGGACGCACTAGACATGACGGATCATCCTCCGAACTATTTTCCCAACAGGCTAGCATCACTTCTAGCCTGAAAATCGCTTTCTAGAATACCAAATGAGTCATCAACAGATAGAACCTCGACATCTAGCACCCGAGTGGTGGTTTCCACGCCTCGATAGGCGTTCATCCCTTACAACGGTTAGTGTGACCATGGCTCAAGAACTTGAGTGTCCTCTCCCAGTCGCGCGACTTAAGGTATTCTGCCATTCTAACAGATCACTCAGCTTGTACCTCAAGAAATCCTTGCCATATCCCCGCCGAATGCCTCTCGCGGGGTGACTTGGGGTAATGGTACTACATGAGCGCGCTCGCAAGACACAACATGTCGCCCTGGGCCTTCAAATGTGAATAAAAGTAGCATATATAATACTCTGATATCGTTCACTGGTTTCAGCTGCAGTCACGTTGACAGTTTAATACGTTTGAAGCCCTCGGGAAAGCGGCTAACAAAGGCCCGTTTGTGACCCGCTTTTCCCGATCCGAGCCCGGACCTACCGCAAATAGTGGGACCCGGATCGCCGCACACGGATCTGGCTTATCTCTCGGACTTCTCGATTTTGTCTTTCATTTGCGTCCCCTACCACGTGGAGAAGCTTTTTTCTCGGAGTCTTGTTCTATTCTCCGTTATCCATGGTGCTCAGAGTGGAATAACACATCGCAATTGTCTTCGATGTTCAAGAGCGGACGGAGGTCAAGATGACCAAGCAGACGAGCTAATAGACCACATCTTAGATAGTCCAGCGCCCGACTCGGTAAATTTTCAATTAGCGATCAAGTAGCACCATAATATGGAAAATTCAGCAAGACCATGGGCGTGTTGCCATGAGCTTGGTGAAAGCCAACCTAATTCCTTTCAGAGAAATATCGAGGCATTGAACGACGAACTGGAGGCACAAGAAGACTACGTCCCGCCTGTTCTAAATTAAGAAGAGGTGTATGCTACAAGTAAGGCCGCGGTAGAAAGATCAAAGGTGGCAGCGCGTGCCCGTGGAGACATCGAAGGAGAAGCGGACCATCGGACAACAACCTCTTGACTGGCTTGTTTTAGAGCCTGCTTGGTCCTTCCGGCTCATGTTGGGGCCAGGTCCGGGGATATGGGTTCCCCAGGAGGACAAGTGACTCAGCCTGCCCCACCCATAGCCAAAGGGGCTACAAAAGCCTGAGGGGAAGATTGCGCCAATACCATGATCATCACAGATGAAATTTGCCGGAGAACTTGTTCCTGAAGGGCTAGGACACTTGTCAAAGATTCTTTAGAGATCAACTGCCCTAGAAGCTGTTTCCTACCTGAGAATTTGGCGAGATGCATCCCGTGTGACCATGACCCCAGCCTCAACAGCCTCTACCTCAGGAGAATGCAAACAGCAAGCACGCACAGCAGCTGGCTGTATATTTCCGAAGGATATTATGACACTATTAACATTGCAAAGAGGAAGTTTCCACGATGCTTTGTGGTCATTACGGCGTGCTTCTGCTTCAAGTGTTGCCACTCATCATCCGGAGACTCAAATGGACACCACCATCGGGTGATAGTACCTGGTCAACTGTGACCCCAAAGCGCCTATCTTGATATACCGGAGGCACTTAACTTTTCAAGAACGTGTCTCAAGTTTCACCAGACTCTTATGGACCTGGACCCTTGGTTGAAGTACAAAGGATCCACACACCGCCACAGCAGGTGACCAACAAAGATGCGCGTGGAAGTGATCAACGACTGAACATATAGCCAGGTAGACAAAGAAGGAGAGGAGATTGGATTATGGGATGATGGGGCGGGTACCGCCA